TTGTAGTTGGAGGTACCACGGACGGAGGCATTATCGGTGAGGGCACTATTAGCGGGGATGCCGACTTATCTGCGCCGCTATCAAGTCCATGGCTCCGAACACTTACATTAGCAATACCATGTCCACGTACATCATCATTATCAATGGCAAGATCACGAATACCGTGAGTATTAATGCCCCGACAACGAATACTCGTCACCATTAGAGCCACGACCATTGGCATGACGATTAAATCCGCTCAATTCATGTTGCGAACACTAGCAAAACTCTAGAATAACACCCGAAATTGTTTAACAAATACAACACGCATTTATTTAATTAATATATCGAACATATATTCATGCACAATCGGATCTCATTATTTTGTTTCTTCATTTCCAAGGCAACACATATTTATTTAATTAATAATTTTCCTAAACATCTAACAAAATTTCAACAAAGTCTCCTCTCGTAAGTTATACCTTTTTCAATTAATACATACACCAAAATGATCACACAAACATTGAAATTAGATCCATCACCAATCAATTTATGCACACCAAGGCCGACAATTGCCTCGGATACTTCATCAAAATTAAATCACAAACTCATCATCCTAACTCAATCCCAAAGCATTGAACTAACTTCATTTCTTCTCAATTTTCGAGGGTCTTCGACCCCTAAGGTTTGATACGCTACGGCATATCTTAGCACACTTCAATAATTATATACACCAAAATCAAATTAACTCAAATTCAAACCTAATTAAATTTAATTAACAATTAATTACCAATTTCCAATACAAATAAAATTAAATATCTACCAATTAATCAAAATTGACCTAATTAATTAAATCTAAATCAAATTAACCTAATTAATTTTAAACCTAAATCAAATTAACCCAAACTCGAACCTAATTAAATTTAACTAACAATTAATTGACAATTTCAATACAAATAAAATTAAAAATCAACCAAATTAACCAAATTTAACCTCATTAATTCTCATTCAAACCTAATTAAATTTAAACCTAAATCAAATTAACACCGATTCAAATCTAATTAAATTTAACTAACAATTACTTAATAATCTCCAACGTAAATAAATTTAAAAATTAACCAATTAGTCAAAAAGAACCCGATTAATTAAGTAAACCTAAATCAAGCTAACAATTAATTAACAAATTAACCTAACAATTAACAAAAAATAAAAATTAATCAAATTAATCAACACATTAACAATTAATTAAAATTAGCTTAATTAATCAATTAAACCTAAATCAAACTAATAATTAATCAAACTTAAGCTAATTAACTAATGAAACCTAAATCAAACTAACAATTAATCAAATTTAACCTAATTAATTAATAAAACCTAAATCAAATCAATCAAAATTAACAAATTAACCTAATAATTAATAAAAATAAAAGTTTAAAAAATTAATAAAAAATTAACAATTAAAACTATACAAAATTATAAATCAACCAATTAAATTTAAAATTAACCTAACAATTATGAAAATAACTACCTTTTAAGAAACAAAAGAGAGAGAGAACTTACCTAATTCGGACTTGAAAAGAAAGAGAGGAAGGAAGGAAAAATGAGGTTTTTTTTTAGAGAGAAAAGAGTTTGAAATGGGTGTGGATTGATGGGGGGTAGAGGAGTGCGGTTTTCGGTAGTTTTGGGTGGGGGAAATGCGGATGGCTAGAGAGCGAAGTTGAAAGAAGAAGAAAAATGAAAATTGAGAGTCTAATTAGCGATTCGGACCAATGATGGACACGATTCGATCGCTAGTCTATCATTGTTTAGCTATTAATGTAAGTGTTCGTCACTAATTCTTTCGTAAAATAGACAACTATTTAATTCTAAAAGACTCGTTCATTTTTTTACAACTAGCAACGAAAACATGTCCATTATTGCTTAGTCACCGTTCAAGGATGAAAATTAAGTTTCCGTTGCAATTCCATCATCAAATGAGTCGGTTTTTAATTCCAAAAGGCGAGTCCTGTTTTTTAGATTTAACGACGGATTTAATCCTTTGGCAATAGAATATCCGTCGCTAAAACAAAACATAAAAAATAGAGATTGAATAGCAACTCATTGCTGATTTATGTTGCAATTTCATCTCTATCTCGTCTTTAAAACACCCGAAAAAGATGTTGAAGTCACAAATAGCGACGGAATATCATCCGTTGTTGATAAATCATCGCTAAACTATTTTTATTCTCGTCACTAAATTAAACATATGTTATTTGATCGCTATTGAACTCTGTCGCTAAAATTTATCGCTATTTTCTAATTTTTTTTATAGTTTTATTTTTTTCTATGAGCTCATTTTACTATAATGAAAAGCATACATTATATCATGATTTATCTCGATAAATAACTCATAAATCGAGGGGATTCCCAGATATATTTGAAATAAAATAAAGATGGACCAAATTACTTGTGAATGCAGCCACAATTAACATCATTACGGTCTCCCCAGCTTAATCTTCCGCAGGAATCGTACATACAAACAGACCTGGAAAATTAGGTACGAGCCCACTTTCTTTTGCCACTCAAGCATATGCGCGCCTAGGCACTTCTTCCCTTCCCTAAGAAGTCCACTGCCCGTCTTAATAACATACAGGCCTGCCTTTTCTTCCATTCTTTTTTTTTTTTCCACCACGGAAGATCACTAAAAGTTATATTAAATTTTGCTCAGGGTCAGCAAGTATGATAATTTCAATTAATTTTATTTTTATATATTTTCTAATATTTTATGTCACTATAATGTCAATAATCTTACCAACATGATGGCGGCACATCCCTATTCAAAGAGGCAGAATTGGAGATGATCTTATTGGTTTCCAATGTTTTATATAAGAGAAATTTGAAGTATTAGAACGTCGAAACTGAATAATATGAACATGGCATTTTGTTTTTCCGTTACAGATCGACTATGACATTTTTCAATTTGCATTCATTAACTATATTTCTTCTAGTGTCAATTAATTGAACTCTAGGCCCATAATATTTAGGCTTAGTACTAGCCCAAATTCATCACAAGATAAGCTTTGTTGGATCTTGATGGAAAACATTCAGCATGACCACTGAAGATAGGATCACAAGATGTCCCGAATCAAGATAAATGCTTCGGGCATCTCCCTTGATATATGTGCTTAAATTGTTATTTGGGCTGGATTTGGTTTGGATTTTTGTTTTGAACTTTAGGTAAGCTCTAGCCACGGTTTTGGGCTTCCTTTGTAATTATTGGCCTTCTACTGTATCTCGTGTCGGATTTTTTTTTAAAAAAAACAGTACATGAATCAAATCCATGTATTAACTTTTCGAGAAACTATTAGGTGCTTTTGGACTTACACTCTCATCTCTCGGATAGCATAAATTTTTTTTTAAAAAAAAAGGTTTAGATTTGACTGATTAAAATCTGCGTTTTATTATGTATTTTTTTCAATAATGTCCAAATAATTTTGAAAGATTATCTACTAGTTAAAGATTTACACTTTCGATTTTGGAATAGCATAAAATTTTTTTTAAAAAAATTGGTTTAGATTTGAATGATTAAGACATGTGTTTTAATTAGGTACTTTTCAATAATATCCAAATATTTCTAAAAGGTTGATCTGATGGTTAAAAATATTTGTTCTCTCTCTTGATTTATTGGATTCAAACTTTAGAACCAACACTAGAAGAATTTTATTAAATTTTTTAACATGCATTATTCCGATGTGAAGAGTGTGCTTTTAAAATCATGTAGAAAAATATTTAATCTTAATTAATTAATCATAAAATATCTTTACCATCGAACTAAATAATCATAATGTCTTAACTAATATTAGTGGCTTTAATTTCGATTTCAAGAATTCTTTTTTTTAAAAAAAACCAACCATATATGTCATTCATATTGTTCTGGACTTTCAACTCAGCGGGATCAGTTATAAGTTCAAGACTCCAAAATTATGGTATAATTTTTCAATTGTTATAAAATAATAAATATATATATGAATATTCATTTGTTTTTTATAACCTTATTATTCATAATTCTTAATATGATTTAATTCATTATTTAATTTTAGAAATTAAAAAGATGATGTAATTAATTCAACAATTTATATACTTTTAATAGTTCATAAATAGTCCATTATAATTTTTTTTTAATCTTGAGGTCTATAAATAGACTTAATTGTTCATTAATTTATGTACAAGTATTTTATAGAGATTGAGAGAATTGTTTGAAGTTGTTATAAATTCTCCTTATTTTATAATAAAATCATTTCTATATTATTTTTTCTCTAATTCTATTGTTATTATCATTTTTTTATAACATCAATTAATTTTTCAATTGAAATATAACCTCAGACAGTTAGACCTCACTCTTCTTCCCTCATATCTAATTAAAATAGGTTTTTCTGTTTTTTTTCCCCCTAATCAAAAACTCTCTCTATATGTGATGCATATCACAATCAACATGCTTCCTATAAATAGTAATAAATTATAACAGACGCTCCAATTATGAAGCGAGTAAATGATAAATTAATCCCCTTGGTTTTGAAAAATGAATTAGTTAGTCAACTCTGGTTGTATTATTCTACAGGGATTTGGAGCGGCAAAAAGTGAGTTATCCTATGTAGCTTGTTTCCAAAATTTGGTGTGGACTTATGGTAGTAAAGACGAGAGAAAAGTGCCGAAAACAAGTAAAGAGAGTTAAATAAGAGGTCAAAGATTCTACTCCTTAAAGTATCTTTGCTTGCACACACCCATATGGAATGGCATTGAAGCTTGATTTAATTTACTATATACTTTACTTGCTGCGCAATATGAGGTCATTTGCTGCTGACTAATTTGATCATCGTGGTCTTAGGATTGACTTCTGGTTATGACCTTTTCAAAACAACCAAAGAACATGGAAAACTTGTATTCAAACTCCCGCTACCACATATATCAAAATACAGTTTATCTGCTCTAGCTCGTATCCTATAGCGAACGATCTAGTTATTGTATGTTAACTAGTTTTGGTCATGGGTTCGAGCGCAGAGCATGTTAACATGGATCAAACAGCTTTGGAAATTGATTCTGCAGAGAAGCGTCTCAATCAGCTTGGATACAAGCAAGAACTCAGAAGAGAAATGGTTTTTATAGTCTTCTCTTTTCTTTCTAGGTTTTTTTGCCAACTTTGATCTGTGCGGATGTTCAAAAGCCTGAGTTCACATATTTTTTCTCGGTTGGTTTCTTGCAGACTTTTTTCAAGACGCTTGCAATTACATTTTCGAGCATGGCAGTTTTTACCGGGACACCTCTCTATGGGTCTAGCCTACGCTATGCAGGACCTGCAAGCTTGATATGGGGATGGGTGGTTGTCACGTTCTTCACTTGGTTTGTTGGAATTGCCATGGCTGAGATCTGCTCTTCTTTCCCTGTATAAATCTTACTTACTTCCTCTACTATATATATATGTGTGTGTGTTCGTTTCTTGTATTACCTTTCTATTTACACCAAGAAATTGAACCACTGAATCGCCACTAAATAATTTGTTCACTGTTATTCTCATGGGCCTGCTTATCTTAAAACATAAAACAGACCACGGGTTCGCTTTACTTTTGGGCAGCTCATTTGTCTGGACCCAAGTGGGGGCCATTTGCATCCTGGTGTTGCGCTTGGCTCGAAGCCATTGGAGCCATTTCTGGAATTGGTGCTCAGGTATATGTAACATACGACACGCTTAATTATTTTTTGTGATGAACTCAATATACTTTGTTTACAATCAAGTTGATATCGTCATGGTTGAATTACTCTCTCTTTTGAATGAATAATGATGATGGTTTTACGGATGCATAAATATGCAATGAACTTGCAAACAGTTGCGTTCTTAGAATTCTAGTAAATATTTTCGTTCCAAAATTTATGCCCATCCAATATCCATGCAGGCATATTCGGGAGCCCAAGCCCTACAAATGATCATTCTTCTCGCCACGGGAACCAACAAGGGTGGAGGCTACTTTGCTTCAAGAGGTGTTTTCTTGTGTATGTATATGGGTTTCACCATCATATGGGCAGTACTCAACAGCTTCGCTTTACAAGTCGTTGCTTTCCTTGGCATTATCTCCATATGGTGGCAGGTTAATTTGCTGGCGCTCTAGTTATTCCTTTTCTCCTTTTTAAAGGGCTCTCTACTTGCCCCCTCTAAGTTCCTCATTTCATCATGGAATTTGGGAGCTCTCTCCTCCTAGGAAATAAAAGCATTTTGTTAAGTCTAATAACACTGCTTGCTCTTGAAAACATATGCAGATGATTGGGGGTTTAGTTGTGATTGTAATGCTTCCTTTGGTGGCACAACAAACACAAACCGCTTCTTTTGTGTTCACGCATTTTGAAACATCACCTGAGGCAACTGGAATAAGAAGTAAACCTTACGCGGTAGTTCTATCTGTGCTGCTAAGCAATTACTGCCTATATGGCTATGACACCGCAGCTCATTTAACTGAAGAAACTAAAGGTGCTGATCGAACCGGCCCTACTGCAATTCTTTCCAGTATTGGCATCATCTCAGTTTTTGGAGGGGCATATTACTTGGCTCTTACTTTCAGTATCCAGGTATGCTCTTTTGGGTTATTTTCCAACAGGAATTTCTTTCAGATAGATGGCTTCATGCTGAAACGAGCCTTTGATTTCATTCTAGGATTTTAACTATTTATACGATGAGAACAACGAGACTGCAGGTGCTCTGGTACCGGCACAGATAATCTATGATGCATTTCATGGAAGGTACCATAATTCAACTGGGGCCGTAGTTTTTCTATGTATCATCTGGGGATCCTTCTTCTTCTGTGGGCTCTCAGTGACTACAAGTGCTGCAAGAGTGGTATGACAAAATTGAAATGAATATTAAATCTAGCAACACTTAATCGTCATTGATGTCTATATTTCACTGTAAATCCTACAGTTTCCTGCAATTTCAATGTTTTAACAAAAAAGGATTACTTCGGTTGGTACTCACACGATTCCTTCTAGGTTTACGCTCTATCAAGAGACAATGGAATCCCATTTTCACCTACCTGGAGAAGAATTCACCCAAAGTACAAGGTTCCCATAAATGCTGTGTGGCTGTGTGCAGCAATTAGCATCATTCTTGGACTACCCATCCTGAAGCTAGATGTAATTTTCACAGCCATTATATCAGTAAGTACAATTGGCTGGGTTGGAGGCTATGCTGTACCAATATTTGCAAGGCTGGTCATGGCTGAGAAAAACTTCAAACCAGGACCCTTTTATTTGGGCCGAGCAAGAAGGCCAATTTGCTTGGTAGCATTCTTATGGATATGTTACACTTGTTCAGCCTTCCTATTGCCAACTCTCTACCCAATCCAATGGAAAACTTTCAACTATGCACCGATAGCCCTTGGCATATGTTTGACTCTGATAATGCTTTGGTGGGTGGTTGATGCTAGAAAATGGTTCAAGGGACCCGTAAGGAATATTGATTTACAGAATGGTCATAGTTAAGGTGTGCTGCTGCAATCTATGAGACTTGTCCATCCATATTATATCATCCAATATTGTGTTGGAAAAACAGCTCAGCTTCTATATTTTCCAATGGTAACTTGTATTTGTTCATCTTGTGTCGAAAAGTTTTACATTTTTAATAAATATTCGTCTAAGGATACGGCATGTACAAAAACAACCTTGATCAGCAGTCATGGAACCCAACGAACTTAAAACTAGGAGTATTAAGCCTCTTCCCGAAGTATGGAACCCTGATAGTTATCACGTAGAGACAACAGGGATGAAGACTGGGATCTCGTGTGATTTGGTATTCTTCTATGTATAAAGTTAGCCGAAACACTTTTGGTTTTTAAGAATTATACTTGACCAGTAATCTAACAAAAGGAAATGGTCAAAAAGCAGAATAAAAGTTATTTTCTACCAACAAACAGGTGCCTAGAAAAAATATCGCACGTGATATAGCTTGGCCAATTAGTTGCAATGTTACCACCTCTGTACACTGCACCAAAACGAATGCCTGTTTCCTTTGAGGGATAAGTTTTCCCACCCAAGCTTGACGCATACATGTGGCAAGAAATTATCCTGTAATCCCTTGCTCTGCCAGGGGAACAAGGAGCACTTGACACATCAGTGACATGAACATTGACAAAATACTCAAGACAGTAGAAAATTTTAGAATTAGAAAGAGGGAGGGGGTGTTAATATTTGAAATATGTTACACCTGCTATTCTGATGCAAAGGAATTCCTTGAGGATAATCTTCGGTGAAACTTGGTTCCATTCCTAGAAAGACTAGCAACACCAGGATGCAATTTTTTGTGAAGAGAACTTCATTGAGTTCGTCTCATCCGAAAAAGTACAAAACCGAAGAATCAACGTTTTCTTGAACCCCAATATCATTTCCTGCCACGAGGGAAAGAACAGCTCTTACCATGAACGTGAAATGAAATATAACATAAACCCACTAAAGAAAGAAAGTCACATCCTTAGTCCAGCTACTGTGGAAACGAAACAATGATTTTTAATGCAGCACATTGACTTAAACATGTGGTAACAGAATTAAAACAACTTCCCCTGGACAAGAGTTGACGTTAAATACAAAGACAGAATGATAAATACCTTCTGCTTTATGACTAAGCTGACATTTTTTATACAAAGAGTTCTTGAGACTCTGTATGAGATGACCAATACTGCAGAAGTGTTTCTACAGATAGTCTCCGAGTTGCACTCAGCATCGAGATGAAAAACCGACAACCATCAATTTTGTATTCTTCAAGAGGATTTCTGTGCCCAAAACTTCTAACATTCACCTGCCAGAGTTCCCAGTCAGTTTAAGTCAATCAGAAAGGCAAAGAGAAACACGTAACAAAATCATACAAACCGCTGAACTGAGCCTATTCATGTTTACAAGATGATCCCGCCAGAAATAGTCTAGAGTCTTCAGAAGAACTGCTCTCTGTATTCAATAGTAACAAATAAATAGGGGAATAAAACATGGCATTCTAAGAAGCCTAACAAAAAACGAAGTGCTTCTGATGAACCAGCACGAAATTTTTATTAAGAACAATTGTTCAGCATATTATGTAAATCTTCAGGGTTTTTGACTAAAAAAATATTAGCTTCTCTCTCCATTCTCCAGAAAACCATACTCCCTCCAAACCCTCAATCAGTTCTTGATTCCTTTTCTTCCTGCTCTCATACATCCACAACTGGAGATCAAAGTGTTAACTATTTTCAATTCTTTCCATTATTCTTTGCATTAATTTATAAGAATGCTTTTAACCTCAAATGAGAGTACTTTTGAAAAGAGAGGGGGCAGGAGAGAGATTTCAAAGAGATCTATAGCAGTAAAATAGCTTCTACTGAAAATTGTGCCAAATGCAATCAAGACACCCAATTAGTTGGGGAGCAATTATTCTTATTTGAAACATACAAGTTTTTGGATTTCAGCACCAAAACACAATAACTTAAGCGCGGGACACAAAAAGTGTGAGCCCAACTGCCAAATTTGAGTACAGCATACTGATTCCAGATGTGAGAACAAATTCTAGGAAAAATATAAAAATTTGCACGCAGGGTCTCAAGTTCTTTGTTAATGATATTAACTCATCTTGGTCCCATTTCCATTTGCAAACAAAGGGCTTTTTGATACTGTTTTCTATAACTTGTTGCCCGAAAACATCTTTTACCTATATTTACAAACAGGGTTCTTTTAATCAAATTATCTCGAGAAAACTGTTACTGAAAAGAGAACAGAGCATCTTTTCTAATCCAAAGATGACTTTTCTGCTTCTGAAAACAGTAATCAAACAGGACAGATGTCTCTCACCCACATGACTGATGCACTTACAAGAGGAGCTTACCTCAATTTCTTTGATATATGCATCAACATAACCAGATTCTTGTAAAACATCCAAATACGAAGCAATTAAAAAATCTCCAAGGTACTTGCGAAGAAGATTAGTTGTTGTTCGATATCTCCCATTCCTACATTAGACTTATTAGTGGATCGTAGAACTCAAAATACTGAAATGGAAAATGAAACGAAGTAAGGTTCATTAAGATGCACTGACTTGGTCAAATCATCAGAACAAATAGCAAGCCATCTTTTCAATGAAGAACTCTTCCTGCGGATTCCTCTGAAAGCATTTGGAGGCTTTGGCAAGTTTGGAAGGTAAAAATCATTGATATTAATAGAACTTGATTCATGTAGTTGTAAAAGAGATTTCTGAAAAGCTTCCTCGCTGATCCCTGCAAATGATTCTGGAGAAACTCCATTTAAGAACAATTTATCTTGAAGACAAAATAAGTTAAACGTATTGACCAAAGAAGGATACAGATAAACTAACCATATAGTAGCTTTCCCCCAATAGTTATAAACTCATTCAAGAGCTTACCCAGGTTCCAGCTTCTTGGGTGCTATAAATGAGGAGCAATCAGTAAAAGAAAGTTGTGACTAAAGGTATACAACATGTACAGGGATATTGCAACTACCTTCAGTGGATCAGCATTGCCAAAGACAATTTCATCCACCACTGCTTGCATGTACCTAATGAACAGCTTCTTTTAATGGCAACAGAGAGTTCCAAGTAGAATTCACAAAAATGTGTGTGCATATGAGCTAACAATTTATAAAATTTACGTGCATGTGAGCTCACAGATGCACATCAAATATTAATCATTTGGCAAGAACCAACCAAAAAAGCTCCTACTAAGTATTCAGGTTGGCATCATATCTTCCCATCTCAACTTTAAAGACTCACGAATCTAGAGACTTGTAACACAAAAAGACATTATTCTCTTTATTTCTACATTTTTGTCAACTTTTCACATTCATTTTGTTGACTATGCAACACAATCAACCACACCACCCAGCAATATCAACTGTCCTGAAAAGGAATATAAGAGGAATTTATTCTTGCATGTTCATCATGGCTGATCAAACCAGAATGTCATTAATGCCAGTATGCAGATTGATTTAGAGTTCCAATAAATAACAAACATAGCAAGAAGTTTTACCACCCTAAGTTATCTTCACTTGGGCTCTGTGAAGCACAAAGGTATAAGGTAAAAGCTATTATAGCATTGCAAAAACAACCACGGAGCTCTCATGCATTGCAAATGCAAATAGCAACCCAAGTTACAAAATTTGTTGAAAGTAAAAAAGGTACTCACTGGAATACATGTTGGGAACAACTTTCACTGTCACCTGTTAAAATCAATTGCCTAAGATCGTATACATGTTTCCTTTGTACCTGATGACGAAAATAAAGAATAAACAATTCAATGAGTTAAAATATCTGCTTGATTGATCATCGGCGTGTTTCCTTTTATACTTGATGGAGAGCAATTACAAAAAAAATGATGAACCAGCTTATAATAAATGAACTATGATGCTATTTGCATTGACTACCCGATGCTTTCACATAAATTTTTATGATTTTGTCAGCCTGTGATGAAGTATTTAGATGATACGAACTACTAAAACCTTGCTAGCTATAAGTTTCAAATAGTTTACATTCCATAAATAGGATAAAAAGAATCTGGTGCATGTAGTTTAATACCATGTTGTCCATGGAAGAGAGAAATTATCGTGTACACAACTTTATAATGCCATTATTCTGTCTTATCAACCTAAAAATAGATAAGTGGCTATGTATTGTTGGTTGCCTGATATCAAATTAGGGGGAATCTATAACAAGCTCATTTATCCAGTGGCTGTGCCAGTGGCAGCAGCAAGTGCTAAAAATAAGGCAAATGTTGTCCACAATGCATACCTCTAATACTTCATCAAACTCAACCAGGCTCTTTCTTATCCCAAAGAAGTACTTCTCCGCATTGATTTGCAGGGACAAAAGCTAAAAAATATTGCATTTTAATTTAGTAATAAAGTACTCAACTGTCACAACATAATATAAAGAAAAATGAATTTCCCTTCACGTGATCTAAATAATCACCTGATTTACAACTGAATCACCTTCAATTGGTATATCCTCATCATTAGTAATCTTTGAGATAAGTCTCACAACCCACTCTGTATCCAAATTAAATTTTTGAAACATTTCATCCTGCAAGCTGTGTCAAAATAGAATAGCTCAAGAATTAGCTAAAGTGCCTGATAATAATGGAACATCATATACATTTAATTGATGTATAGCACACAAAAACTTTGTGATGTTACACCTCTATTCATTGACGATTTTATCAATAATGCTCCATTATTCTTCAAAAAAGAAAAGAAATAATAAACTTCCTGCAACTTTGAGATAAGTCACAAATGATAAAATTTAGGGCAATGGATATATTTGCCCCCTAACTATCATGTGATCCTCAACTAGGTCCCCAAACAAGATAAATCCCAATCAGACCTCTAATCAATCAAACATTACAATATTAACCCCCACCATTAAATTTACAACAAAAACATCACTTTAAGACAAATAGGTCTGCAATTTTTATGACTTTAAGGAAAAAAATGTAAGGTGAGGACAATGTCTAATAGGGATTCGATTGTCTTTTTGTGTGTGTGTGTGTGTGTGTGTGTGTGTGTCTGGGGAGAAAGTTGGGGGACAAAGATGTCATTTTCCCTAAAATTTACAAGGCCGGCCTTTCGTTACATACAAGCTCCAGCAAAACAGTCAGCCAGTTAAAAGCACCATTGTGATGGAGGAAGCATAAAAGAAGAGCATAAGTACTGGGAGGGTAAGAAGATACAGGACTATGACATAGCTGTAGAGTACAGGTTCAAATCCCTCTTTCGGTTCATGTAGAATTGGCTTTTTAAATTATTTGTTTCACATGATGTCCTATCAACCTGGAAATGCTTCAGATGGTAATGTCGTAATGATTATCTAGAAAAGGTCTAATGTCATATAGCACAAGCCTCATTTAGCAAAGCATTTGTTGTTCAGCTCTTCATATCAGAAACGCACATTAGTACATTAAGAAACCATTCAGCAACAGGACATTGAGAAAAAAAGACTAACAAACAAATGGAGTACCTGACCATAAATCGGGTCGATCCAGGATCCCCTTGCCTTCCTGCTCTTCCACGAAGCTAGTTTGGAAAATGGAATCACAATCTTGAACTTATAACCATATTTTGAAATTTAAGAAAAGAAATAACATAGAAACAAGATATATGTCATCAATCAGAAGAAGCTAAGCTCTAAATCAGCTAGTCAAAACAAGAGACTTCAATGTGTGACAATAATTTGCATGTAAAATAACCAGTATGCTAAATCATTGGTGGTTCGTGTTCCTAAACTGAAAATTAGATGAGAACATTACGTATCTCACTGGTAGAAAGTATCTTGGTTCTAGAAAACTAATTTTTCAGACAATAAATTCACAGAGTGCATTATATGTGGGAATAACTTTTGTGACACAACTAAATGATCCGTTTTTGCCAAAAAATTGTATTAAATTTAGAATCCTAGCTAGTTGCTTCCACTCAAACTGTAATTGCAGATATCTCACCTGATTATCAATTCTCCGAGACTCATGCAAAGATGTTCCAATCACATGGAGCCCCCCAAGCCTTTTCACTTCAGACCCTTCATTGAAACAGTGTACTTCACAATCCTTCAGCACTGATAGATAAACAAGTGATATAGTTGGGCCAAGAGGGTACATCTCAGACTGCTCATTAGCAAGCTTCTGAAGCTCTTTTGCGTCCATTGAATGGCTCATTTCCACAGAGTATGATATCATTGATTTCGCCTCCTGATACGTCCAGCTCTTACCCTCACTCTTTCCAACATATTTTGCTGGAATAATTTACATTCAAAATAAAGATAAAGCCACCAGATTACATAATGCAAACCTCAATACAGAAGCATACAGTATCTTAAACGAAGTGGAATGTAAGCTTCCAGGCAAAGTCACAAACCCATTAGTGCTGTCTTTGCTAGCAGAGCAGATGATGTTGATCCAACCTTTATCTCTGACAATACCTACACCAAATAGAATACTTAAAAGTTTTTGGAAGAATTGTCTAGCAACTTATAGTTACAGCAAGAAATCACCTTTTGTGAAAATATCTCACTCTCAATTTCTGCATTAAGAGCTTCTTGTGTAAGAAAAGGAAGCACCCTGTCCTCCACAATTTCTTTTGCAAGCATCTACATATATTGGGACAGAGATGTGGTTAAAGATATCATTCCTCAGGATCAAAGGACGCTCCAATCAAGAAATCCAAGTCTCACAAAGTTACCCAAAAACATTATGTAGGTCACACTTTTTCCTGTTATCATTGGAGTAAATAAGAAACATCCAGCATGCACACTTACTTTGGGATTTCCTCCCAGAATTATATCAGTGCCTCTGCCGGCCATATTTGTAGAAATGGTTATGGCATGTTTTCGTCCTGCTTGGGCGACAATTTCAGCTTCCCTTGCAGCATACTGATGGAAAAAATTAGGAAACAAATAGGTATAAAGATTACTCTGAAACAAATTTCATGATGCGAGTGTGCAGCTGGCATGGAAAACTGTGCATCAATTATGAGTCATTTGGAGGTCAAATAGATCAAACCTTCGGCCGCGCATTCAGAACATTGTGGGGGATTCTCCACTCCTTGAGCAAATCGGACAGATATTCAGAATTCTCAACACTACATCAAGAAAGAAACAAATTCAGATATATTTGTTTGCTTCTAAACAATAAAAGTTGAAATGTACCACCCTTGTCAGATATATTTACTCCTGCAATTCTGTTGTTTCTAAAGTTGATGGGAAAAAAATTCTATGAAAAGACAATACAAGGAGTTTTTAACGATTTACCTAGTGGTCCCAACTAAAACAGGACGGCCCTGTCTGAACATATATTCGACTTCTTGACGAACATACTCCCATTTCCCACGAGCAGTCTAATAGAATTCGCAAGAAAAAAGCATTATCAAGTAGAAGGAGATGACAACAAAGCCTCAATCCCAAACTAGTTGGTGTGGAAACAATTTTTTTTTTTTTTTTAAAAAAAAGAATCAATTCTTAAAATGTTGGTGCATAACAAAAGAAAATGAATTTCAGAAGTTAAAAAAAACTACCGCAAAAGCTTGTATGGGTAAATCTTTACGGATATTTGGTAGGTTTGTAGGCACTTCAATGACTGGCACCCGGAACATTTTCAAAAACTCCTTTTCCTGCAATGATGTAAAGGAAATTTTCAAAATTGTATTGATGACTAATAAGTTAAACCAACCATATATCTTTGACAGTGACCCATATATAACCATGCTTACTTCAGTTTTTGCAGTCCCGGTCATTCCTGACAGCTTTGGGTAGAGCTTAAACAATGATTGATATGTGATTTGTGCCACAACAACTGAATCAGCCTACAAATGTTTCAAAAAACGGTAACTTTTAATTGGACAAAAAGAACGTGTTTGATGTGATTATTACATATTGAACTTCAGAAAATACCAGGATAGTATCCAAACATCAAGTACCTGGATCTTCAGACCTTCCTTAGCCTCAACAGCCTGGTGAATACCGTCAGACCATCTCCTTTTCTCTTCAACTCTTCCTGTCAACTGCATAAAATTTACAATAAATAACTTAGTCCTTCTGGTTTTGAAAATAATAAATTAGTCCCTTGACTGAAGTTGACTGTAAATTCTTTTTGAAATTTCTAAATTACCCTTAAATAATTTTTGAATTGTCTGTGATGGGTAAAATTTGATTAGAAATGGAGGACATTTTAGAAGATAAAACAATTAAATTGTCATAAAAAAAACCAATAGAAAGAATAAGTTACAAACAAATATGAAATAATAGGGACTCAACATTGGGTTTCTTAAACCAAAGGGATTGATTAATTATTTCACCAAAAAAAAAAAAAAACATGGATCAAATAATAATTACTCATAAAATTTATAGTTGTTCTATCTGATTACCATATTTAAGTCTTCAAATTGCACTTGTGTATGAACACTCACAGTTGTTCTTCCACATAAGAAAAATATACAATATTAAAGTTTGCAGAAATACCTCATTGACTATGAGAGCCTTCCCGTTCCTAATAATATATTGAACATCTCGTCGATAGAACTCTTTAGCTTTTAAAGCATTCATCACAAATCTGCAATATTTTGTTTACCACTGAGTTGAAAGAGGAAATGAAATAGCATTGACCTGATATGCCATTCTCCAGGCAAGAGCATAGAATTTAATTACTCAGACACCATAGAAATAAACCAGGTGGGTATACACACTCAGCCCAACGTAAGGAATTATGAATAGTCAACTGAACAAAAGAAAGCAAATTCAAATAGCACAAACGAATCTTTTCAGAAGCAACAGTATGAGTCTGTAAGTTCTTGTGATGAGGCTGGTACCAGAAAAGATATTTGAAGAAGAAAAATAGAGAATAATGGCTTTTTCAAATCATATCCGTTGAAAAAGGCTTTGAAAAATCATATTCACCTAGCCCAGGGATCAGTCTCGTCCCACAGATCTTTTGTTTCAAGAACCATCTCAGCGAGCGTTATTCCTTCCTCTGTCAACTCCACTGAATTGTCTTTCAGCTCCACAGTGTAATGCTGGTGACAGAATTGAACGGTAAAGCAGATTTCAATTATAGATGATGGTTCACATGTTATATAACTCTATGCAATCTATATGTCAGCATGGCGGCAGGCTAGACTCACGAGGCCTCGAATAAGTAACTCGGCTACTTTAGCAGCAACTTGATATCTTGCAGCATCCTTATTAGCCTGACATATACAGGGAAGACGTAATAGCCTATCAAAAAACAATTTCTACAGCTTTGTACATTACTTTTTATGATGATAAGCATGATAGTATATTGGTGATTTTGAGATTTGCAGGCTATATTTTTTAGAAGAGCTTAAACACCTCTCCACTTATTAACAATGGATTTCTTCCTTCATCTATGAGGACTGAATCAACTTCATCAACTATTGCAAAATGAAATGGCTTTGGCCTGCATAAGCACAGTCAAATGCTATAATCCAATTTAAAAAAATAATAACAATAAAATATAAAAAATGAATGTTGATAATCTCTTGTTTTATACCATCTCATCACAAGTTGTTCACTCTTTCCCGCAAGGTTATCTCGTAGATAATCAAAACCAAGTTCCTAAGTGCATTCAGAATGACAAATATCATTACATAGAAGATAGAGTCTTGGAAAGAGAAAGCGTTAGTCACCAGCCAACAACACTAGGACAATGGAACAAAAAATTCAAGCAGCGACCACATGCCATGAGAAAATAAATGGACTACTAGCAACATGCAATAAGGTACAGCAGGAAATTAGGATTGACTTACTGAATTATTGGTGTAAGTTATATCACATCTGTAATTGGATCTTCTCTCTTTAGCCGTCATCCCCTTCTGCATATGCAAACAACTACAGATTAAAGCTATAAAAACTGGCAGTCTAAGTGCGTGCTTGAATAGTTGTTTAATTTTGTTTCTGTTGTAAGATATTTTCTGGAATCAGCCCCAGGTAATTGCATAGAACATGTTACAAGGGAACATATTTACACCTGAATAAGACCAACTGAAAGGCCCAAGAAACGATGAACACGACCCATCCACTCAGCATCACGTTGAGCCAGGTAATCATTCACAGTTACCACTGCCAAGGGACAAAAGCAATCACATATCTAGCAAAAGAAACCCACTAAACAATTGGTTCAACTGCTGCCTTTAAGCTATTGCCATGCATTGCAGTAAGATCACAGCGGCAGTAACTGCAGTAAAAAACAGTTCAAGCCCTATAGTGATTAGTCATAGAAGATCACACCTGCACAAATTCAACTATACTTAGATTATCAAGTATCCTTGTCATTGCCTCATAAACTCACGACGATATTTTAAACCCCATTTGTAAATGCTAGCATGCATTTACAAATATCTATCTTTTGGAACTGGGAACATAAAACATACCATGGACACCCTCGCCAGTCAATGCATTGAGATATGCTGCTAACGTTGAAACCAATGTTTTCCCCTCCCCTGTTTTCATCTCAGCAATTGATCCATCATGAAGCACCGCACCACCAATAATCTAGCATTGAAAATCGCAACGTAATTAAACATGACAACCTAATTTCAATGAATACATTGTGTTCTGCAATACAATTATACACGATGATCTGTTGTAAGCATGCATATGCTCATGTGCAGATTCTAACATGCATGTGTGGACGTATAGGCATAATATAGAGAGTAATCCAAAACCTGCACATCAAAATGGCGCATCCCAAGTTTCCTCTTTGCAGCTTCACGAACCACAGCAAAGGCCTCTATAAAATAAATGACAAACGCAAAATAATATGGACTTTTAACTATCATCTTTCATTCCCTTACGCATGCAATTTATAAAATTCAAATAAGAAAAGATGCTCGGTAGCAGCAACCTGCTTGAATATCTGCCAGTGTCTCCCCTTGTCTCAGCCTTCTCCTAAACTCCACCGTTCTGTCACTCAACTACCAATAAAAAACAAACACAGCCCTTATCCAAAATGACCCAAAACCCATTATTTGAACACTTAGAATACCGATTAAATTAAACTCAAAACCTGATCATCAGAGAGCTTTTGCATTTGAGACTCAAGAGCATTGACGGACTCCACTAAACGATAATAATCCCTCACAATCCAGTAGTTCAAGCTCATAAAATCAGTCACTCTCTTCTTCAAACTACCCAAATCCTCCTAGAATGTTGAAAAAAGTGATTAACAATTTCCCATGATCATTTTATCAAACAGAAGGTGGGCAAAACAAAGAGAACCTTGAGAGAAGCATTACTAGCCGTGCTGCTGCGGATAACAAGACGTCTTTGAAGGCTGGGCAAAGAGTGAGTGACAGGGAAAGGGAGAGTGGAGATGGGTTTGGAGTAGTAGAGTGCCGTTTGTTTGTTAGGTGGTTTTGAAGGTAGAAATGGAGGATTTATGAGAGCGGGAACGGTGGCCATGTATGTTTTTTTCCCTTTTGTGCGTGTGCGTGTGTGTGTGTGTGTGTGTGTGTTTAGGTGCGTTGTGTTGGGTTTGCCTGGAGCTGTTGCTTCGAGTTCTTTTGTTGGTTTCTGCGAGGTAACTAGTAGCCACGCAGATATAATGCAAAGAAATTAGAAAAATATTTGGCACCTACTTACTATTCTAACCCCTATAATTTTGAAATGTTCCTCTTTACGACCTTTGTAATTTAAGAGTTTCTATTATCAATCTCAAAGTTCTCCAAAAGCTCTAATCTGACCCTTTGTTGTATCAACATGATGTTTGGAACTCGGAAGGATCGACCTTTGGAAGGACAAATTTTGGATGGTGAGGAATTAGGGGTTGTGAAGATTCTCATGTATGGCAGTAGAGAAAAGAATGGAGAGAGTAGAATCGGGAGAAACAATTTTATATATTAAATCCTCAAAATCAATCTCTTTAAGATGGATAAATTAAAAAAAAAAAAAAAAAAAGGACACTTATTTCAAACAAAATTCAAGCAAAAATTTAATTGATATATACGTGTCTATCCCTACTTCCTAATCCAAAAGCAATATCCTTTGGAAGACTTGCTCTCTGATGTTTTCTTTTAAAAAAATGTTATGCATGGTTAGGAATAAAATGATAAATAATTTTATATATACAATAAGTAACTTTCTTTTTATTTCTACTTCTTTTATTCTAACCTCGTCCAAACACACAAGGAAAAAGTGCTTCTTTTGCACTCTCTTCGTTTATTTTTCTTTCCTCCTCTTTCCTTTTCTTTTCATGATCAAAATATAAATAGCTCTCAAGACCACTTTCTGGGAGCGGGAACAGTAGTCATGTATTTTTCTTTTTCTTTTTTTATAAATATTCTTTTATTTTTAAAGATTTTGTGGAATACCACCATCATCATATATTTGTAGTTTTGATGATGATAATAATAATAATAACAATGGTAACTCAAGCTAAATTGCTTTTGCAGGACCTTGATAATTTGATTTGCACAGCATTTAACAAATGGTATTTGTCTTACAAAAACAGTTTCGTGTCATTTTTATTCTGGAAAAACAAAGCAACAAGGAAACTGTTTTTCAGGGCCATTTTCTCCACCTAAGTACTTTTGGCAAGCTCGCACTTCAGATCACTTGGTGTAGATTTATTTATTTCTCTCACGGACTGCTACTAGCACTCAAGCCTAGACAAAAAATGATTTATCTGACAATAATTTATTTATTGAGTGTTAAATAACAACACAATCAAGCGCCTTAGTTAACGTTATAGGAGTTAGGACTGAACGTTTATGTCGGATATAATTTATCTAGATTTAATATAATAATGAAATTATAATTCTAGTTAAAGATAACAAGGAAAATGAAGGTTTGATAATCGTTTTATAAAACTCTAGCTTCGTAGAAAGATAAGAGTAAATATGCAGTAAAAAGAAAAACAACAACAACAACAACATCATCGGTGCTTCGTGAAGTCGTGTCTGTATCCTTTGGAGTGAATCACCAACCCACAACCACATCTAGGCCCATAAAAACCAGTTGAAAAAACTTCAGCCCAAGTCAGGCCTTATCCCTCTGCCTCAGATATTACTATGATTTTAATATCTGAATCTTCCGCAAGAACCAGTATAATTTGGAACCTGACGGTAGGCCCCCATAATTTTCCATCACAGTGCTTTTCCTAGCCCAGGGGCCACAGGACAAAGCCGAACCGCAGAAATATTGAACGCACATAAAGTGTGGCAAAATTTCATCCAGAATCTCTACACTTCACATGAAGAGAGAGAGAGAGAGAGAGAGAGAGAGAGAGAGAGAGAGTGATATACCTACCAATGCTAAATTATTGTTGGTGTTCCGCAACTAACCAAACTCTAGTCACAGACCTGAGACCTAGATATCTAAATACTTGATGTATCAAACTCGTTTTCTCTCGAACCCGAAGTTAATTATACGCTTCAGTTGGTGGGCTCTTTTTATTTCATTGATTTTTTAGATGATGTTTGCAACCACGTATGGGTGGCACCCATATTTATTAATCGAGTTCGTGTAATCTGTAAAGGGATGACGGCATTTGAAGTATTTGTGTTTTTTTTATCAGATATTTGTATTGGTTTTTTTTCTTTTTGAATATTTGTATGATCAATTAAATACTTGTTTTAGTTTTGCTGTGGAAATGTTGATGTGACAGTTAAACTCCATATCAGGGGGGTTGGTTAGAAAGGCTTGCGGTTCTTAATGCAGGCTACTACGTGTACATATCCTACAGGAACACGTGTGACCAAGTGAAAAATGGGGGACACAGAAAATAAGAAGCCGTCTTCTCTTGTCCTGTTAATTAAATCTCGATTTAAGGGTGAATGACTTGGTCGTAACATGTGCCTTTGTTACTGGGGAAATTGGTAAGTTGCTGTTTTCTCGAAGCAGTCAATTTCAAGTAGGAAAGAAGAAAGAAAATTTTAAGGACTGTACCCATGCTTGAAAAAAATTGGCCAGCTTATTTTGAAAAAATTGGATTTTTAAGTAGGTACGAAGCAAGAAAATTTATAGGCTATCCCTATATTTTAAACAATTTCGTCAGCTTACTCTTATATCTCCTCTTCATTCTCAAAATTTTTCGATCTCTTCAGTCTTCTCCAAAAATTTGCATCGTCTTTCTACACTCTATGAGGAAAATACCGCAATAAATCCAACGGGGCCAGTAATAATTCACAATTCTGGCAGGGATAGGAGACATTTGCAGAGGCCCAGATGGATACAACCTTAAACTTTGTGTAAATGCCATCGAGTTCAATGATGATGGGCTCCACTGAATGAGTTTTGCTGATTGATTAATCATTTGACCGCTGATAGCTTGGTCTAAACTCTAAAGAGGCCGGGTTCAGTTCATTAACAAAATTATTTTTGGACATTAAATAATTTAACGCAGTTATACTAACTGCATCATTTTGTGCCTTGTTATTAAAAACATATAAGCCCACCAACTGACAAGCTAAGTTTCCTTTTCTGTCAGTTACAATGTGAGAAGTTAGTTGAAAATTTAAGGCGGGAAAGAGGGGTATTTTGCTAATTTTGTTTGCCATTGCCGCTACCTGCATCTGTTATACTTTTCTAGTTAATATGTCGTTTTGTATTTCCAAACCCCATTTTAACGGCAATTGTTAGCTAGGAACACAGAAACCGAAGCAAGTATCATTATGCCTAACCGCAAAAACAAATCATAAGATAGGGTTTTAACGTTGTTTTCTTGCCTTTCCTGTCTTGTGCAGGCACTTGATGTCTGACCTAAGTGTCTTTTTCTTATTAATCATTTAAATTATGGTAAAAGGTTCGTTGGGAATTGCGATCAGCCCATTTTTCATGACATAGTTATGGCCTCGTTTCAAGGCATATTCCAACCTTTCCGCATTGACAGGTTGACTTGTTGATAAAAAATTCGTCCAGCTACAAGAGGGATTTGTTTGCTTTAATGGTTGAAATTGTGTGCTTTATTTTTGAATATCCGGATTAATTCTCTGGTTGCAGTGTTTAATAAGCAATGAATAATTTTTTTATGAATTTCCTAATTTTAATATGTATAATATGCATTTTAGATAAATATAATTTTAATAGGTTCAAACTTAAAAGCTAACTTGAGAATATCAGAAATGAAAACAAAAAATTCCTCCACGAGCTAGAAGACAAGAGGCACCTTCCTAGACACAATACCCACAATTTTGGCGTACAGTATCAGCAGCGGAAAACATACATACCTAATCCCTTGACAAAGAATATTATCTATTGGTAAGTAGAAAATAATATATTCAATGGTTCCCACATGGACTTGTGGAACCATTGATTACTCTATGCATGCCATGTTCAGAATCACATGTTACTTAAATCCCTTTTATTGGATTTTATGCTCCGTAACCGGTCTTATCTTCGGCAATGTGGTGGTGGGGTACATTGAAGGCCCACAAGGATCCTACGAGATTGATATGTTTGTCCGATTGCTCTGATGTTGGAGGAAGATCCGTACAAAGAGTCCCACAAGATTTAGCCATAGAGGGTTGAGAGATCGCTTCACCAAATTATCGAAGCAAGAAAGATTGGGTAATTCAAATGAAATCAGGTAATTTGGCAATCCCAATTTTTCATCGCTGCCCATCAATCTTTTCACCTAAGATACTTAAAAAGATACTATTAAGTAACCAAATTAGACTCAAGAAAGGTATTCACTAGTAAAAATTAGGTTTAAAGAAAATTAAAAGACCTTTAATGTGAAAAAATTCACAAATAAAAAAATATATCTTGTTTAGGGAATCGGATAACGTTTTTTTTTTTTTTTTTTTAGCATCCGACCCTATCAGAAACAAATCAGATAATAACTAAAATTATCTACTTTTCAGAATCTTGGAAATGTTTTAATCTATGTGGATAATTCTTATGAATTTTTTTTTAATATCGCTTACCTCTAACTGCACTAGTTAATTCAAGTATTTTTAAACAAATTGAGAATTGGATTTTAGCATTTTTCTCTGGCACGTGCAAGTTCGTACTTGGATCCACCGACGGGCTATGTCTGCCATGCAGACCAATAGTTGATAGCTTGTTGAGTAGAGTCACTTAGCACTGAACCTAATTATAGCTGTCCGATATATGGGTTACGTCGACCCACAATAGACCTTAGTTGGTATCCATCCATCACGTGCAGCAGAACGACTGATACCAGCTATCAACGTTCTCCTGATTCCACACTTTCAGCACTGGATCGCCCTCTTTTGTGCACTTTGTTGTTCCACCTCTATTTTGTACCGATCCTGTGAGTAGTCTATTTAGACTCATGTTCCTTTCACATTAATTTTAACGCAAGTCATTTTAGTTGAGAGTCCGAACTTCTTTTTCTTGATCTTTTCTTTTCCTTTTCTTTTTGCATGTTACGTGATTCGACTTATGTTCAGTCGTTTTGGGAGAAAATTTTTGTGCAATTTTTAAAAGTGGGGGAAAGCCGTGCATTATCAGAAAGAAATTGGTTTCCCGTCATGTTAAAACGAAAAAATATATATTTTTTTTAAATAGACCACTAACTATATGACATGTAGTTTTTTTTTTTTTCATTTAAGTTATAGTATTTCGTATTGTATACGTGCAAGATTTTGCAGCAATTCATGCATATTAGTTATGTTAGAGAAAAATATTTTACTTTTTTTAAAAAATTGTCTTCCTATATTTGTTTCAAAGTATTTGCCTCGTCAAAATTTTAAATAACATATTTTTCAAAAATATAGCTAATTAATAAAAAAAATATTTCTTTTATTTCTTATTCTTCAGTAATAAAAAATTAATATTTTTTCATATTTTTCTCTGGTATATACAAATGTCTTTAACATAAAAATTTCAAAGAAAATTTTTTATTACATAAAAAATATTTATTCTTGTATTAATTTTACTGCATATGAAATTTTTAGAGTAAAAATATTTTAATTAGTATGTTATTTTTTATAATTGTTTTAAACTAAATCTTTAATTAACTTTTTTTTTTATTTGCCACTTTGATTTTGGATATATATATATATATATATTCTATGTAATGTAAGATTAAATTTGATAACTATAAATTTTAACAAAAAATAGTATTAATTTTAGAAAATTATGAATTAAAAATATTAATAATTCATAATAATTAATAATTTTTTAAAAACTGTGTACAAAGTTAAACGGAACTATCTCTTTGGAAAAGATTTAAGTAATATATAAAAAAAATGTTACTTTTAATGTGTAGAGAGCATGAGAAAATATTTCCAACTTATATTAATCCACAGCAAAACCACATTATATATTAAAAAGTCATAAACTTTTTTTTCAAAGACTAATCATTTTTTGCAAATAAATGGTGCAAGTTATTTTCGTTTTTTTTTCCTTTTCTTTTCACATCAAAAGAACATCATTATCCTGTTTTTTTTTTTTTCTAGTTTTTTCTTACATTATCAGTAACATTCGTCCACCTGTATCCTCATGCATGGTTTCCTTCGTACTATCTTAAGAGAGTTTTCACATTAATTTGTACTTCGTGTTATGTTTTCTTCCCCTGGTCTATCTTGTATTTTCATCCTATGGAATGGGTTTCACCCATTAATTTTATAAAATGTACACAAGTTCAAATCTTTCACTAGCAACTAAAATTAAAATCCGACGTGGATTTCAGTTTAATTATAAATTTTAAAATTTTATATCGAAATGTTATTTTTTTGCTAAAAAACCACCATAACGAAAAATTTTATAATATTCAAATGGTAATAGGTGACATATACAATAGTTACTCTATGAATCAATTTAGAAGAAAGAGATAAACATATAAAATTATATCTATACCCATAATAAATAATAAAAAAAATTTACACATTTACTCAATTTTTTTAAAAAAAATTTTTCTTTTATTTTTATATCTATTTCTTTTCTTCAAGCGAGTATTATAAGATTTCTCATAAATGTTAAACGTGGGAGCTGTCGGTGGGTGTCCTTGGGTCATCAACAGTGCAAGCCCCCACCATTCTGCCTTTGGACGACGATGCTATTGAAAATGGCAAGCAGATATCTCTTTCTCGTCAGAATCTCCTTCCTCCTTTTGTTTTCTCGGAAGGAAAGGAAAGTAATGCAATTAAAAAGTTATGCAAGACATAGTTTGTGTTTTTGGAATGAACGGCGGAGATTAAATTGATCCAGGGAATCAAAACGAGATTAACAAGTTCCCTAATCCTAGTTGGATATTGATCCTCCTTTTTTGTCCTGGTAATTTTCCGGGGGACCGTACACCTATCTTCAAAATCGCTTCGAACTTTTTAAGGATGTGGATAGCACGTGGCCGCCATCTTCTGGGCCACGTTTTGAGGTAAGCGTTGACGTGGGGTTCAAAACATTTATTCGTGCCTAGTGTATGGTGTCTGATTAGGAACCACGTGATAATGGGTTTCACTCTACCTTGCCGCAGAGAGCGTGGCCATGAAGAGAGGTGCGCAGTCACGGGAATATAATCCACAATCGGCTTTGTTCACCACCGTCCAAATGAATGAGTAACCTCCAAATAATGTTAAAAAGAAAAGGATAGAAAGATGGGTTGAAAAATTCAACGAATAAATATATGTTAGTTTAGTAATAAATGAATTAATTTTTAATTGAATTTTTTTATTAAGACGTAAAATTTGAATTTTAAAATTATATTTATTAAAAAAAATTTTATTGTTTATGTTTCAAATACAATTAATTTTATTTTTAAATTGAAATGATGATATACAGATAAACAAAAAATTGTAATAAGAACAAAATGTAGAACTAGCAAATGATTAAATATAATAAGAGTTTGGAGAGATGATGCAATTTGTCTTGTCAATCACGGAATGGTTAACAAGGCAAAATTAGGAATCTAGGATTGGCTTGCATTCTATCGCCAGCGTGACCTAACAGTATTTTGATGTCATCGTTATAAGGAATTTTAACTACTAACTAGCTCTGTTTGACATGATTTTTAGATTATGATTTTTTATTGTGAATTATAATTCAAAAAATGTTTTTCATAAATAATTTAATATAAAAATGAGTTAAATTGATTTTAAATTCGAAATATATTTGATAAAAATAACTCAAAGCAATTTTTTTTCCAATAAAAAATCTAATATAAGTTAAAAGCTAAAAACTTCAACTTTATTAAATAAATATTTTAACTCAGTTTGGTAATAAACTTTTGATTTAAGTTAAAATGTAATTTTAACTAAACATGCTTATACCTTTCTTAATCAAAAATTGAAAAACAACTTAAATCAATTTTTAAAAATCATACAAAATATAATCTAACGATAAAGTTTTTCTGTGGGCTGAGATAAGCTTTTTTGCCTGGACATATTAGCTGAAGCTGTTGAATGATGGCCCGCAATAATTACACGAAGCGAGCGGAGGGCTACGTAGTAGGTAAAGGTGGATATAATTTACATGCAGGCAGGTCTTGACGTCAAGAATAGATCTCAGTTTCTATTGAAAATTATGTTTGGAAATGATGTTCAGACTCGCCTTCGAGGTACAATAAATTGAGTGATTTAAATTTAAGGGATAAGAGCCCTTAATTGATCGCCGGAGGCCCCAATAATGGACCACTTATGGTCCTTTTAGAGCATCTATTATTAGCAGGAAAGGATCATGCAATAAACTTCCAGCAGTAGCTATTGCATAGCACCTAAAAAAGAAAAAGATAGTTGATCAATTAAAATCTCTTTTTTGCTGAAAAGGGGAAATAATTAATTCTCATGACGAGGAAAATCAATCTTATTAATAGCCGCATTGTACAGTTAGAGCATGGATGAATTTTTCAAAAGTCTTTTTATACATACAATATGCTAACGTTACACTACGTACTATATAAAACGTGGAAATTATCATTTTAGATTCTCTCTTGTTTTTTTTTTTAATAACTAATAACGTTTCAAATCTCATTATTAGTTTTGAATATAATAATTTAAATAGTAAAAGATAAATAAAATAACAAAAAATTAAGTTATTTCTATTTTTATTATGTATTTCATTGTAACTGATCAATTTGAATTTAATGATTTAAATTCAATGAACATAACATTTATATTTTTTGAGGAAGGATCCCAATCCATAAAATTTGATTTTCAAACAAATTTGATTTTATTACAAATTTTATACAAACTATTTGTAAATTAATAAATAATAATCTACGAATCTTATAAATAATAAATGACTGATATCAATGAAAATAAAAGTAATTGTGTCACATATCAAACATGAAAGTTTATATAAGAGTTTATTGCATAGCACTACTCGTGAAACATTCAAGTTTTGATTTTTGATTTTTTTTTAATTCGACAATATGCAAAAATTAACCAACTTTTCTAATTCTATATATATATAAAAAAAAAACAAATAATACATGTTTACATTAAAAAAAAGAATGAAAAAATTCAATCCATGGCCCTCATCTTGGAATCGGAATTAATTAAGAATTTCAACCTTGATACGATAAGAAACAAACTTTTCTAAGAAATCAAAAGTTTGTTGTTTTTTAGAAGAGAAAGGGGAGCCAATTTAAGAATCATTCAAAGGGAGAACTGAGAATAAAAGGAAGGAAATCATCATTATTTAAATACAGGTTGTGAGTAACGCATCTCTCCTACCAGGGCAGCAGCCCCTATTGGCCCATACCTATTAAATTAAATAAATACCAATCTCATTATCTATCTAATCGGAGTATCTCAGTTCTTTTTAGCGTTTAGGTCACATGTCTTTTGCAAGTGAAAGGGGACCCAATCCACCAAAAAATGCTTTCGCTACCCAAAAAATCAGTCACTTACCGATTCATCCATATACTTATCGTAACCAGATAACAATTATCATTAAACCAACCAAAATAATTCACCACTAATATTGTCACATCCATATAACTAAAATACACCTGGGTGCACCCTAAAGAAAGTCTCTTCTTCGAATGAGTAAATTATAAATTATTCCCTTTAATTTTGAAAAACAAATTAATTAATTTTTTATTTTAAAAAATAATTATTTCATCCATTGATAAATAGTCATTATACTTAATTTAATATTATTTTATTATAAAAAAATATCGCCTTCATCACTCTTTTCATAATATTTTTTTAAATAAAAAATTAATTAATTAATTTTTAAAAGGAAAAAAATTAACTAAAACTAGAGTGACTAATTTATAATTGAGTTCCCTTCCTTCCTTTCCCTTTCTAGTCTGGTTTTGCGACCTTGAAAAGCAAACAACCAGACTGACTGTTAAAGCCAAAAAAACTAACCTGTCTCTCTCTCTCTCTCTCTCTCTCTCTCTAACGTATCACTATATGAGCACGAGATGGTCCTCTTCTATTCCAGGCAACAAAAATTCAACATATAAACTCCAAAACGACATCTCTCTGATCACTAAAATTTAAAAGGAAGAGCAAGAAAATGCCGCAACGTGAACGAGAGGAAATGACCGACTCCGGTTACAGTACGGTGATAGTAGGAGTTAAGCTTGACTCAGCTAGTAGAGAGTTGTTGACTTGGGCTTTAGTCAAAGTGGCTCAACCTGGAGATACGGTTATTGCTCTTCATGTTCTTGGTAATAATGGTAAGTGAAACTTGAACTGGAACTGATATTGGTTTTTGGTTATTTATTTGGTGTTTTAATTTTGGATATTTGCTGAAATAGAAATCGTGGATCGTGAAGGAAAATCTCCGCTTCTATCGCTTTTTAAAGCTTTTGACTCTGTTCTTGCTGTTTATGAAGGTTTCTGCAACTTGAAACAGGTTGGTTTTAGGTTTCTTACATAAATTAAACTTGTACCTCTTCGTTTACTCTCTCTCTCTCTCTCTGAGCATGCGTGTTCTTGCTACTTCAAGTGCTATGATTTAATTGCCATCCGTTTGGTGGTTGAGAAAATTGAATTTTTGAGTAAATGTTTTTAGAACATTGGAGAGTTTGGGGGGTTTTGATGGGATGTGTTTTGCAGGTGGATCTCAAGCTCAAGATATGCAGAGGTTCGTCAATTCGGAAAATTATAGTCAGGGAAGCAAAATCTTATTCAGCAACAAAGGTTATAGTTGGAGCTGCTAGGAATCGCTCTTCAATTTGGTCATCAACATCTATGGCCAAGTATTGTGCTAAAAAGCTACCAAAGGATTGTTCTGTTCTTGCTGTCAATAATGGGAAAGTTGTGTTTCAAAGGGAGCGCTCTCCAAACAATAATGGTAGGTTTTTATGGTTTATTGCTTTATCCCAGTTTGATTTTCCTCATTTTTTTCCCTCGGTTGTTGGGTACAGTAGTAACCAGTTGTGCAGTTGTTGCAGGAACGAAAGATCATGATCAGAATGGTATGCTTAGTGTTGTTCACAGGAAGAATTCATTTGAGAAGGCTTCTAGAGTAGTAAATGAAGGTGGTGACAATGTGGCCTCTAAGAAAGATCAGGATAATGACAATGATCAGGATAATGACCGGACTTTGGAGCAGGTGTTAATGAAAGCTCGTTCGAATAGTTTGGAAGGTATCATGAAAGAGAATTGCTCAGTCTGTGGATCAGCTACAAAATCTGCTGATGCTTCCTGTAATCGATCTGCAGAAGCATCTTGTGGTGACAGTGGCGGTGATGAGAAGTCATTAGCGCTAGTTCCGGTACCAAGGGTAGAGGAACCCACGAGTTCAGTTTCCACATTAATTAGAAAGGTGCCTGAATTGAAACCTGGTTGGCCACTACTCCGTCGTGCAGTTTTACCAGATCGAAAAGCATCAGATAGATCTTTAGTGAGGCAGATCTCTGTTGTTCAGTGGGCAATGAGGTTGCCCAGCAGGCAACTCACATTATCCACTGTCAATTCGGATCACAAACAGGACGGTTCTGATAAGGGTGAAGAGCAATTGAATTTGGATGGAGAAAGTGGTGCGATTGTTGCAGTTGGAATGGAGACAGCGACAACTCTGCCTTCTTCTGACCACAATTCAAGAAATCCAGCAAAAGAATTGGAGGGTCTCCATGAGAAATACTCAGCAACTTGCAGATTGTTTCAGTACCAAGAACTTCTCTCAGCCACATCCAACTTTTTGGCTGGTTTGTTTCCTTGTGCAAATTGAAATTCAAGGCAACTTCAGTTTTTTTTATTTATTTATTTTTTTTTTTGTCATTATGTCATTTACCTTATCTTTTTTTTTTTTCTTTTAGAAAATTTGATTGGGAAAGGGGGCAGCAGTCAGGTTTATAAAGGTTGTCTTCCTGACGGCAAGGAACTTGCTGTGAAAATCTTAAAGCCATCTGAAGATATACTGAAGGAGTTTGTTCTGGAAATTGAGATTATCACTACCTTGCATCACAAGAACATTATTTCTCTCTTGGGGTTCTGTTTTGAGGACAAAAATCTTCTCTTAGTTTACGAGTTCCTATCAAGAGGAAGTCTTGAAGAGAACCTTCATGGTATTTGATTAAAAGTTCTCTCTAGATTAGATAATTGTGAATCCCTTAAATAGTTTCTGAAACGATTTAGTCTTCCTGTGCTTATTTATTTAGGTAATAAGAAGGACCCACTTGCATTTGGTTGGAATGAAAGATATAAGGTGGCTTTAGGAGTCGCAGAGGCCTTGGATTATCTTCATAGCTGTAGTGCTCAACCTGTGATCCACAGAGATGTTAAATCATCAAATATACTATTATCTGATGATTTTGAGCCACAGGTGATGCATTTTCAACTCTTCATCTTTACTTACAATAGTTTATTCTCTGAGTTCTGAAGCTTTTCTGGTATTCTCAGCTCTCTGATTTTGGACTTGCTAAATGGGCACCAACCTCTTCATCTCATAAAATCTGCACTGATGTTGCTGGAACTTTTGGGTGCGTTATTTATATTGCCACACCATTGATGTTACTATTAAATTTGTTTCTTTTCCTTCAATTTCAAAGAGTAAATATTATGATATTGGTTGTTTTGTGAGATCAACTGCAATGAACTTGATAAGAGGAAAAGGATGTTGTTACTTTTTATCTACTTGTTGGTTACTAAGATTAGATAATTGCTGCAGTTACTTGGCTCCGGAATACTTCATGTATGGCAAAGTAAACAACAAGATTGATGTCTATGCATTTGGTGTTGTACTCCTTGAGCTTCTTTCGGGAAAAAGCCAATAAGCAATGATCTTCCTAAGGGCCAAGAGAGCCTAGTTATGTGGGTATGTCCCTGTTACTCATTGAGTTTACTTACACTGAATTTATTACATCTTGTTTTTGTCTATGAAAATCACATGTATTTACATGTCCAGGCAAAACCAATCCTAAATGGTGGAAAGGTTTCCCAATTGTTAGACCCAAGCTTGGGTGATAGCTATGATCGTGATCAGATGGAAAGGATGGTTTTAGCTGCCACTCTCTGTGTAAGACGTGCCCCACGAGCTAGGCCTCAAATGAGCCTTGTAAGTCATCTTTGTACTCTCTTTGCGCGCTTCCTTTTAGTTTATCATAATAGGCTAATCTAGTACTGCAGAGAGGTTGGCAAAATGTTAACTCTTGATGTTTGGTTCAAATTGGAAATTGTTTCCATTAATTAGAAAGTAAAATGGCATCGCTCACTTGGCACAGAAAGTTGCTTTCTTAAATGTGATCCCCCTGCTACATATGCCTGCATGTCTCTCATCAAGCGTTACCTCAATTACAGCAGCATTAGCTCCGCATGTAAAATATGATGGTTTATGTTTTGATTTTCCTGGTATCTTGTTCATAGAAATAACAACTTGATTTCCTTTTTGGGTTTATAAAAGGTTGCGAAGCTCCTCCTAGGTGATGCGGAAGTGACCAAGTGGGCAAGACTACAAGTTAATGCTGTAGAAGAATCTGACGTGTTGGATGATGAAGCATGTCCACTTTCTAATCTGCAGTCCCATCTTAACCTTGCATTGCTAGATGTTGAGGATGATTCGCTCTCCTTGAGCAGCATTGAGCAGAGTATATCATTGGAGGATTACTTGCAAGGCAGGTGGAGCCGCTCATCAAGCTTAGACTAACCAATATCATCACTGCTGGTGAAATGCAAACAGAACACTGTTCGGTCTCGGAAATTCTTTTGTATATCCATCCGTTTGGTTTTTACCTTTCTCGTTCAATTAGGTTTGTGTTATTTTTGGGGTTGCTTACAGATGGGTATTGGATGAGAGGTTGTTTGTGGTGTGCCCTCCTCCTTCCCTTTAGTAATCATAAATGTAATCACCAACTTGTTGGGACAGCTCTCTCTCTCTCTCTGGTTTTTTTTTTTTCACCTCAAAGGTGTCGGTGCTTGATCTAAAATGGATCGAGATTGGAATTTGTTGTAATGGTTTATATTGTTGATAATTTTGTTGTAACACTGAACATTTTCTGATAAAGTGAGATAGTGAGCTCAAAGAAGTCACTACTCCTGTTGTCTCAAAAAGGTTAATAAGAAGAAGTTTTGATTGGAATGCTTGTTGTGTACATGGTTTGCATATATTGTATCTGCTGCCTAACCAATCCAAACTAATATGATTGATAGTCTTTTCATATGCAACTTTATGATTCACAAATTGCTTATGTGGTCCATTCATTTGCAACTTCAGGACACAAAATGCTCAAGTATGATGGATCCTTAGAGAAGTCATTATCATTTCTCACTAGTGCCATTATGGTGCATTGCCTCAGTTAGAGGTCTTTCCTTCACCGCCACTGTTCTTAGGTTCCCTTTCCCCTCTCTCATCACCACCATTCATTTGCATCCTCAATGTTTCCATGTCTTTATGGTACTGGTCCAAAAGTGGAATCCCAGTCATAGTCATAGGCTCATAAACAAGTCCAAAATATCTACTCCACCGAATCACTTGCCGTTTCCACCGACACCATGTTCATGACGCTAACAGGACGAGAGGCTTGAAGGGAATCCAAAAGGTGGCCCAAGTTGCAAAGATCTATAAATTCTATGAACGGGCTTTGTCTGGGCTTGATCCCTTTCCCCGACCAAACTTCACCCTCGAAAACATCCTTGTTTTCCACCTTCCACCTCTTCAAAAGCCCATCGACTGCACAAAAAGAAATGAAACACTAAAGGAGTGTTTGATAATCTAATTAAGTAACTTAAAAAATTAAGTTGTATTACTTATTATAAAAATCTTGTTTGATAACTTAAATGACCTCATATTAAAACTTTAAGTTCAGTTAAAATCTACTTAATCGGATAAGTTAAATTTTTTAACTTATCCGATTAAGTTAAACTATCTAAAACATATTCTCTCTCTCTCTCTCTCTCTCTCTCTCTCTCTCTCTCTCTCTCTCTATATATATATATATATATATATATATATATATATATATATATATATATATATATATATATATATATATCGAATTTATAAATTATAATGATATATTTTGAAAAATAAAATACTCATTTGAAAAGCATAAAAATAATTCATTATATAAATTATAATAATATATATTTAAAAAATAAAACATCAACGTTATAAAATTTTATTCCAAAATTTATATATTAAAAAATCAAATTTATTAACAAATAAAATTATATCAAAAATTAATTTGATGAGAATTTTAGTAAGAAAAAATAGTTGAAAAAAATAAATTTTAAACAATAAGAGTAATATAATCGGATACATATGTTAAAACTAAAATCTTAAAAAATATCGTATATATTCTATCATCTTCAAACATGCTTATTACATTCGATACTTAATTTTCAGTAAATACCAAACGAGTTTGTGAGGAACATATTCGATACTTAACATATTCGACACTTAAAATTCGAGTACTTAATAGATTCAACATTTAATTTTCGGTTCTATCAAACATCACCTAAGAGAGCACAATAATCGGGGTCATAAGGATATAATCACTTTTGAATTTTAAATAATTCGAGATTGAGTTCTTAAATTTTTTTATTGATTTTTAAGATCTCTGAATTTTAGAATTTTTGAAATTAAGTTCATCTAAGGATTTTAAACTATCATGTTTCCTTCTAAAAATTCAACTCTTGATATTTTTACCTAAAACTTTACACACACATTGAAAATAATCCAATTTATTTTGTAAAAAAATTTCAAAAAATTTCATAATTAAAAAAAATATTTATTTATTTTTTGAATATTAAAAATAAAAAAATAAGCATGAAATGATTCCAAATTTTATAGAGAATGCCAAATAAATTTCATTGAATGATTTTTATTTTTTGAAGTAAATGAAAAACTGAAAGATGGGCTAAATTTGCGAGAAAAAAAAATTAGACAAACTTAGGGATTTTCAAAACTAATAAAAAAATTTAGAAACTGATTTAAACTTAGACATTTTTTAGCAGATAATTAGCCCCTTTTCTCCTTTTGCTCTAACAGCTAGTAAAAGATATATGGAGACTTTAATCACGAAACAGAAAATTAGTTACGAACATGTAAAAGAATAAGGGTAGCAATAAACAATTGATTAAAAAATATACTTGATGTCATTAATTAAACTGCAAAAGGTTAAGTATATATTAATTACATCATTAAAAATCTAAGACATTAGTTAACAAAAATAATTGGACAATATAAAACAAAATATGTCAAATTAATTAACTAGGTCCAGGACTTAGTAAACTTGGTAGCAATGAACAGACATGCGAACCCTTTTCTAATTTTACCACCATTATATGGCGGTACTATTGCTGACTTGCTGGTGCACAACACTTGCATTTCAGTAATGGAAATGTCCCATCTACAGCCTTACAAACTGGCATAGGACGACAGCAGGACGGACAAAAGTGACTGTTGTTAAGCCACTTAAGAATGGGATCTTCATGGTACACATTGCAAGCATGGCATTTTTGTAACCTCCTCTCCAGCATCAAATTCTTTCAAACAAACCCCACATATACATATAATTAAAAGAAAATGACCAGTTTATTATTATTTTTAACTGTTCACACACTCGTTTGTACTATTTACCTGCACGTATTTATACTGTGCATGTTACTGTTTGTAATAAAGTTTACACTCTGGTCCTTTATTTTTAAAAAAACTTTTGTTTTGATCCTAAACTTCATTTATGTTGTATTTTGGTATCTAACAACTTAGAGGAGAGAGAAATGAAGAGAGAGATAAGAGAGGAGAAAGAAAGCGGCGTCGAGACTTGTTTCGATTGTCGAACTCATCTTCATTTTGTTTGTCTTGAAGGATAGAATTTATTTATGGTGGTCACAAGTCATAAAATGATAAGAAGAGGTAGATCCAAAGCCTAAAATAATTTGATTTTTTTATTATAATTTGAATTTTTATATTTTTTATGTATTAAAATATATTTTAAAATTCTAAATGAGTTTGTTTATGTTATTTATATGATTTTTTAAGTGTTTTTTGACAAAAGATAGATTTAAATTTTGTTGCAAAAGTTAAAAATTTTAAAACCTGCATTTTCAACAACTTTTCCATTAAAATCGAGTTCGATGAAAATTATAGAGTTGCCAAAAATAAAAATAAAAAACTATTTTTTTTTTTTTTTGTATCATGACCTGCGTGGGCCTGCATCCTTTTTTATAAAAAAAATTAAGAATTTTAAAATAAAAATTATAGAACATCCAATATTATTATTTGTATTTTTTTATGCAGAGTGACAAGGATAAAAACGTGCATCTATTTTTCAGCTTTCTTCACATCAAAGCTTGAATAATAAGGGCGTCAGCCTAAACCTAACCTAAGTTGGGAAAAGCCCTTTCTTTATATGTTGTCAATCAAGCTTAAATGCCGTACAATCAAACTAAAGCAGTAACAAGCAAGAAAACAGATGCGCCGAGATAGGTTGCTCTTTTGGTCGTATGAAAAGGGGCAACGGCTTTCGCACAAGTTGCTTAATTCGTTTCTTGTTGCTTTCGAGACCAAGCCTATGCTTAAGAAGTAAGCTTGAGATGCACGGAAGGTGGCTTTTCTAATTTAATTAGATAAGAAATACAATGCGCGTTAGCCTAACCATAGTAAGGGTCCTTTCTCGCTGGGCCTGAACGCTTACCTTATTATTTTGAAAAAAGGGAAAGAAAGAGGCAACCAACTTGAGTCAAAGGGAAGAAGTATAAGACAAGAGATTCCTAGCTCTCACTTCATCCAACCGCAGGTTTTTTCGTTTAGAATGGTCTGTGTCTGTGAAGCAAATCAATTAGGAAGGATTCACTTGAATATGCTTACCACTTTCCGAATGGACATTTTTACTATTTCTTATATTATTTTTTTATAAGTTAAAATTAACATATTAGATGATATTAAGCTTGTTATTTAAAATTTATTTTTTGAATTTGTCATTTCTTATAAAAATTCTCACCCAATTAATTTTTTTATTTTTTTAAAAATTATTTGCTAATAAATATAATTTATTTTTCTCTATATTTTGATTTAAGAATAAAATTTTAAAAGATAATTGTTTTATTTTTTTAAATAAATTGATATAATATATATTATGAATTATTTGAATTTTTAAATGATAATGACGTATATATAAATATATAATTATTTTATTCTAAAACTTTAAAAATGTATTTTAGATAATTTGTTTTAGTATACTAAGTATGATTGTGATGTATAAAAAATTATTGAAATATTGATTTTGTTAAAAATTAATTATATATTTTTACACATAACACCGATCGTTTTCTATGAATATATTTTTTTAACATTATATAATCAATTTCTTTGAAATAAAATAATTAAAATAATTTTTTTAAAAGAACCACTCAATTATTCAAATATGTTTTTTTTATATTAACGTTATTGATTATTTTTTAAATAAATATATATAAATCACATGCATATACTTTCAAAAAATAATCTTTCAATTAGCATTAAATAAGAATAGCTTTGCTCTTTATTAATTTTTATATAAGTTCATACATTAATTGTAGCTTTACTTTTTGGATACAATCTTATGTGAAATTTATTTTAAAGGTTTTTTTTTAATTCTTTATTCATCTTTCATTTTAAATAATCACAAGTTTTTACTTAAAAATAAACATATAAAGAAGAATGGATCATATTTTTTTAATTATAAATTTTATATAAAACACAAAATACAAAATTTTAATTAAAATTAAAAAATTTTGAAATAATTTATTTTATCCGATGTGCGAGTATAGTGCGAGCAACCGACTAGTTGTTCCTCTAAACAATAATCTTGGTAAAAAATAAACTTGTCCAAATCCCTAATAGATATCTCTATGGCAGTGCAAATTGAATGAAAATATCCGCCATTGAGCCAACAATCTCTCCCATGCTAGAACAACCTATGGATTGAGCTCTTGTACCTAAATGGTACTACTAAATGACACAACAATGTGTATAATATTACTACAAACACCGCATACATCATCCTCGATTGACTTTGCTTTGGAGGAGATGACTTTCACTTTTGAATGGAAATCCTATTCGGTATGGATGAGTTGAGGGGGCTTATATGCATGATGTCGTGTGCTTTAGTATCATCACGGAGAAAACTAGAGTCAAAGAAGACCGAAGGTAACTTCATAGATTTATGTGCGAGTGGTAATGATGAAGAAGGTACTCAACTTCGTAGTTAAGAGCAATCTCAATTGAGGAGATAATACAAAGATTGTCCTTCTTTGATAATGATTATCGAGTAGCATTTTTTAGGACATGTAAAACAACCAAGCGCAATTTTTTATTGCAAACATTCATAGAAAAGAATGCCATTCTCATCTTTTTTTTTCCTTGCTTTGTAGCCAACTAACAAGATTGGGAGAATATGTTAAATGATACGAAGATAACATGGATCCAACTCGAGAAATTTGAAAGGAGCCCCTACTGGCGTATTGAAAGAGTGTAAATTACCCATCCCATTTGACATCAAAATATCTTTTGAGAAATGGGCCTAGGTCTGTGTGATGGTATTGTGTCGAGATTTTAGGCCGCAGAGCTAATAAGTTCATGTCCAATCAGCGGTGAGTTATTAGACTAATTAGAGGTTGTTCGAGGGCGATCCAAGTTTGGATTGAACCTAATTTAGGCCCATTTTATTTTTCCTTGACCCATCAATCGAGCTTATTATTGACTTAGAGCCCGACTTGTGACAAGTATCGGGCTTTTGGGCCTATTAAAAATATGAAAATTTTTATCTCAAACTTTTTTTCTCTCGCCATGGTATCAAAAATAACAAGAAACGCCACATCCGCACTTTTTTTTTTCCCAAGAATGGCCATTAAAAATTTAAACATAAGGTTTTGTTGAGATTTAAACCGAAAATCTTCTTTTACCTCGCTCCATCTTTAAAGATGTGAACTCTCAATTTTCCTATAAACAACACTCAAACCAATTCCCGGAAGGAAAAAAAAAAAAGAAGCACAATCTTAGCAAGCATATAGGCCAATTATTCTTTTTCCTATAGCACATGAAGAAGAATGGTATTGTAGTTCAAGATCTCATCGGACAAATAAAGCAATTATTCAATACACATATTAGAAATTCATTATCATTAAAAAAAAAAAGAAGAAGACAAATGGAGACAAGAGAAGATGGAAAGAAGAATATGGAAGTTTAAGACCTAAGAAAAAAAGGTGATGGGTGAGATGATTTGAAGGGAAAAAAAAAAGAAAAGAGTATGAAGTATTAAGAAAAAACAAAATGAAGATACAAACTAACGAATAAATAATGTATTCGTAAAAGAAAAAAAAGAAAAAAAAAAGGAAAGAGGGAGTAAATTATAAAGCGACCCTCTAGTTTCAAGAAAAGAATTAATTAGTCTTCTTTGTTTCAAAAACTATTATTTAGTTTACCGACCAATGTTGATTATGTTAATTTAATATTATTTTTATTTCAACAATATTTTTTTCTCATCAATCTTTTCATTTTTTCTTTTTTTATTTCTTAAAAAAATGAAAATAAATTAAAAAACTAAGTTACAAGTAAACTTAAAAAAAAAAAAAACTAAATGATTATTTTTTTGAAACAAAAAAGACAAATTAATTTGTTTCTTGAAATGAGAAGGACTAATTTATAATTTACCCGGTAAAAAGGTGATTGCGACAATAATACATTTAGCATAGGGTTTCTTCCCAATACTAATTTACATACATACATATATATGTGTGTGTGTGTTATTGTGGATAAAAATAAATGGATAAAATATTTATTTCAATAGTAATGGGTGGGCGGGAAAACGAGGAGAAAATTCATGCCCATGCCCATCCCAAAGTCATCAATCATGGGCGGGTCGTTCGCTGCACCGACCATGAGCAATTCTAGGAGTAATGTTCTCATTGTTATTATTATTATTATTATTATCATTATTTATCATACTACGTTATTTAAGTTATGCCGACCAAAAATTATTATTATTTATCATACTACTATTATTTAAATGATACCGACCAAAATGGTTGTTATTCTATATGTTGCTTTATTTTTATTTTATTTTATTAATTTTAATATCTCTTTTTTACTTTTAAAGTCCTCAAAAAATAGATCTTTATTTTATAAAAAATCATAATAGTTTTTCTATCATGTTTGGTAACATTTTTCGTGCAAGTAACACTTATCTACATATAATATTTATTCTACAAAATATGCAAGCTATCTTTTTTATTATTTATTATTTTTTTATTTTTCTCTTCTTCTTCTTCTTCCATTTCCATCGTCAAATCACCATGGTTGTCTCCATTCTTCTAATCCTACAAAGTTGACCACTCGTTGGTCGAAAAGTTACTACATAATTTGGATACATTACCAATTAGATTCGTATTTTTTTAAAAAAATAAATGTAAATTTGATTAGTTTTATAAGAAAGTCATAAAAATAAAACAATTAAATGAAGTTGCATTATCTCCCAACTTATATGTCTCTATCTCCCGACTAATCTTGCCACGATGATGCTTGGTGGTGGTGGTGTGTGTGTGTTTGTTGTTGATGGTGAAGGTTGGCTTTTTTTTTAGTTACGTTGATTATGGGTCTTCTTTTTGTATGGCGGCAATGATATTGTTGTTAGTATTTTATGATTTTTAAGAAATGCGATCGTAATTGTGATGTTTTTAAGAAAGACAATTTGTATAAGATTTTTTTTTATTTACTACTATTATTTTTTTTAGTTATTCAATTTTAAAATAGATATATGTAAATATTATTGTCTCCGTACATATATAAATTTATGACGAAGGTTATAGATGATGGAAGAGTTATGGAAAAGGAAGAAATTAAGACAATTTTGAAAGTAAAGAGATATATCGATACAAGTCAAAATCAAGAGAAACTACTATTAAATCAAGATAGAGGGTAATATATATGCTTTTAACCGACCAAAAATACAATTGAAAGAAGTTCCATACCATTAAAAAAAAAAAAACTAAATCAACTCGGTGATATCACTATTTATGAACTGTTCATCAAGACTCAATCTACTCTATACACAAATTTTACCGTGTTGTTGTCTTTTTCTATCCGGATTGTCGATGCTTTCTTGTATGTGAAGTGTTCACCCTCGGTTGTTAGATTGCTCGATTATTGCTATATTTTGTCGCTGATTAATTAATTGTGTTAGTGGTTAATTTATTATTCTAAGTTATTAGTCTATGCCCTTTAATTTTATGCTTATTTACTTTCATGCCATTAAGTGGTTATGTGATATTACTTTGTTGCCCTTTACCTATTGTTTTTCTTACTTGCCTTGTACTTCTTCTTCTTCTTTTTTTCATCATTTTGCCTTATTGTGTGGTAGAGCATTGAGTGCTTAGAATTAATGGCATTCATCCTTTTTTTCTTGTTCTTTTTTTTATTATTATTTTGTTCTACATTTTGGTTCTTTGGGTGCGCTTGGAAGAGAGATTTCTAGAATTTGATGGGCCCAAAAATGATTTGTTTTGTTCCATGCTAAAAATAAAAGCTAAAAGGTTATGATGTTTTATAGCGGCTGATTTAAAGTTAATCTACACTAAAACAAACATGGAATACCGGTAGCAAGTCGAATGCTGCGAGATAATCGAATTATTTCCTAACTAGGCTTAATTACTAAACTATAGCTAGTGTAAGCAAGGGTCGATCCCACGGAGAATTGGTTCAAATAATTTATTTGTTATTTGATTATTTTAAAAGAAAAGAAAATAAAAAAGGGTTTTAATGTTCGGTTCTTTGATGAATAAATAAAGACAAGCCGGTATAATAAATTAAAAATAATGGAATTAATAATAAGTTCTTGGTTCAATCTCCACTTTCGCACTCAATGAATGTAGCCATAGTAAGCTATTCGACTTGTTTTATGAAATTATTGATCATAGATAACAACAAGCTCCGTCATCTAAATTTTTCTTAAGTATCGCCGACGAAACAAACTTTTCGATTAGATTCCAACCGTAATGCAATCTAAACCAAGCTCTCTAAATTTAATACATGACGCCTTTAAGAACTAGAAAAATAGATGAATATAAGCAATAAGCTTACAAGCTTAGATTATTTAACTTAGGTTCTATTATTCATAGTGGCAAAGATAAAAAAATTATCACCGCTATTCGCTACTAAGTGATCGAAATAGGATAATTACGGGTATCACAAATTCTATAATTTCTAAATCTAGCAATAAAAATCTATAAAAATTAATCTAGTTGCCAACTAAATTAATAAAATAGAAATCATAAATCAAATAAAGCTCGAATAACATAATCAATCCCAGTAACAAGAGAAGAAGAAGAACGTTACTAGATTACACCATTAACATGCCTATAAGAGTTTCAAAATCCCTTTGAACCAATACAAGGAATTTAACCACACATGCTAGTTAGCGTACCAAATAATGGAATGGTTTGTTTTATATCCAAAACGCCTTAACTTCCTTTCAATGAAACCTACATACATACATACATATATATATAGGGCAAAATAACATGTCAAGGGAAAACACAACGACACACGACCATGTGTGTTGTGACACATAGGCGTAACTTCACACATCCTCGTAGAGCTTGAGCTAGACACATGAGCGAGTAACTTCATGTTCGTAGGTCTTGAAGCTGGACACACGGCCATGTGTCTTTTATTGCATGGCCATGTGTTCTCCTTTGACAACATCACACACGGGTAATGTATTCTTTACATAGTCTTGTGTGTTTGTGTGTGTGTGTGTGTTTTTTTTTTTTTTTTTGGGTAATCGACTTAAATGAAGTTGATACATGTTTAATTAAAGTTTTCTTTCTTTAGGAAAGTCATAGCCCTATTTCTCGTCTCTTCAATATATTAATTCTTGCATCAATTGAAGATCCACAACTTCATTTATGGGTTAAGTACTACCACCAATTTAATCTATCCGTCCAGACCTTAGGATTCCAACTTTGCAGTTGATTTCTTTCATCAAACCGACCTAGTTTGGACTCGAGAACTCATAAGAATTATAGATATGCCTCTTAAGTATCCCATTAGCTTGGCCTTGTATCAATTGGATGCTTAAAACTTTAGCTATGAATTAAATTCCGTAATTAGTCCGCATTCCTTATGAAATTCGGATAACTTTCTAGGCCAAAATATGAGAAGTTGTTTAAAGGCCAAATGAACCTAGATTTTGACCCACTATACCATTCCGAAAAGCTTGAGATGTCCTCTATAAAACCTATAAAAGTCACTTCTTTCAAATCAAACTCTAAGATTTTGGAAAACATGTAAGAAGAATAGAAGGTCTAAGTTAAATATGCTGAAATTCTCAAACTTTTGAGCACAATAACTCTAAATTCCTAATTTATGTCTTGAACATGAATATGAGCATAAATTATTGTAACAAGGCATAAAAAATAACAAATAAACTAAATACAAAGAGAATAAAAATGTAATAAAATGTTTCTATCAAGTACGTGTTGTCAATTTTGGTAAAGTTATTTTTGTCTTTTCATTTTAGTCCTTATATCATAAGTGTGTTTTTGTTTGATTTCTTAAATATCAAAATGATGAAAACAATGCTAAATTATATATAATTATTTTGAGATATATTTAATAAAAATGAATATTTTAATAGAGAGTGTATTTGCGATGATTAACATAATTTGAAGTTGTATTAATTCATGAGATGACTTTTTATGGATATCCAAAATAATTTTTTTATATTAATTTTGGAACATATTTGAGTAGTTGTTCATTACTGTACTATAAGAATTTAGTTTGAAATATTTGTGTTTGGTCTTTTATTTTTTATTTTTTTTAGATTTTTGGAATTTATGTATTTTCTTTTGATTTATAATCATTTAATTTTGTTTATTGAATAATTTAATATTATTTCTTAAATTTTATTTTAACATTTCATTGAATTGAATATTTAAATAAAATTTCTATGGTTTTGCAAAGAAACCATTAAAATTTCCAAAATGAGAATAGTGATATCTAAGAGTGATGGTGAAAATTTTTAATAAGTTTGGTATAGATCTAAGAAGTTAAAAGCAAATGATCACAGTAGACTATCGATACAAAAACCCCAGACCAGACTTTTCTTTTGTTTACAGTAAGAAAATGCATTCTCTTGAACCAATGAATGCCTGCCACGTGTACAACAGGAAAAATAAGTGTGGTAGAGTTTCACTGTGAAGGCACTGTAGCCTTGTACAAAACAAAACGAGTAAAACGACACAACGCGTAAACAGCCGGCTGCGATTGCGAAACGGAGACCAGCCACACTCTCGGTCTTTCCTTCCACAGAGACAAAGCCAGCGGTATCATATGATCACAACGCGCGCGCACACAGAAAAAGCAAAGGTCGAAGAATAGCCACCACCCATATGGATCCCCGATCTTCCTATTTCCACCGCACAAAGTACGCCAATCACCCCTCTCCTACTCCACCTCCTCCTCCTCGCTACCCTAGTAACCTTAATTTCCACCACCATTCCAACTTCCTTGCACCACCTCCCCCACCACCTCCACAACAACTCCGTCCACCGCAAACACCTCCTCCTCCACCGTCATTCCCACAATTCTCTCCTCGAAACCCCCAATTCTCCTATAACCCCAGCCCTAATCATCCCAAAATTCACGATAACTACCACCAACAGCGATCGCACCATGACCTTCCCCCCTCACTCAATTGCCTAGGGTTTCTCATCAATTCGACGATGATCGTCAACCGCGGCGTCGTTTACCCGAATTCAATCCCCGTGTTCATGAACCCCGACCCGATTTTAGGGTTTTGCGTGATGATCGGCAAACTAGGCATGTATTGGTAAGTAATCCTAATCCTAATTCTAGATTTATTCAGGACTGTAGTGTTGTGATTGATCGTGAGAGTGAGCACTATCATCGTCGTGGTGAGTTTGGATCGAATTCTGATAGATCTTCTTCTAGTGATTTTCGAACTGTATCGAATCAACTGAGGGGTTTCGAGTCTAATTCGGGGAATTTTGAGAATAGGCGCCGTTTGAATTATGATTATCACGAGAAGGGGAGTGACAACCAGAGATGGTTTCATGACAGAGAGGTTATCGGAGAACCGCGTGATTCGTTGATTGAGTTCGGGAGTAATGAGATTGGTGATGGTGAAAATAGGATTGTTACTGGGAAACGTGAGCATTATAGGTGTAGAGAAGGGAATTTGGAGTTGGAAAGGCATGGTGGTAAAAGAAGCAGAGAGGGTAGTTATGAGTTTAATAGGACTCCAAGGAAGCAGGTACAGAAAAAGAGTGCTCTACTTAGGCTTCAGCAGCCTAATTATAGGAATAGAGAGGATGAGAGAGTGCCTTATTCCAGTTATGTTGATGATACCAAATCTAGTTCTTTTAGAGGTAAAGATCAGGAATCAGGTTTTTTTAGAGGTAAAGATAAAGATAAAGTTTCATATACAGATCGTGGGATGGGAGAGGGAGCAAGAGAGGGAAGCCCTGTAGAGCTTGATGTGTCTTTTAAGTCTAATTCATTGGTAGCCAAGGCAATTGTGACGTCTACTTCAAGTTCTGCGGGTGCTTCTGAAACGAATTTGACACCTAGGAATAGTAAAGTGAGGAAAGTGCTGGTCCCCGCTAAGGATAAGGATAGTTTGAATTCATCAACGAATAAACCCAACAAGGTTGCAGTAGGATTGGATAAAGCTGTAAGTGTTGCAAATAGAGCATCCAGTTCTGACAAGGAGCTAAAGAAGTCCAAAGAGGGATTTACAGCTTCTGGTATTACTAATGTGCGAGATGGTAGTTCACCGCTTCTAAAGAATAGAGCGGAGATGCCTATGAAGAGGACTGTGCCCGTTAGAAGTGGAACCAATCTTGTTTCTGGTAAAACATCTTCACTCAAGGGTGGAAAGAAGAAAAAAGTTGTTAAGAGAGTAGTGAAGAAAGTTGTAAACCATAATTTGACTTCATCAAGTTCACAGCCAACAAAAACTTGTGATGAACCTGTGAAAACTGATAGCTTTGCCCATAATCCAATTGAACCCATTGACCCTGACAAGGCTGCTACCGTGGCTGACATTGTTGATTCACAGCCCTGTCTGAATGAAGCTACAGTGATCCCCGAGAATGACAAGGTGGAGGGCTTTGAAAAGTTTATGGAAACAGGGCATGTTGGCACTGGTACAGATTCTGGTAATTTATCTGTATTTAATATCAATGGAAAGAAGAGTTGCTCAGCTTCTCTCTTGGACTATTCAATTCAGGAAGAAACTAAATTTGGTGAGTGCGTTGTAAATGGTGATTTTGCTAAAGGCTTGCATGCTATAGCAAATACGGACAACAGTTTAACGAAATCAATAGGTGAAACTATGAGCTCTGATATTGGTGGCGTTGAAGATGTCAGCAAGCAGCCTTGTCAGAATGGAGATTCTTTCTTTCTTGAGAACGATGCTGTGAGGGGATCTTTCAAGGTTTTGGATTATATTGAAGGCAACACTGATATTGGTTCATTAAGTTCAGAGAAAATGATAATCCATGAGAGTCCTATGAATACTTGTATGCCTACGATGGGGTTAGATACTGCTTTAATGAACTCGCAAGAGAGAACTATGGTCTCCGACATGGGGACATCTGATATTGGTTCCAAGGAGTCCTGTAGAAATCAGGGTAGTCCATTAGCTGGGAATGGCATCGCGGATCTACTTCAGAGCGCTAGTTTCCCTGTATTAAGCGACAGAAGTTTCTCTGTATCTATTTCAGGGGAAACAGGAATTCAGAATGCTGTCATACTCGCCAATCAGGGAGCGGGGTCTATTTTGGGTTCTCCAAATAGATGTACTAATTCAGAAGAAATTAATATTTCCACCCATGGAACTGGTGATGATATTGGTGAGCAGCTATCTCAAGATGGGGTTACTAAAATATTGCAAGGTGTTTCCATCGGCCGTTCTCTTGATACCAAGGTTTCTACGGGTGGCAGTGAGGAGGATGCAACTGACATTAAAAAGAATGATAAAAACATCGAAATGCCTAAGGTAGATTTGTCAAGGACAGATTTATCTGATATGCGTTTGGAGCCTGAAAATTTGGTCACCAGTACCACTGCTCATTGGGTGGACACAACCTTGAGGTTATGTTTTGAAGATAGTGCTGCAGCTGAATGTACATTTTCTGCTGCTCAATTTGTGGATGTTGGCGCACAATCTTGTAGTAATGCCGCCAGTGCTCTTCATGAGGGCAGTTTAACAGATGTTTCAGCAGTTAAGGTTTCTGCCAGGAGGAGTGCTGATGTTGGTCCGAATGGGGTTTCACCAAGGATTGAAAAGAATAGAAAGTCCTCTGCTCCTCAACTGGAATTTTATCCTCCAGTAGAATTTGATGCTGACAAGAGACCTATATTTGCAGGTAATTCTACATCAGGTATGGAAGTGCCCTCAAATGCTGGTGATGGTCTAACACTGACAGAAGAGGAAGTCGTAGTGTCTGATATGGATTCTCTGTGTACTTCTGATATGCTGCCTGGACAGAAGGGGGTCACTGCTTCGCTTGTAAATGGTTCAGCAGGAGAGCATTTAAGCACTGTGGCTTCAGTCAAAGATGCATTTGAAGATGATGGTCTAATAGATGTTCAATCTGATTTGGCTGTTGAGGAACTGGCAGTTACAGAAGTGACATCCCATAGTCAAGTTGTATCAGGAGGGGAGGACGTCATAAATGCTACTCCAGTTATGGTTGGTGGTAGCAATCAAAATGATTCGATGGACATCGTTGTTGGCGAGGGAGACAAAATGGACATTGATGCTGCAGAAGAGCAAACTGTTATTTACAGTGGGAGTCCCCAGTGCCAAATCCCTTCAAAATCTCAAACTCAGGACTTGGATGAAAAATTGCTGGGTACAGACGTGGAGGATGGCGATTTTTATGGTGTGAAGAATGGTTCACCTTGTATTTCAAACAATCTATCTTCATTTGTAGATGGTTCTGGAGTTTCTACTACCAATTCTGGTGATGAACTTATGGAGTTTGTACCTGAGACACTGTCTGATAGGGGTTGTCCAGAAACCTTGCCTGATGTGGGGACATCCCTCAGTCAAAATTCAGTTGAAAAGCTTCATGGGAATGATGATAAAATTCCAGCTGATAGGCCTGCAAGTTATGTTGGTTCTAACTCGTCTACGTGTACGACAAGTTCACAAAGTGGTAAAATTGTTTTAAAATTGGATCATGCAGTAGAAGTTGATCAGTTGTTGACTGGGAAGACAGGGCATTTGCTGTCACAGGATTCCAAAATTACAACTCAGATGCAGAATGCCATGAGTTTAGAATTACATGGAAGGAAAAACCAGAATAGTCGTGCTGTATCTAAGATTTATCCAGGTCGCTCATCTTTTGTTTTTACTGCTTCAAAGAGTACAGCTTCTTCATCTCACATCTCAAAAACTCGAACATGGCATCGAACTGATAATTCTTCTGATTCTGCTCCACCAGCAAACAAGGCTTTCTCAAGCACTGTTCCTACCCAGATGCAATTTCCTAGAAAAGCCAATAAGTCCCAGAGCACCTCTTACATTCGCAAGGGTAACAGTCTTGTTAGAAAGCCTATTTCAGTTGCTCAATCCCCGGGTCCTCATGGTTTGAGTTCTTCTGTATCTCAGCTCAACTCTTCTGGTACTGACGAACCAAAGAAGAGTGCTGGCTCTGACACTAGAAATGATATTGTGGATCCGCTAAATGTTGCGAGAAAAGGAGGTATGAATGCTTCTTTTGAGAGACCAAGAACACCACCTCTACCTAGTGTCCCAAAAATACCAAATCAGGCAACTAACCCTTTGGGGGTTTGTGTATCTTCCCCATTAGCTGAGCATCTTCATCCTCTTTCTACCGAAACTGCAACTGGCCCAGCAAAATCTATGGAAAGCAATGATGTTCAGAAGTGTTCTGATGATGTTTTGAAAATTTCAGAATCTCCAGTAACTCAAAATAGCCAAATTAATAAATTGGAATGTCATAGTGATCTAAATGATGATAATAAGATGGTTTTAGCAAATTTCAAGAGCCTAACATATGTTAAGCGGAAATCAAATCAGTTGGTTGCAACTTCAAATCCATGTGTGTCTTCCGTACAAAATGCCCATAACAAATCATCATCTGATAGCTACTACAAGAGGAGGAAAAATCAGCTAATTAGGACTTCACTGGAAAGTCAGGTCAAGCAGACAACCAGCATCCCTGATGAAAGTTTGAATTCTGAGGGACAAACTGCTCTTAACTCTTTTTTCAGCAGAAGTTTTAGTAAGAGACGACTGCGTAAAGGTGTGTTTGATTAACTTCTTTCTTGCACTCACACCACACATGCACACACACACACACACACGTTTTAGTCCTTGTGAGCATCAATCTAAATGGACTGGTTGATTTGTGGCTTGTGTATCTTGCAACAGTTATAATTTTATGGTTTGAGAGCATTTTCACAACAGGAACATTTTAGGTAATATATCATATCATGGTCATGCAAGGAACCATATTCTAGGGGGTGGGGTCATGTAGTCCTGGTGCAGAGGTCAAAACATCTCTGGATTAGAGTGGTGAGATTCTATATTAACAAGTAGAAGAACCAAAATTTGGTTCCATGTTTCAGGTTTTGGATGAGAACCTAAAACAGTTTGCATGTTCTGTAGCTGCAGAGCAGCTTTCATTGACTTTGTAGAAGATAGAAATATATGTTTCTCCCCTTAGGTTCGTTTTTAGGTAAAAATCTGATCTAATAGTATTTTCTACATTTGCTGTGTTTCCGCTGAATATGTGCATGCCTAAGCTATTTAATTATGCTATCAGTTTAGTTACTCTGAGGGAGGCAAATTGAGGGTGCTTGGTATGAGCCATCTTTTTTTTAATTGAATACATCTTGGCCAATGACTTGGCTGGTAGATGAAATCTCAGACACCTGTATTTTATTAATTTCCAGAATCCGTATGAAGAGATAAAGTTGGGATCTGACGTTAGGTATGAAAGGCTATAAGGATTTCTGGCTATCCTGCTGCTTGTATCATATCTAAGAATTAACTGGCAAAATAAATTGTCTAATTTAATTTCTGTGCACTGATTTTCAGAAAGAAGATATGAATTTCTTTGTGCGCATGCATCATACATATCATGAATCCAGATATCACCTCTAGTTTGGATGTGACACACTGGAGTACTTGCTTAATGTAATCAATTTAGTCCGAACTTCAGCATCAAAACATTTTTTTGTACTGATTACATTAGGCAAGTACTCCAGTCTGATCTTTTTTCTCCCATCTTCCTTTTTAAAACAAAATGTAATTGGGTTGTTATTTTATACTAGAAATTGAATAGTTTGAAGATCCTAAGTATTTTATTATCCTTTAAACATTATAGGTGAATTAAAGTTCTAGCTAAACCTTAATTGTTGAGTGACCTGTGCTTATGAATGGTACTTTTTACTAAGCATCAACATTCTTTCCATAACTTTTTTATACTGATTTTATAATGTCAGTTGTAGCCATTTTTTTTTCTAAATTTATTAGCTGGTGTGTTTCTGGAAGTTAACTAACTGTCGCTATGATCAGCTGTAGCCCACAGTGGATGAAGTCATAACTTACCCCCTGACTATGATTTGGAAATATTGTGGAATAAGTTTTCATCATTTTGTGGCAGCTGTAGCTAATCTTAATTGTTAAATAGCCTCTGCTCATGAATGGAACTATTTATTAAGCATCGACATTCTTTCCATAACTTGCTTTCCATTTTTTTATTTCAGTTGTAGCTGTTATGTTTATTTGTTTCCCTCTAAATGGTATGTGCTGGCGTGTTTCTGCAAGTTAAGTATAGTGGATTATAGTCATAATTTGCTTCCGGTGGATTAATTGCAGATATTGTTAGAATAGCTTTTTTTGATCATTTTATTTTAGCATATCAATAATCATTAGAAAAGAGACTGAAGTTGGCTATCTGTTTGCAGTTGTGACAAAGACATGTAAACCTTCTAAGTTCTCTTTGGTCTGGACACTACATGGTGCACAGTTATCAAAGAATGATGGCGATTCATTACATCATGGGAAGGTCTTGCCTCATTTGTTCCCCTGGAAAAGAGCAACATATAGGAGAAGCGTCTTGCCAAACTCATCTTCAATTTCGAATTACAGTTCATTATCTACACTTGGGTAAAAAAGCTTGTTGTGTTTCCTTTATGTTTCTGCAGCTTATTTCAGTTTATCTTGTGTGTACATTTGCACAACATAAAAAAAAATGTTGATCTTTTTTAGCAGGAAACTGCTACTGTTGAGAAAGAGGAATACAGTTTACACAAGTTCAAAACATGGATTTTCACTTCGAAAATCCAAGGTATTAAGTGTTGGTGGGTCTAGTTTAAAATGGTCAAAATCCATCGAAAGGCACTCAAAGAAAGCTAATGAGGTCAGTTAGGCTGGATGACCGGCAGAATTTTTATATTTTTTCTTATTCTAACGCTTTGAAGTCTATTTATGTTCACTTTGCAAATATAAGAGTTTCATCACTCTCAATAATTTTCCATTCTGCTTCTACGCAGGAAGTTACCCTGGCTGTTGCTGCAGCAGAGAGGAAGAAAAGAGAACAGAGAGGTGCTGTGCATGTTGCCTCTCCGACAAAGAGTAGAAACAGTTCTTCTCGTAAGTTAGCTCAGTATGGAGCTGCACTGAATCTGCAGTGGTTCTGGTCTGCAGATGTCTCCATAGTGCATATAATCAGCTCTTATGGGATTTTAGTTTTCATTCATCTGTGAACGCGTTAATGGTTGTCCTGTAGAAGCGTAATACAATGGAATTGAAAAGTTACAAATTTTTGCAGGAGAACGCATTTTCTGTATTGGCTTAGTTCGCTACAAAATGGATTCTTCAAGGCGGACTCTTCAGAGGATATCAGGTGGTCCTTCATTGATCTTTTCGTTGTTCATTTAGTAGCTTCATTGCTTGAAATAGAAATTGGATTTATCTATTCTTTGGGCTTTTGGATTCCTCAAGTTATTTATTGCATTGGGTTGTTGATTACTGGGGTGCATGACCCACCAAATTAGTCTCTAATAAGCGAAGAAAATGATTTTTAGATGATGAATCATCATCCTCTGGAGCTGTTGAAAAAGAAAAGGATGCCAAGAAGTCATATATTCCAAGGAGATTAATGATTGGGAAAGATGAGTATGTCTTTGTTTTCGTTATTGAATACCTTTACTTTGTAGTCAAGAGAGCAGTCTTATTGTAAACTGCTGATCTTTTAGAAACATGTACTTTATGGTTTGGGCTTACTGGATTATAAAAGTGGCTGATTACAAACAAATTCCAAAACTGGCAGATATGTGCGAATTGGCAATGGTAACCAGCTTATAAGAGATCCCAAGAAGCGAACTCGCATTTTGGCCAGTGAAAAAGTTCGATGGAGTTTGCACACTGCAAGATCACGATTGGCTAGAAAACGGAAGTACTGTCAGTTTTTTACAAGATTTGGGAAATGCAACAAAGATGATGGAAAATGTCCCTTCATTCATGATTCCTCCAAAATAGCAGTCTGCACTAAGTTTCTGAATGGCTTGTGTTTCAATCCTGAATGCAAATTGACTCATAAGGTTTATTGAAGATCCAGTCAAAAGAATTTGACATCCCTGTTTCAAATGGCTGATTTGATTTTGTTGACATTCCACCTTGATGCTGTTTCTTTTGCAGATCATTCCAGAAAGGATGCCTGATTGTTCTTACTTTTTGCAAGGTGCTTTTCCCCCTTCTATTATGCTTTTGTATAATCTAATTGGTGATAATGCAGGATTCTGAGAAATTTTCTGGCAGGCCTTTGCACCAATAAAGACTGCCCTTATAGACATGTGCGTGTCAATCCAAATGCTTCTACCTGCGAAGGATTTCTCAGGGGTTATTGTGCTGATGGGAATGAGGTATTGGCGTATTCTTCATATTCAAGTAATTTGTTGTTTTTGTTTAACTTTTGATGAATATATAGTTCTTTTTCGTCAAGCGGAGAAAAATATGTGCCAGTTGCTCCTGAAATGATTTACATTACTACATACGGTAAAATTACAGGGACATTAAAAAATGTTCAGCCCAGTGCTAAGGAGATGAGACACTCTCCATGTACCCTTAAACTCTCAGTGATAAAGCTTCTCTTAGAACCAATACCATCTGCCTTGTCTTTTTCTTTAACAGATGTCATTATGCCAATCATGTTGAATTTTCAAAACCCTGGCATCTAACAGAATAGCTTTTCTTGAATTGACCATTTTAAATTATGGACAAAACTCTGCATCATATTCTTTTTCTTTAACAGATGTCATTATGCCAATCATGTTGAATTTTCAAAACCCTGGCATCTAACAGAATAGATTTTCTTGAATTGACCATTTTAAATTATGGACGAAACTCTGGTACCTTTCCAACAATGCTTGCCATAAACTTGGAGTGAAGACATTTGACAATGCATCATATTGTGATCAATGATGATGGTGCTGTGTGAGCTGAGGAATGAAAACTCAAAGTTCAGTTTTCATCTTGCATCCCTTGACCAAGAGTTGTTTAAGCAAAAACCGGACCGCACTACTTAGATGGTTGCACATCATGGGATTTTAACTTTAGGTCTGCCCATCCACCTGACCTTTCTTTCCTCAAAACTGCAGGCTGACACAAGCAGTTCCTGGTCATTGCGATAAGATTATTCAATTGATTAGTTGTTGGGAATGTTTTTGTTTAACCTTAGACATATCTATTCTTTTCGTAATGCTTGATAACTCTCTTTCTATGCGTACACACCTCACACAAACCTTAAGTGTGTAAATGCAATATAACTCTGCTATACAGTGTCCGAGGAAGCACAGCTATGTCTGCCCCACGTATGAAGCAACAGGATCCTGTCCTCAAGGATCCAAATGCAGGCTGCACCATCCCAAAAACCGAAGCAAGGAAAAGAAAAGCAAGCAATCACGGGAGAACAATGCTCAAGGGCGATATTTTGGTTTGATGCACACCAACACTATTGAGCCTAGAAATCCAGTGCCTGGAAAGCTCTATGTGCTAGATAATGATGCCATTTCATTCAAAGGAAGTATTGCTGATTATATCAGCCTTGATGTTAGTGATGAAGAAGTGGTAGAAAATAACAATCCAGCAGATGAGCATACAGCACTTAGTGATAGTGGTACCTTGGACTTGCAACTAGGTGACCTTGGTGAGTTAATTAAACCAGTCCGTATTATGAATATCTGGTGATAAGATCTGTGGCAGCTGAAATGCGAAGCACCAAGCTTGTGCCACCTAGGAAGTCTGTTGTACATGAGGTAAATCAGGTTTTAGCATATTCTGATATTCTGTCATTGAGAATGCTCTTTCAGTCATTAGAATATGGCTGAGGAAAGAATGGAATGATTTTGATGACCTTCTGTGGTTGTGTATAGGGTATTTATTAGTTCTTTATTGGAATAGCAATAGCAATGCCTTATGGTCTCTGTTATTTTCTTTTTTCATTTATAGGGTTTTTTTATTTTTATTTTTAATAGGAATACATTTTGTGGCTTCCGTTGTGTACATGATACAATGTAATGATTCATTAATGAAAGGATGCTTCCAAGCTTTTAAACTACCAGAAACGAGGGGTGTGTGCTTGACTTTCCAATTTCTCAAATGTTGTTCTTTTTCATGTTCTTTTGGTCCAATAATACAACAGTTATCCCTAGGAGGTGGAAAGTGTTGGTTCTTCTTTACCTTGGCATTAGTTTTGCGCTTAAAAAGTTGCGGCCCTGTATGAACTTGAATGAGTCGTGATTCTTTCTTCAAATTTAATTGCTGGAAGAGCGATGAGACATGAGATCGATCCCAGTTCTGCTGGCAGAGGCAAGTGCTGTGCAACAGAAAGTGAATGCCAGGCATTTTCAGGCCAGGAATCTCATATTCTATTAAAGTCTTTGCACTGCAGAAGCGAATAAAAAAAATACAGAATAACCATTACTATAAAGTAGGATTTGCTCATAGTTATTTAGCCGGACCCGATGCCGGGTCGACAGCCAAAATCATCTTCTATTGGTGCTGTAGATGCCATGCTCTATCCTGTACGAATCATTTGGTGCTTGTTTCTCAAAAAAAAAAAAAAAAAAGTGAAGTTAGGCAAAAATGATCAATTAAAATGTTTGAACGTCCAAAGGCCAATGATGCAAACGGACAAAAGGCTATATTTTTGTCTTTTTTTTTTTTTTTTTTTTTGGTGCAAAGGAAGAAACACGAGACTATAACCTAAAAAAGCCCCTGCCTAGCGAGCCTCCAAATGGAGGAGAATTGCAGAAGGAGAAAAAAAGAAGCCGTTGCGGAAGCACCAATCTTGGCTAAGAAATCAGCGCTTTGGTTGCCTCTGTACAATAGTCTTTTTAATTCATTAAAGAACAAGTACCATTTAAAGGGCAAAAAAGTCTAGAAATAAGGCAAAAATAGAAAGGCCTACATTAAGGCCGAAGCTAAAAATCCAGCCCATTCAGAAATACAAGAGAGTGCCGTAGCTTAATTTGTGGCAGCTAATTTTCTGCTTCTCTTCACCACACAGACCTTCGTACCTTCAATAAAATACAAGTCTTATCTTATCCAGAAAATAAATGGACTTAAATCTACTGGCTTTTTCAAGATTTTCCCAAAATCTCGAGCACTGGAAAGGAAAAAAGCTAGCAAACGAAAAGCTCGTTGAATTTGACTACCAGTACCAAATGCAATAGTGGCATTAGATTTAGCAATGGCAGCAACTTCCTCCTACATGGCTTGTGCAAAGTTCCCTATGCTGGGTTGGCACGGAGGCAGAAAAGAACTGGAAAGGAGACGTGTAATCTCCGTTTCAGCTCAGCAGCAAGCTGAAGTCCAAGAATCACCGGAAGTGAATGCGCAAGCAGAAAAAGACCCAAAACAAGAGAAAGGGAAGCAACCAACGCAACCAAGACCAGTGGAGCCCCAAGTGAACGTGAAGAGCAAGAACATGAGCAGGGAATATGGAGGGCAGTGGCTGAGCAGCGTCACACGGCACGTCAGAATCTATGCTGCTTACATTGACCCAGAAACATGTGAGTTCGATCAAACTCAGATGGATAAGCTCACCCTCATCCTCGATCCTACAGATGAGTTCGTTTGGACAGATGAGACTTGCCATAAAGTTTACTCCTACTTCCAAGAGCTTGTGGATCACTACGAGGTATGTCTGCCAAACAAATCATGCAATTTTTATATTGGCTAGATTGAGGATTTTGCCTTGAGAGACAATTAAGAACGTTCAAATTGCTGGAAGTTCTGCTCCACCTTTTGACATGATTTAATGCCATTGACTCTTTTCTTCATTTTTTTTCATTGTAAAACAAAAGCACCTCAAGTAATTAGTTGATTTTAAATCATTTTAAATTCCCCATGAAAATCCAGTACACCTAGGACAAATGCAATTACATCAGGATAAAGAACCAGGGCAAAGGAGACAAGCGGCTTACTTTACTCCCTTTCAAACACATCTTTCATCAGAAAATGCCAAAATTCAAAGTGGTACCTCTAGTGATATAACCAGTAACCACCTCTTTCTTCATCCCAACCGCATCAAAAAGCCATCCCAGACAACATCAACTTATAAACTTTATTTCGGCTTCAACTTACAGACTCAAATCACCTTCTTTCACCATGCAAATCATATGTGCCAACAGGCATCTAGTCCATAGCATTAACATGATCTCCATCCAATAGCACTAATACTGCTGAAACATATTCCTACTGCATTTTGACCAGAAGAATACTAGAGTATCTGGGAACTACTCATCATTTATTATCAACCTTAATAGAAGGTGTTCTGTGAATTTCAGTCTAGGGTGTTCTAGTGGATCCCTGTTATGCCCTATTGAACACTAACTAACCTATGATGTGGAAACATGGAAACAGGGTGCCCCATTGACAGAATACACACTGCGACTGATTGGTTCAGATATAGAACACTACATAAGGAAGCTGCTATATGATGGAGAAATCAAATACAACATGAACGCAAGGGTATTGAATTTCAGCATGGGGAAACCACGCATTCTATTTAACAACGATGGTCAGCTGCAAGATGTACAATCATAAGATACAGATAGCGTGGCCATACAAAACAGAGACAGACATATGAAGTGACGCAGTATGTTTAAAAACAGTTTCTTGCTCATGGCTCATCTGCAAGAGCTGCCAACAGTTGCATCATGCACAACCTGCCGCAGTATTTAGCTTTCTACATTGACAAACTTTACCTGGTACAATAGTTGAAAGTGCAACATATGCATCTATCAATCTTCTTCACGTGCTAGATTATATTTCATGATCTACTTCAGTTACTCTAATGTAATCAGGGACATCCCCTTGTTATGTTGTGGCTGCATTTTCAAACAAGAAGAGTCCAGCCAAGGTAGAAACACTCCAGATCCACCATGTGATGTATTCTGAACAACATAGTAACAAACATATAGATCAGAAAGTGCCATAATTGTGCTTACAGCAACCAAAACAAAGTGAAATACGTTCAAAACAAATTCAGGTCCATAAATAATATCATGGTAACAGGCAAATATGGAAAGTCAAGGTCACAACAGCCTTAATAAGGCCAAAGCTAGCAATTAATAGATATCCATGCTTAAAAAAAGACGGCCCTCTTGCTTGTTGAATTAAAAAGAAAGATCCACTTTGGTTCGTTCATTGACTAAATGCATTACTGATATCATTCGATGCTAACACAGGAAAAGTTTTTGTTAAAAGAAAACACAATAGAAGTTGACACTCACCATCAACCAATAGAAAAAACCACGCATGAGATTCAAAATTTTTGGCTTATCACTTTTAGCTAATTGTATCTTTGCTTCAAGATCTACAAGAACAAAGAAAAAAATTACAAGTATTCAAGGGGAAAATCATCTCAAGTTATGAATAAGTTGTTTAAGTAGAGAGACATCAAAACATGTGAGTAAGGTTTGAAAGATAAAAGAAGATAATTTGAAGCAAAACAATATAGTTGCACAGTGGAACAAAAATTAGTCAAAGATCACAAACATGGCAAGTCAATTATGGCCATGCATAAATTCTACAGAGAGAGTTGCACAAACTCAAAATGCAGATAGCATGCATTTTTATACTGAGAAAACCAATGGTGATGCTAACATCACCTGGATGATGATCAAGATAAGATTTGCCAATTGCTTTTGTTTCACATCTTTTAGACCCACTCCGCAAATCTATATCACGTTCCACGCGACCTCGGTGAGATATTGTTTGCCATAGTTCTTCATACTCCCTTTCGTTATAAGGCTTTTCAAGAATTTTCATAAGTTCCTCTCTAAATTTACCAGAAACTCCATTGTCCCTCCAATCTTCATCCTTAACTTGCCAAACATAAATGAAACACAAAAAGCATTTTTGAGCTGTTAGAATTATGATAACATGAACAATTTTATAGCAGACAAAAATGATAAATAAAGAAAAGAAAGGATTGGTGCAGGAAAAGATGCATTACCTCTGAAATGCGTACTTTTGAAATCACAAATGGAGTATCAATTCCACCCAAAAGTTGATTGGTGTCCATGACAATCACCTCAGAATCAGATGAACTCTGTTCATTTGATTTATATAAAACTCCTTTTCCATTTTGAGACCCAAATACCACATACCCACCATCCTTTTTAAGAGAATTCAAAAAAATGTGGTAGCTATGATCCACCATATCCAGATTCATCTCATATTTGCATTTGCAATTTGTTGAACTGGGGGCTTGCGGACTAGGCTTTTTATTTGCATGCCCATTACCACCTTGTGGAACAGCATTCAAGGAATGCTTTTCCAAATTCCTTTCAACTGCCAAATTCCCCCTTTCTTTGACTGGAACATCCTTCATTTTTGTTTGAGTTTCCATCCTACAATTCTCTGTATCCGAATGCATCTTGCATTTGCGCTTGTAAATATATGAACCAATAGTTTCTTGAACAGGCCTCTTCCTTGCATGTACATTTTCTCTGCAAGAAACAGGATCAATAGATTCCTTTCTCAACTTGCTTTTAACTGCTGAAACTTTTCCCTCTCTGGATGGAACAGAAACCCTTGATTTTCTTTGAATTTCTGCTCTATGATTCACCATTGTTGGTTTCACCTTGTGTGTCAAACCAAGAGCTTCTGGACTAGGCCTTTTACTTGCACCTTCATTTGCTCTATAAGAAGAAAGATCCACAGTTTCCACGTTCAAATTGCTTTCAACTGCTGAAACCTTTATTTCTCTGGATGGGACATCCCTCAATGTTCTTTGGGCCATATCCAATTTTGTCTCGCATTTGCGCTTGCAATTAGTTGGACATAGATCTTCTGGACTAGGCCTTTTGCATGCACGTCGGTCTGCTCTGCAGGAAATAAGATTCACATGTTCTTTTTTCATCTTGCCTTCAAACACTGAAAACTTCCTTTCCCTTGCTGGAACATCCCTCAATTTTCTCAGAGCTTCCACTCTCTTTTTCATTGTATCACTCGTAGCTTCCATTCTGTCACTTCTCGAATCAATCTTCAACAATTTCCTATTTCCTGTGTTCTTGCTCTTTAGACAGTCCCTTTCGGTGTCTGGTTTCTCTATTTTACACCCATCTTGTGAGTCATATCTAACAGTTACTGTTATCTCATTGGTTAATGAAAACTCAAGAACACATGATTTCTTATCCTGTCTATAATTATCCAAGAACATCTCATAGTCAGGATCCTCATTATTATCAGCACCATCACCTACAGACCCATCATCCGCATTATTACCATCATCCCCTGCTTCTTCACGAACAATGCCATTATTGAGATGCCCATCATCAACAATGTTATCATCTCCGGCCCTGGCATCACCTTTACCAACATGAACTGTCCCAACATTAGCAATACCATCAGCCGGAGACATAGGAGTAGTATCATCATCAACGGAACTAGTATTTGCATTACCACTGTCCAAAGAAGCATCCATACATCCACCATCCACAGCCCCAATACCACCAAAATGATTCTCAACAAGCCCCTTAACAAGGTCAACACTGACATTAACATTATCAGTTGACCTAACACCATTTTGTTTCTTGGATAAAGCATACTCAATATCCACACAAGCATCACAATCACTACCGTTGTACAGCCCTCCATTCAAATCCTTTAAAAACTTAATGTTACATCCATCAACCTCATCATTCTCATCATCATCATCAAGTAGAATACAGCTACTACTCTTGGGTGCATTTGCTGGAGACTTGGTACATTTACTACTACCGTATCTTCCATTATTTTTCTTGAATGAAGAGGGCTTGATGTCAAGATGAGCATCACTATCAACAAACAGCCCTCTAACTAAACCATCATAAAACTTCATGTAATCTTCATCACCAACATCGCTGTCATGGCCATCCTTTTGAATACAAACACTGTCAGGGCTACTCTTCAGAGCCTTACTGTCTTTACAAATGTTGCTTTTTCCAGTAGAGTTGGCCTTGAAACTTTGAGTGCCAACATTCTTTCTCTTCAACCTCCGATCCAGCCTCTCATCATGCATGAAATAAAACCCTTCACCTCTAACAACTACGGGAAATACTTCCAACTTGTTTCTATTACTGGACCCCATTATCTCCCCCCAAAAAAATCCTTACTTCACACGATCAACTAATTAAAAGCCCCTGTTTTCAGGGAAAAAAAAAGCAGAGACAAACAACAAAAAGCACAATCAGTTCACCCATCACCCATAAAAACAACAAAAAATTCCAGCTTCTCACAAAAAAAAAAAAAAAAAGAACTGCCTTGCTCTACTTTATTTTCTGGTAAACCTTGGTTATCCAAAAGGAACAGTAACAGAACAAACAGTTAACAAGCAGAAAATTTTTGTCTAGGCTTCCTTAAGGAAAAAAAAAGAAAACCTTAAATCTTACATGCATGCATAGTTCTCGTCAAAGAAAATCCCTAGATTTTCTTTTCTCAAACAGTAAAATATCCTTCTTTTCTCTCTCACTTTCCCTCGTTTTCTCGTAAACCAACAAAAACATCGTAACTATGGAAGATGAAGAAGAGTTACTTACCTGATCAACTAAAAAACGGGTGCTTTGATAACACGTTGTTGAAGAGAGCCAAAAGAAGCGTAAAAAAGGAAACTCTAGAGTTCAATTTGGGAATTTTGGAGAGAAGATGGGAAGACATTAAAAAGGAATCAGAAAAAGGAGAAGGCCAATGAGGGAATCAACGAAGAGAAACAGAGGGAGGGACTTGTGTAGGTACTCAATGCGGCATGGCGAACAAGTTGTTACCGCGTGCCAGTCGAATCGAGTACAGAAGTGAGTAGATGGGTTTCCTTATGGGCTACCACTTTTAACTTTTAGAGAGTCCATGGCCCAATCTTGTTGGATAACGGCTTTGGGCTTATAGTTTGGATACGCATTGAGATTGCGAAAAGCAAAGATTCTCGGTTTACTGCCTAGCTTCATGGTGTCAGACTCAGAAAGGAATAATGTGTGGTAAATGCTAAAGATTCTTGATTGAGAATATTCGTTCTGGATACCTGAGCATGTGCCTCATTCCCTTTGGGGTTTGCTTTAAGAATCACGCAAATATGTTCGCTGAAAGCATAAGTGCAGTTGCAAAATGACAACTCACCAAATAGCACTTATTCTAAAAGGTTAATCGGTGTTTTATCAGTTTGAGGTTATAAAAATTAAAGAGCATAAGTGCCTCTGCCTTTTGTTTCGAATAAACTGTAAAATTATTCTTTCTTATTTTGAGAAACAAATTAATTAATTATTTTTATTTTAAAAATTAATTATGTAATCCTTTGCCATTAAGTTTTTACCCTATCCGTCAAATTAACATCTAATATTTAAAATATTTTTTAACATATATATACATTCTTGGAAAACCTCTCCTCTCCCCATTCACCTTGCTTTCTCCAACCAAGTTTGCCAAGATAAAAACTTCGATCCCTCCTTCACTCACGACCAAGTGAAACTCTTTCAGATAAAAGCATACAAGTTATGGACAACAATAGAACTTGAATAAAGAAAAAAAAAAGTCAAAAAATCTTAAAATAGAAAGCGATTCAGTCGTGAAAGGATCTTGATTCAGTTATGGAAAGTGCCATGAATGAATTTAGAAGGTTTGAATTGGAAATGAAAAGCATAGCAAGAAATGAACTGAGAAGTTTTTTTCTTTAAAAAAAAAAAACACAAAATGTAAGAGAGAGATGGGGACTTGTTTGATGTTTGAGGAGAAAGAAAGAAACTGAAGATGTATGTAAATTAAAGAAATAATACATAAAATAAATGATAATTCCAGAATAAAAAAATATTGAAAAACAAAGATATCTTTTTTTATTTTAACGAAAAACTGATGAAAAAATTAAATTATCTATGAAATTAAAATATAAAAACTTAAATAATTAGTTTTAAAACGAAAAAGTCTAATTTAAAATTTTTACTCCTTCAATTTCTCCTTGTAAATATAATCTTAATTAATCAATCTTTGGGGGATAAAATTTTTTGATAGTTGTTTAATTCCATAGGTAAATGTCCATGGTCCTCATTTTATATTAGTTTTTGATTTATTTAGAGAATGCATTATTTTCTTGTCAATTTTTTTTTCATCTTAATTATCCACTTATCTCTCCCTTTTTGTTAGTTATTTCACACAATAAATAAATAAATAATGAAAGAACATAACATCGACGAAAAAAATTAAATTATAGATGTATTAAGAAAAACAGTTATAAATATAGATGCCAAAAAAAAAAAAACATTTATATTGTATACATAGTTTTTAAAATCACGACAACAAATTAATTAGTGTTGTCAACTCTTTCATTTTTTATCTATCAAAGAACGAAAAAGAAAATCTACTATAATAACTTTCGTAATTGCTTTTAAACTTTGTAAAGAATGAAAGAGAAAATCATCCATGATAACTTTCATAATTGCTTTTAACTTCACAGACAATATGCACGTGACGCATCATCATGTCAATTTATATTGTACAACTATTTGTTTTGTAAACATATAAATCGGACCATGCATAAATATATTGAAAATGCTTCAAGATACAAGTTTTGTGGTACTATAATATTTTAAAATCAAACTTGTATTAGTCACCATGTTAACATACTCAAATCATATCTATATTTCACACCATCAGGTAAATCACTATACTAACGTACTAAAATCATATATTTTACACCATTGGTTAATTAATTCGTACATATTCAGGTTATGAAAATGACTACATATTATTGACAGCATAATAGTGATACGTTATTCACCTATGATTGTTTTTAGCACCTTTTTTTGAATAAATTATCAGAAAAAGGAAGAATGAAGACCACAAAATGATGAATAAATTAGTATGAAAAAATAAAATAAAAGAAAGGTACATAATGATGAGGGTGGGGTGGTAAGTGAAAAAGAGTATCTTAGGTCTTCTGCTTTATATGTCATGATCTCAAAGAGTACTCCAGTAGTTGTCTTTTAAAATAGATTATTGATTTAGATTTTAACAGATTGGTTTTGTTAAGAAATTTAAATGTGTAGATTATAAAATAATAACAATAAAAAACATATTTTATAGGATATAGAACAATTAAAGGAATCAAACATCGATTTATAAGTTAGGTTCAGAATTTAGTTTTTATGATAAATACTTATAAAAATTTATTTTTAAAATACTTAAATTTGTGTATTAAAAAATATTCTTTAATCATATTTAATAAAAGATTATTTTCGAAATATATGAAATTTGGTGGGAAAACATCATTGTTGTTGAACCTAAAAAAATAAAAATAAAATTAAACAAGTACGGGGCCTTTTCAATGATGTAACCAGTCTTAAAAAAAGAAATGAAGGATTAGCTACGTGAATCAATACCCTATTAGACACGATATGCCCTCGTAAATCGTTTAAAAAAGTGTGAAAAAAAAAAAAAACCTAAGAATATCATTCTCTTTCCAGAAGTCTGATCGGGACACACAATCGACACCTAAGCAAGCCAAGATGGGTGACAAGTGTGCAAGACTTCGAGAGAAGTTAAGTTCAGCGAGGCCAAAAAAATGAACGGTTAGTTAAGGCTTGGAATCCCGAACCAAAGGGCGACCGGTAACATAGCCAGCAATCAGCTTACCCATAGAAAACACAACGAAACCATAGAAAGAGATCGAGCGAGAAGCATGTAATTAATTAAGGAATAACTACAAACGAGACCCCAACGTATTCTGCATCCCCCCAATTAGTCCCCTATGTATGGATTTTTGTTACTAGAGCATGCATAAACTATCACGACATTTGTTACGATACCGTCAAATCCCGGATGAGGAGCAAGTGTTCTCAACCAAATAATGAGTAAATTATAAATTCATCCCTCTAGTTTTTTTTTTAAAAAATAAATAAATCTTTTTTATTTAAAAAATAATTTTTTAATTTTTTAAGCATCGTTGAACATTCTTAATTTAATATTATTTTTATTTTATGAAAAATCATATTTTTCGTTAATCTTTAGATAATCTTTATTTATTAATGCAAAAAATCAAATAAATTAAAAAGGAACAAAAAAAACTAAATTACAATTAGATTTTAAAATATAAAAACTAAATAATTAGTTTTTGAAATGAAAAAGATTAATTAATTTGTTTCTCAAAACAAGAAGGATTAATTTATAATTTACTCACAAAATAATTCGACCTCTCAAACATTAAAAAAAAAATTAAGTAATCTAGATCTTTAACGCGAAATCATAATAGACTGGGGTCTGATTTGTAGTTATCACTTACTCTTTTTAGGTTTTTTAATTTACCCGTTCGGTCCCATTTTTATTGGCCGTTCAGGGGATTGAATCGTGAAATGTGCAAGAGATTGGGGTCTGATTATATTGCTTAACTGTGGTACTGGCAATCGGCTGTATTCACGTAACCTCTATTGTGTATCACCGGCTCTTGTTGTTGCTTCTATATATCATTACCCAGTTCGACAAACCAAACACAGCAAACAAACTCTTTCAGCGAGAGAAAATAACAGTTAAGCATGGCATCAGCTGGAGCGACGGAATCTCTCTCAAAGCTTAATATCAATGGCGATTTTGCTTCCTCCGTTCCCAATCTCCAGAAAAATCTTCACCTCCTCTCCCCTCAACAGGTACATGTCTGTTTTTATATGTACACATGCGTGTATTATGGGAACATCATGCATTTCATTGTGATTGTAATTGGTTGTGGTGGTGTTGACGTGGCAGATTGAGTTGGCAAAGATGTTAGTGGAGAAAGGACAGTCTCATTTGTTTGAGCATTGGCCTGAGCCCGGTGTTGATGACAACGAGAAGAAAGCGTTTTTTGATCAGGTTTTGTTTTGTTTTGTTTTTTTTTTCATTTTCATTTGGAATTCAATTGAGATTTTCTTTTCTGTTGTTCTTTTCTGGGTGGATCTATTGAAAGGAAATTGTGAATGTTTAGGATTTTAACGAAGCGGTTTGCGTTGTGGATTTGGATTTAGATTTGAATTTTAATATTTTCGGGTGTATCAAATTAGCAATTACAATGATACTTTGTGTTGAATTTGATATAATTTGATTTGAAAAGGAATCTAGTTTCTGTGTAAGCAATAATTGAAAGATTAGATCTTTTGTTGAGAAAAAAGAAAAAGAAAAAGAAAATTTGGACATACTTTTCTTTGGATTAATTTGAATGCCAAACTATGAGTCTGAGCTGGCAGTTCTGTCTTCTACTTACAATTGGACAGGCAATAACGTTCAGGCCATGTGGGTGTTTCTTGCAGGTGGCTCGGCTCGATTCTTGCTATCCTGGAGGCTTGACATCGTATATTAAAACTGCTAGAGAACTTTTAGCTGATTCTAAAGCAGGAAAGAACCCTTTTGATGGCTTTACACCTTCAGTAAGTTAGCAGATATTTCACTTTTTCAACTCTCATTTTTGCTCCATAAACTTCTTTTAGGATTCAAATTTGTTTAAATTTCCAATTCATGGTTTAAGTTGAATGCTATTAAGAATTGATCAATCAATTAAAATATGAAAATTTTGAAATACTATAGTAATTCCTTGTGTCATTAATAAATTATCCCAAAAGCGGAAATGAAAAGAAAAAATTATATTCCTCTGTTGCACATGAGTGATGATCTTTTGGATTTGCCTCTTCCGCAAAATATAAGCAATTAGAACTTTGGTTGATATGAAAGCAAAAACGCTGCAGGTTCCTACAGGTGAAAGCCTGACTTATGGTGATGAAAACTTTATCAAATTTGAAGAGGCAGGCGTAAGAGAAGCCCAGAATGCTGCATTTGTTCTTGTTGCAGGTGGGCTTGGGGAGCGTCTTGGATACAATGGAATAAAGGTGAACGATGATACCACTAACTTATTTAGTTTATGTTGATTTTAGTTAGGTCAAAAATCTTTAAATTTCTTTTACGCCCTTTAGGTGGCTCTTCCAGTAGAGACCACGACAGGAACATGCTTCTTACAGCTCTATATTGAGTCTGTTCTGGCTCTTCAGGAAGCTAGCTCTAGAATGACACAAGGTTTGTATCCAAAAGCCTATTATCTTGCCATGTCTTTGAACATCTCTTAGTCAAAGCTAGTTACTTTCAAGCCTTCCTTTTTCCAAAAATTAAAAAATGATGATTATAACGTTAATAGTTCTAGCATTTCCAAGTAACCTCTGCTTTTGTGAATTGTAGGCGGACATAAAAAAGAGATTCCTTTTGTTATCATGACATCAGACGATACACATGCACGCACATTGGAGCTTTTAGAATCAAATTCGTATTTTGGAATGAAACCTACACAAGTAAAACTTCTCAAGCAGGTAAGATATTAGCTGTTGATATCTTATTGGAGAGCTAGTTCGATATACAAAATATGTTTATGAATATGTTACTTTATTATTTATTTCAGGAAAAAGTTGCATGCTTAGAGGACAATGATGCCAGGATTGCTTTGGATCCGCAAAACAAATTTAGAGTTCAGGTAGCTATCATATAAAATTCCAGAAACTTGAAGTTGTATAGAATGTTTCTGATCATCATGTGTTCTCTTAACCTTTTTCTTCTTGCTGTAGACAAAACCTCATGGGCATGGTGATGTGCATTCACTTCTTTATTCAAGTGGCCTTCTTAATGAATGGTACGCCTCAATGGTTGTCTATTTTTTTTTTTTAATGTGCAGATACAAGTTCAAAAATATGATTTGTTATTTCATTTTAATCAGATCTCTAGTACAAGAACTTGCATGTGTTTGGACCACGCCCTTCCAGAAAGTTGGTAGAAACACTAAGAATCCATACTATGCTTCTATATAAATATAAGACCCTGTAATATTCTCGCACCTTTTTGGCGGATATTTGTGTTAAGTTTATATGTTTTGAGTTTGCATGACAATCATTGGTTAACGAGGGGGATTGCTTATGCTTCTTTGATTGTTTGTTTTGTTTCTAACTTTGAAAGTAATACAAATTGAAGGTTTTAGATCCTACACATGTGGTGGCTGGTGAGCCCTGATGCCTTCTTAGTGCTCACTAATTCATTTTATCTCGATTATAAAATAGGTACTTAATTATAGTAATATTAATAAGAATTCACAGATTTTTTATAACCTAACCTCCTTGTCACAAGCAACTCATGTAATTGATCTCTTTTGATTAACTCGAGAAAAAATGGGACATCAAAAGAATTGATTGTCGAGCTGTATGAGTTAGGAAACTCTCAAGTACGGTTCTAAGGGAAGAAATTTACTTGCCCATTCTGACCGAGGAGAACAGGCCATTCGGCAGGGAGATTCTGAAATTGCGGATGCTTGGTTAGGCCAAGACAATTGGTGCGGTGACAGCTAGTTTTGGTATGTTGGGGGATATCGTTATTGCTGAACCCAACGCCTACGTTGCATTTGCAGGTAAAAGAGTAATTGAACAAACATTGAATAAGACAGTACCTGAAGGTTCACAAGAGGCTGAATTTTTATTCCATAAGGGCTGATTCAATCCAATCGCACTGCAAATTCTGGCCTTCACTGATTAGTAAAGTAAAATAAAAGTATAAAGGCCTCATCCACCATCCCTTTTCTAATCCTTTCACATTGAAAGAATTAATTGACTGAATTTGGTTTAGATAACAGGCAAGTGGTGCAGCTTCTTCACACATACCCTGCACACACATATAGGAATAGTTGTAGTCATTATGTTACATCACTTGCTTACATATGCTTTTTTGTTTGGTAGTTTGTAGCGTCCTGAATCTTCTGATCTTAGTTGTGTTTTCATTACTTTTTTAGGCATGATGCTGGTTTGAGATGGGTTCTATTTTTCCAAGATACAAATGGACTTTTATTCAAGGTTTGGTTGCTTCAATGCCTTGTGGTTTTCTATATGCAAATATTTTATATCACCGTTATATTTGGCTGAAAATTCAAAATTTTATGTTTCTACATGAATGTGTGTAGGCAATTCCAGCTGCAATTGGTGTCAGTGCCACTAAGGGATACCATGTTAACTCTCTCGCTGTCCCTCGCAAAGCTAAAGAAGCTATTGGAGGCATTACCAGGCTTACTCACACTGATGGTATGCGAGAGTTTTTCCTTCCCCTCTTTTTTTTTTTTTTTTTTTTCCTTTTTTGGGTGTGGGAAGAGGGGGTTTTGGGGGAGAGTGCTTGCGGGGATGAGGGTGTTAGATGCTTCTTTGTTTTGTACTGATATGTGATCTATGCTGCTGAGCAAGCTTTTGCTAGTATTATTTTTGCTGTCCAAGCAAATATCCTCTAAATTTTTCCTAACCTATTAGATTTTAACCTCTTTATCTATGAATGCATGCAATAATGACTGATATATCTTATCCTTTTGCATAAGTTCTCAATGTCCAAGTGAAATTGATTTTCCAGGAAGGTCCATGGTGATTAATGTGGAATACAATCAACTTGATCCTCTGCTAAGAGCAACTGGGTTTCCTGATGGAGATGCCAATTGTGAGACAGGCTATTCTCCTTTCCCAGGAAATATAAACCAAGTAAACTTCTTACAAAATCCATCATACTTAAACGAACAACTTGTGCACATTAATTTTCTCAAATGCTATTGGTGCTTATTTGACGTTGTCTTTATTAAATGTATAAATAATGCTATTCCAGAAACAGGTCGCCAAGTTTTTTTCTCAGCTGGTGATATGGATTTGTCTATATTAGCTTGACTAGTAGCAGCTTAAAGGTTATTGTAATGAGAACTGTTATCATGCACTTGCTTGTGGTTCCATTGTTTCATATATCTCTCTCCTGCCACCCTCTATCCTTTTCCTTCAGTGACACATACTCTTTGGGAGTGCAAATGTTTAAGTGGGCATTGTCTTCACAAGATGGGCCACAATGTTAATGGAATGAAATTATTGAGATGAACCAAGATGTGTGGAAAAATTTTCATGCAGAAAGGAAACTAATGTCTCATATTTGTTCATGATCTGGCAATAGATTCAACGGCAATATAAAATTGTTATGTCCTTCTGGAAATATACACTTTTTTTGTATAATTTATAAGAGCTATAATTGGAATTGGCATAGCTTGTCATCGTCATGTTTTTTTGGTGATTATATTTTATATTTTGATGTCCATTGAACTATTTCTTGCTTATGCTTGCCTTCTGCATCATAATTCCTTTTGCAGTTGATTATGGAACTTGATCCTTATATCGAGGAGCTCAAAAAAACAGGAGGTGCGATAAAGGAGTTTGTTAATCCAAAGTAATTCTTCCTTATTTTTAGTTCTGAAGCATTATGGTACTTCATAAAGAAGACATCTCCGAATTCTATATCAGCTCATTTGTTTTATACATTCTTCCTTCAGATACAAAGATTCGAGCAGAACCTCATTTAAATCTTCAACTCGACTGGAATGTATGATGCAAGATTATCCAAGAACATTGCCTCCATCGGCAAAAGTTGGATTTACGGTAACTATCTTTACCTCTGAAAGAGCATGGATTTTCAGCTACCTTATTTGATTTTCCGGCCCTAGGACTTGGGCCCTCTTAGGTCTCTAGTTTGACTTAAATCTTGAATGTATTCTCAATTAAACTTATTTTCCACAATTTGGCAGTAGCATCTATAATTGAGGTGCTGCCATCATTGATTCACTCTTTAAACCAGTTTCTATGTGTTTGTTTAGGTGATGGATACATGGCTTGCTTATTCACCTGTGAAGAACAACCCTGAGGATGCTGCTAAGGTAAAAAAAAGTTCGTTGGTCATCATAAATTGTTTCTGTTTTCAATTATGTGCTACTTAAAATAGGCTAATGAAGTTCCAAATGTGCTTAAAAGAAAGTTATTTCTGGCCTTAAGACTTCAGATTCCATTCTGGGGATTGCATGCATCATTAGCTTCTTTATTTTTCATAAACTTTTAGCTAGGTTTGAATAAATTGTATCTTCTTAGTGCTTGGGAAGTGATGCTCAAAGATTCAACTGAGAGCCTTGAGCATTAGTTTTTTCATTGGTGGCCCAATTTTTTCATTGGTGGCCTATGTACCTAACCTAACTCTTCTCACACAACCTATTCCAACTTGACTTCAAGGCTGACGGTAAATTCTTGAGCGGTTCTGTACTGTACTTAAATTTGCTGGAGGTTGCCTTGATTGATATAGTGGACATATATACATATGCACGCTGTGTTTGAGAATCCTTCAGTTAGTTAGTTGATTACTCCTATTCTCCTGCTTGGCTTCCATTTAGGGTCAAGATATAGATACTCTCTCCTGTTTTCTATCATTGCAAATCCTCTATCCAAACATGCAGAGACGTTATGAAGCAAGTTGTTTGATACATTAGACATTAGATAATGTCTGCATTAGATGATGTCTGTTCTTACAGCCACAGAGACGTATTAACTTAACATGGCTATTTGAAACGATGTCCTTCGTTGTAGAAGAAAAGGGCCGATTGATAGGTTTTCAGAATGTCTGGTCAAAAGAGTAAATGCCCAGAAGCATGTGAAAGAGTAGAAAGTATCATTTGGAGTAAATAATCAGTTGTAGAAGTTGACACTGAATTATTATTATTCAGGAAAGTAGTTTTCAGATTATCTTTAATTCAAATTTCAAGGTTATGCTTTTTTGTGCTCCTTTCTGTTTTTTGTTGCATGAAAATCTTTTCTGATTGGGGATTCAAGTTCTGAACCAGCTTGACTTACTTTTTTTTATTTTTAAATGTAATGAAGGTACCAAAGGGTAATCCATATCACAGTGCAACTTCTGGAGAAATGGCCATTTATCGTGCAAACAGCCTCATTCTTAGAAAGGTTCGTTCTTGTTTCCCCTTTTCTTACAACTTGGGTATTTTAATGTCTTAAATTTTCTCTCTCATACTCCCTCAATTTGTGGTTGCTAGATTGGTGTCCATGTGGGCAATCCAATTAATGAGGTCTTCAATGGGCAAGAGGTGGAAGTGTGGCCTCGCATTGTATGGAAGCCAAAATGGGGACTGACATTTGTGGAAATCAGAAGTAAAGTCAGTGGAAGTTGCTCTATCACTCAAAGATCTAGCATGGCCATTAAAGGTCGGAATATCTTTGTTAAAGATCTCTCCTTGGATGGAGCTCTTGTGGTCGACTCTATTGATGAAGCAGAGGTATGTTATCGGATAGATGGGGTAGTATAAAAAATTGCAAAATTCACACGTTGGCCCATACATCACCTAAATTGTTACTCCTTCCCATTTTATTTCTTGGAAAAAAAAAAAAGGCTACTTCTACTATTCTTCTCTTTCCCGACAACTTCTAAATTGGGTATGCACACTAACTGATTATTGGGGGTCTGGCAAACACTATGTTTTAAATTTTTTGATTGATTTTGATTCTATTAGATTTTTGGATTCTTGACTTTAAATTTTTCTAGTTCCCCTGAAATTCTTTGAAGTTCATCATCAGTTTATATCACCCTCTTTGAATATATTAATCACTTTTGCAGTATAGCAGCAACTCAAATGTGGATGCTGATGTTCTGATATGTTTGGAAATGAATTCACGTTTAGTCTCTTAACTTTTACTTTTCTAATATGAATCTTTTGACAGGTTGAAGTGGGAGGTTCAGTGCAGAACAAGGGCTGGATCCTGGAAAAGGTTGACTACAAAGATACTTCGGTACCTGAGGAAATACGGATCAGGGGCTTCAGATTCAAAAAGATTGAGCAGCTGGAAAAGCATTACAGTGCGCCTGGCAAGTTCGAATTGAAGGCTTGAAGAAAGTGTGAACTTAATTCAGAAGGACCAACCACAGTTATCTTTCAAGTTATTTATCTGATGCTCATAAATTAATATTCAACCCAGAAATAAGTTTGGGCCGAAAATGGTTTTTAATAGATAAGGTGATGTGAGTTGAGCTGTCAGAATTTTGTTGATCTCGTGTTCCCTATTTTTTGTCCTTTTTTTTTTGTTCGTCGTTTCACTTATTTTTTTTTCCAATTCTGAGGATGGGAATAATAAAACATGCAGAATATTCTCTATTTTGTTTCGTTACTTCTAACATCCATAAGCATGTGAGCCAATACTGTGCAGTACTAAAACCAACCTCGACTATGCTGTGAAAGATATGAGACATTCACGTGAACATTGCCTTGCTGGACAGGGAGAGAGCTCTTGATCACCTGCATGCTGATTGAGGTGATCTGGGGTAATTTTGAAATGAATGAACTTTGGATCATCAGTTTCTCTTCCTCTGGAATGTTTAATCAAAAGACACAAGAAGGCTTGACCAAATCGAGATCGAAGAGGATATTGCTGTATGATTGTCTTTTATGTAGCTAAATATGAAGTAATAATTTTTACTTTGAATTTGTAGAAGGAAATGCTAGTTTGCTTTCTGAAAGTAGTGTATTCGGAGCTTGTCTTGGAGTGTTGGAAGCCACACAGAAGCGTGTTCTTATTTCCTTCGCTTGTTTCAAGTTTACTTGTAACCCTGACCTAAAAGGGACAAGGAACAAAGTTCCTTTGTAAGCTAACCGTGTAAACTTCTCAGCCTATCTCGAAAGTTCCTTTGTAAGCTAACCGTGTAAACTTCTCAGCCTATCTCGAAAGTTCCTTTGCAAGGATTCAACGCCTCTTCATAATTGGGAAGGCTGCAAATGACTCATCGTGTATCTTGCGAACCACGCTCAGGTGTCTTTTTCATGGAAAAGATAACAAACCAGAACTGAAACAAAAAAGTAATGTGCATGCTTATTTCCATGATATCTTTTACCGTCAAAACATATAAAAAAATTGAAAAAAGATTTACAGAGGATGTGAGAGCATATAAATGATAGGAAGCATGCATCAGACTTTAAGCGGCTGCTTTGCTTAAGATCCCTGGGTGGCATGGATCTTCCCACGTCCCATGTCTTCTACAAGTACTAATTTTCTTGTTCTGAATTGGCATGAAAGCTGAAGGGGAAAAAAAAACTACTACTTAATTTCTGGTTTTTTTTTCCTAATTAATTTCTGGTCATTGTTATTATTACGTGTTGAACTCACGAACAGAATCAATTTCAAGATAGACTATAAACATTGCCGTATTTCCTACGAAAAAAAGTAAAAGACTCTATCTGTGTGTGTGTGTATATAGAAAAGAAACTATATTAATGTTTTACATTTATGTCCGCACGTAGGATCCTTGTTTTGGCACCGCTCATTATTGGTCCACTACCCTTTTTGTCAGTATGGCGAGATGTCTAGAATCGTAAAAAAAAAAATCGGATTTCGATGGACGGACTATAGAGAAAGGGGCACAACGTAGTTTTTTGTTTTGTTTTTTTTTTTCTCCTGTGATTAGTAAATGGAAAAATTATATGGACCAGACTTTAAAATAAACCTTATTTGTCGAAGCCAAATGGAAGAGGTTGGAATTCAACGATAGAAGCGAAAGTAACGAAAAGTTCATTGCACGAGGCCAATAAAAACTTGAGACCTTTCATTTATCATGACTCCTGTGAAGTTTCTTGCAAGCTTCTTTGACCATTATTTCACCAAAAAACATTTCTTTCGTATTAATTTTCTTTCTTGTTGCGTTTCCCTACAAAGAATTCCATGGAGCATCTAAATAAATACCCTCATCTACCTTAACATTTTGTCAACAATACGCGAGCAAAGCTAGTATATGTTCACAAAATAAATAGCATCTCATCATCGATCTCTTGTGTTATTCTGGGATTCTTGCGCTAGATGCACCATGTGTCCCCTTAACACCAATGACTTGCACCGGATTTTCCAAAAACTAGACAAAAATGGCGATGGTCTTTTGAGTACGGTGGAGCTCAACTGGCTTCTTGAGAGCATTGGAGTCCATTTTAGCCTAGAGGAGCTTGAGTTTTCGGTGGGGAAGTCATGCTTCAACTTTGATGAGTTCTTGTTATTTTACGACTCCATAACAAAGCAAAGCGATGATGGCAACAATGAAGCAGTACTAGCAGATGATCATCAGGAAGGTTGCTGCAACAAGGAAGATTGTGACGTTGTTAAGGCGTTTAAGGTGTTTGATTCTAACGACGACGGATTCATTTCTTGCGAGGAGCTTCAAAGTTTGTTGTCAAGACTTGGATTATGGGATGAAAAGACAGGCATGGATTGCAGAAATATGATTTGCAAGTATGATACCAACTTGGACGGGGTTCTTGATTTTGAGGAATTCAAGAAAATGATGCTGCATACCGGTTCTTAATTAGTTCATTTTTGGGGGCACTCTAGCTAGAGGGTTGGATTTTTACCTTTGGTTTGAATTTGTGATGGTCAGCCTCTTCGAGCGCACTGGCTGTCGACCTTGTCAGCCAAATTTTAATGCATATGTCCAAATTTTTACCTTTGGTTTTCCTTTCATGTTAGTTGAATGTACTAGTAGTTATGGCACAGCTATGTATGTAAAGCTGCAGAATTTTTCACCGAGTTATATCAGAACTGATTTCCAGTTGTCACTCCAGCTACTGCTTTCCATATTATCCTTGCTCTGATTTTGTTTTGATAACTTTGTTTATGCAATTATTATACACGATAAAGTTCTCAGATTCTCCATTTGCATCCAGAAAATTCTCAGAAGCACTGCAATTGAATCTTTGAATTCAAGAAAAGGGTATTCGAGTTTTGTTAGATGATGTTGGACATTCTCAACTCCAAAAGCTAGCTTAAGAAATGGGATTTGCTTTCACACTTAAACCGAGCACACAGCTCCTTCTATAAGCGACGATGCGAGATAACATAACAATCTTTTCGTTCACATATCGAACTTTATATTGGTTATTTTTTATCAATTTGTGTGACACTAGTATATGAGAAATTATTTAATCTGGATTTCGATACTAGGGTTGATGCTATTGGGCTTTTTCAATCCTAAAAACTAGCTCAATGAATGAGATTTTTTTCTAACGCTTATAACTAAGCATTCAACTTTTTTCGCAACATATGTGAAATAAAACAACAAACTACAATATTCTCATCTTATAATTAAGGATGCATACACAAATATGCTGCTGATTTTTCTTACGTACGTAAAACTACTGAACTTCACGAAAATCAACCTAAAGTCCTGTAGGACCATGGATTATATATTATTGGGAAGCTTTTAATCTCATCCTTTGTCATACTAATACTATTGATTTGGTAGCCTGATGGAAATTTCTCAGAAAACTCCCATGAAATTGACTACCGTACAACCTTACAAGTCGATGTCCTTTCATTGCATCTTTAGTTATTCGGTTGAAGAAAAGCTTTATTTTACGCCTACCAAAAAGAAATCTAACGATCCTCAATGCCAACCGTGGCCAACGGACAAATGCAATTGGCTTGGAAAGAGCAATGCAATTTACTCCAATGTATCCGTAATCCACACAAATACATTCAATTACGATGGGCTGATACTTGCAAGGCAAATTGACTCACCCCTTGATAGCTACATTTATCTGTAAATTTCTTAAGTCAGTTTATGACTTTCTGAGGTTTCATGGAAGATCACTTCGTTTTTCTGTCAATCATGTAGGATTATGTATTCTAATGTAATACTTCTGACCATACATGCATTTTTCACAATATTCGACTTTGCGATTTTCTATGGAACATGGTATCGGCAGTAGAACGTCAGCAATGAAAGGAGCTCCTACGTAATAGAACACATGTATAAATGGTTGTAAATTTAGAATAACAATCATGTTTTGAAGATGTTCAAGACAATAAGAACTCTGTACCATGTATTTCCATTTGCCACTTCTTACGAAAAATCCATCCTTCTATCAGAGCTTTTTGTTAACTTTTATTCGTTCAAATGCATTTGAGATATATATATATATATATAAAAGATCCCCAGGATGATACGGCCCCGCAACTTAATACAGAATAATGATTCGAATCAATTCTCGCCCACATTGCTGGCATATATTCAAAGAGAACTATATTTTATGCCTTGGGCCACAGAGAAAGAAAAAGAGAATAGATGGCCACGGAAACTGCTGAGAAGTGAGAACTTCTGGAGAGTGCTGTGCTTTTTTTTCTAAACTAAACAAAATAATAACAAATCATCAATCAAAAGTGTGTTGGGGTCTTAGGATTCTCACCCTCCAAAAAAAAAGGTTTCAGATTCTACTGAAAGTTGCAATGAGAATCACACACACACATATATATCTTCTGTAGCATTTATAAAAGCTTTGGAGATTTTCTCTCTCTTTCGAAACTATACATATGCCGCTTCTTTTATCCTAGAACAGGGATTCTCGTTGCCACCCATGTCCTCCGTAAAGCAAATTGATTCCCATACTTTGCAATCAAAGTTCTCTTTTAAAAAAATAATAATGAAAATTCTTTTAAAAGAACAAAATAAGAATAGTAATGTGACTTATATTTATTTATTCATTTGTACGGTAAAGTACAATGTTGTGTTCAGCGAAACTTCCATTGCAGTTATTAATCCATAGCCAGGTAAGGAGGAAAATTCAAAGTCAATTTGATTTACTGTTTATAGCTTTGAAAAGAAACCAGTTATTTTACAAGTATTTTAGTTTTCTTTTGACGTCACCATCAGTCATCACATAAACAGTTTCTTCTACAAAGACAAATTAATGTTCCTCCATTTTCAACAATTCCCGTCTGTACTATGCTTATACTATGCATGGGAACCGTAACATGATTATATATATATATTACTAGGAACATGATTAATTGTCGATAAAAAAAGAAAATAACATGATTAATTATATTTTTGAATTTCAACATTTATGATTTCATTTTTTCAAGTTAGGAAGTGATTAGAAGTTTTTAAAATTTGATGGTTATTTTTCTCTATGAAAAATCTAATCAAAATATAAATTTTAGGTGGTGTTTGATAAAACTGAAAATTAAGTGCTCGAATCTATTAAGTGTTGAATATGTTCCGACAAGTTATTTAGTATTTACTGAAAATTAAGTATCGAATATAATAAGCGAGGTTTGAAGATGATAGAATATATATGATATTTTTTTTAAGATTTTAGTTTGAACATATGTATCCGATTATATTACTCTTATTGTTTAAAATTTATTTTTTTCAATTATTTTTTTCTGACTAAAATTCTCATCAAATTAATTTTTGATATAATTTTATTTGTTAATAAATTTGATTTTTTAATATATGAATTTTGGAATAAAGTTTTATAACGTCAATGTTTTATTTTTTAAAATATATTATTATAGTTTATACAATAAATTATTTTTATGCTTTTCAAATGAGTATTTTATTTTTCAAAATATATTATTATAATTTATAAATTATGATATATATATATATATATATATATATATATATATATATATATATAGAGAGAGAGAGAGAGAGAGAGAGAGAGAGAGAGAGAGAGAAAGAGAGTATGTTTTAGATAGTTTGACTTAATCAAATAAGTTAAAAATTTTAACTTATCTAATTAAGTAGATTTTAACTGAACTTAAAGTTTTAATATGAGATCATTTAAGTTATCAAACAAGATTTTTATATTAAGTAGTACAACTTAATTTTTTAAGCTACTTAATTAGTGTTACCACTAGGCCCACGATCAGCAAACCAGGCCTGAATTAATACCAGGCCTGGGCTAGTTTAGACTAATTATCGCAGGGGATTGGCGACATCAAGGCCCAATCTGGATACTGTTTTCGGCCCGGCAACAGTGTGTGTTCTGTTTTTGATTCCAATAGATTTGTTCGTTTATTTTCACGTAGACCGTAGACTGAGAAAGAATCAGTGTTAATTAGAAGTTAAAAAGGTCGAGTGGAAGCATAAAGTATAACCTAATTTTGTACCCTGACGTAAATCCTACACGTGGCAAGCATAACAAAACAGAGAGAACAAGGAACCATTGGGAAAGTGAAATGGTATAAGCGGACAATTGGTTGCTTCTCGATTTCTCAGTCTTGTCAAAAGCTCTTCACTCTCATTCGATAAATACAGGCTGATTTTTGTGCAGAGGTCAAGCGTGATTTTGTAGTTATTATTAACCTAGCAGGTATGGTAGGGATGTAGGTGCATTTTTTTTACATCCTTTTACTTTCATAGATTCCCTAAAGTTTCCCTTGGTACTCTAATTTTCTGTGTTTTGTTGTTAATCTGCTACCAATACTGTAGGCTCCCATTTACTGTTTTATTTATGTTCTGTAAAAAATCTGGGTATTTTACATTTCATTGTAATTGAACGCATGGTGTTTGATAAAACGATCGAGTGTTTAGCGTGTTGTCATCAATAGAATACGAGGATTTTTTTTTAGTTATCGAGAAAATCATATGTTGCATTTTGTGCAGATTGCTTTTGAGTAATTTGGATCTGTTATTGGGCATTTCTGGTTATTGATGAACTGGTTTTTGCTTCAATTTCAGGGTTAGTATCGACTAGAAGAGATTATAATATAATCTATTTTTGTATAATAGTTGTTAAAAATGTCGATTGCAAAACCCTTGAGGAAGTTAGTATCTGCCGTCATTCTTGATTTGGATGGTACCCTTATCAATACAGGTCAGCTTTTGCGCTTGGCTTTTTCACGATCATTTCACTATCATATTCGTGATTCTCAATATATATATATATATATATATATATATCTTCAATTTCCTGGCACAGATGGCATAGTGAGTGATGTCTTAAAAGCTTTATTGCTCAAGTATGGGAAACAGTGGGATGGGAGAGAAGCTCAAAAAATAGTGGGAAAGACACCTTCGGAAGAAGCTGCTATTGTGGTGGAAGATTATGAGCTTCCTTGTTCAATTGATGAATTTGTGACTCAAATCACCCCATTGCTCTATGATCAGTAATTAATCTCTACACTTCTATCTAGCATTATGGATGTTTTCTCGGATCTTTTGTTAAGAGGATCTCAAAAATGTTATCTAATATTTTTTGTAAGTCCAGTGGGTGTACCTGAAACACATATTTGTCTTGTGTGTGTGGTTGATCACGTGACCACCAAATAGACATGTAAAGCCATGATAAACACACTGTTAGATTCCCATTTAGTTGCCTCTATGTTTTTCTATTTGACTATTAACGTGGAATGCTGGGACTTTCTTATGACTTACTATAATCAGTGGTAAATTTCGATTTTCAGCTGCTTGGGACTCATTTTGGCAATTTTTCTCGCATTCGATTAGATGGCAACTGTTGTATGTGTTTTCTATATTGTATATTGGAAGTAATTGAAACTTGTGTTTTTTGTCAATTTGAAGGTGGTGCAACATTAAAGCTCTTCCTGGTGCAAATCGGTTAATTAAACATTTGATTGGTCATAATGTGCCTATGGCACTGGCTTCAAACTCTCCAAGGGCATATGTAGAATCCAAAATTTCTTATCAACAAGGTAGGTTCTTGTAGGAAATTTAATGAAACTGATAAGTTTTGTTCTAGTTATATCTTTTGCAAATTAGGTACTCTGGCATGGTAAAGAGTCAAACTTGAGGTACATTATTACGATTAGCTTGGTTTCTCATATTTCCTGCTTTTAGGCTGGAAGGAATCCTTTTCTGTCACCATTGCTGGTGATGAAGTGAAGACCGGAAAGCCATCTCCTGAAATGTAAGATAAATTAATTTACAATTCATTTTTTACTTTTTGGATTATACTATTTTTGTTTTAACTGAAAGAATCACGGATGTTCTTGGATTCTGAATCTGCAAGCTTGCCATTCTAGATTTTTGGAAGCTGCTAAAAGGCTAAATATTGAAACATCCAGCTGCCTTGTCATCGAGGATTCTTTGTGAGTGAGTTTAAGTCATAAGTTATTACTGTGCCGAACCTTTTGATTTGTTCAACTGTCCTTGCCAGGGGTATTTAAGGAATATGCTTTTTCTTTAAGTGGTGCGATCCTAAATATTGGCTGCTGCAAAACATAATATTTCTGTCAAACAGTCTAATTCTATCTGACTGTTTTAGTTGGCATAGGATTTGACAAAGAATCAGAATATCTTTAGTACTGGACCCCCTCTTGCATCTTCTTTTAGGTTTCCACTAGAGTGGTGTTATTCTCACTCCATATTTACGACTTTTATTATATGTTTTTGTAATTAGAAATAAATTATAGTATCAAAACAGCCCCTCTTTACTAAATCTTTATAGCATAATTATATAATTCAAAAAAAAAAAAATGAAAGAAATAAGAATAGATGATGCCAAAAAATTTAGAGATTCATTCTAATAAAAGATTGGTGAGCTTTTTTTCTAGATCATTTGCATCATGATTTTTTTTCCTCATTAAAATTGGTAAAATGATGGAGTATCCATCATGAATTTGTAGTGCTAAACATCTATGCTGAGACGACAAAGTAGACGAAGTTGCTTCATGCTCCAATATATATATATATATATATATGCCTAAACTCTAATTTGTTCACGGGTACTATTTGTTAGTATTTTAACTCAAGGAATTTTTGGTATTCAATATTATATAATTTAGTATTATAATTGAGGAAACATATTAAAGAAGGTTATATTAGTCAAAAAAAAAAAAAAAAGTGGAGTGGGAATGACATTGGATGGAGTGAGAATATCAACATTCTTTCTGTTGATATCTCCTGTCCAGAACCAAGCAATGTTGTTCTTTCTCAGTACACAGCACACTGGAAAGTATAAATGTGCTCATGCATTCTATCACAAAGTTCTATTTACTGATTCTGAAAAAGTTTTTGTCTCTGTCAGGCCAGGTGTTACTGGTGGTAAGGCTGCTGGCATGGAAGTAGTTGCTGTACCATCCATTCCAAAACAATCTCATCTTTATACAGCAGCGGATGAAGTGATCAACTCTCTACTTGATTTACAACCTGAATTGTGGGGCCTCCCTCCATTTGATGATTGTAAATCTCTAAAGACCTGTATCAATCTTGCATTTTTATTTAGCAAGTTTCTTTTCATCCTATTTCTCATGGGAATTTGATCTGTGATTGCAGGGATAGATGGTACTTTGCCATTAGAACCTTGGCATATTGGTGGTCCTGTGGTTAAGGGATTTGGTCGTGGCTCAAAGGTTCTTGGAATCCCTACTGGTACAGGAATTTCTACATGTTCTCTTTAAATGTCACATCTGAATTTGTTGTTATAGAATATCACATTTCAATGTATTGGGAATCTACTTCACTCCTTATCTGACCTTGATGTCACACTTTGTTTCAATGAAATTGAGCATAAAATCATTTTCTCTATGCCTGTTTTGCTTGATGACTCCTATTTCACATCATCTAACGAGTTTATTTATTTATTTCAGCTAATTTATCCACCAAAGGTTATTCAGCACTTCTTTCAGAACATCCTTCTGGTGTTTACTTTGGTTGGGCTGGATTATCAAAACGAGGTGTTTACAAAATGGTTATGAGTATTGGCTGGAACCCATATTTTAACAACACAGAAAAGACTATAGTGAGTTTAACATCAATATAGATGACGATCTATGCATACCATAATCTATTTTCTAAATATAGTTTATGTTGTAGGAGCCTTGGTTGCTTCATGAATTTGATGGGGATTTCTATGGTGAGGAATTGCGCCTTGTGATAGTTGGCTATATTCGACCAGAGGTATAATCTACACTAACCAGTATCCTTTTTGCATCCCTTCTTATAATCACAGTAATCGGTATTCTTTTTGCATCCTTTTTTCATTTCACTAAAGTTTGGGTTGAAAAACTACAGGCCAATTTTACATCACTTGAGAGCTTGGTAGCGAAGATTCACGAGGATAGAAGAATTGCAGAGAAAGCTCTAGATATTCCGTTGTACTCGAAATACAGGGATGACCCATATTTTAAAGGCTCTTCCCTGTAATCGTGGCAAGCATCCATAAACTTCATGACCCATCATTTTTCCAGAGCTCATCTTGCAGACTGCATCTGCTAATTAGAGAAGGCATTGGTTGGGACCGTATGGTATTCTCTTCTCATGAAATGTCAGGCCTGCCTCATAATCATGGTGGGTATAAAAATAGAACGGTGCCCCTAAAAGCCCCCAATTATTGTTACTGATAATTTATGTACCAAAAATTTGTCTTTGATAATTTACTTAAATTGTAGTTTGGACGCAATGATGCAGCCTAATGTTTCAGTTAAAGTCTTCCTTGTGAGGCCAATTTTTCTGTTGTTACTTTTTGTTGGGATAGGATTGGCATGGCGTCCGATGATATTACGTAATCTGTACCCCTGGCATGGCTGTAATGATCCAGTTTTTCAAATGATCGCTCAATTTAAAAGTGGAATCGGCTGAACTATCGAAATTGTCCCTTTGTCATGACTTGGCCCAAAACCATGATGGCAAAGATGACAAGGCCAGACGGTTTGAGCCCTTAATGCTATGAATTACAACTCGTTTTTCCACCAGTACTTGGAACTCACTTAAACGTGATTAGGCTTTTTATTTTCAGCTTTCGCATTTCATGTGATTAGTCTCTATTTTCACTTTTATCCAGTTTTCAAGTTCACATCATTCAAGGTGTTTTGCAAATGAAATGCGCATATGGTCGTGGAGAATATCCAATGATAATCCAAAACGTTTGAGCTAATATCAAATATAAAGTACTGTTGATATTGATAGCACATTCCTTTGTAAAGGAATGAAAAGATTGGCTCTAAGCCAAGGTAGAATTTATGAAAATTGAAAACTTAAAGCGGAAAAACCAAAGAAATTCAATTGATAATGGACCCTTAATTTTTCATGTTATAACTTTTAAGTGTCCTACTCACTCAGTACCTTAGCCTTTTTCAGTCGCAGAAAATTAGATTTTTTCAGAAAATTCCGGACCAATGTTTTTTAAAGCGTTAAGGCCTGATACAGCCCTAGCGTGAGACGCAAAACGAAAATGCATTCTTAGGATAAATGAGGTGTTACCATTATTGTAATATCTAAAATTATTTATATTAAGTTATAAGAAAAAAGATGAGAAAAAATCATAACAATAAAGATTTATTTAGTTTGTCGTCTTAAATTATTTAATATTATGTTGTTGCTTTAAAATCATGTGTACAGATGTTATACCACTCTAGTCTAGTAATTAAGAGCGTAACTCTTTTTATCTTCTAAGATCTGGCTTAAATCATCATTTATTTACCGCCTTATAGACCGATCCTTGAAATGAAAGAGAAATAGCAAACGATAAAAAGTAAATAAGAACCTGTTGCTCTGTTAGTACATATAAAAATCAACTTATTTATAATACATTATAGCAGAATATTTTTTTATATGAATTTGTACAATAAGCTTGTATATGCATAAGAGCTTATTTGTAAGTTAACAAACAGGATTACCGTACTCATTAAGCTAACTTGCAATCCTAATCATCTAAGTTCACAAATCTAAATAAGTAGAACTTAATTGATCTGAAAATCGGTTCATTAATACAACGAGTTTAATTAATAAAAAAGGAAAAAAAAAAGATTGGAATGGGCTTGGTAACTCAACAAATGGTGAGCAAATATCCGCAGAATAAATTAAAACATACTCAGCATGTTTGTTTTTGAAACTTAACATGTGCATTTTTAAAGAAAGAGTAACCTAAAAATATCTAATTTCATGCTGCAGAAACAAAAACTGGTACTGACCAAAATGATTAAATGCAAAAGAAACGTTCAGAAAATTTTGTTATCAAATTGCTTGTGAACATTCTCCAAAACCCACGTATCCATTTCCCCTCATGTATCTCTAATACTAATTTCAACTGGGAGAAGACTCTGTTAAAAAAAAAAAATGCCTGGAGAACATATATTAGAGGTGGTTCAATTCCACAGTTAAATGTAAACAAAAAAGTAGATACGGGAAATGCTTACTGTGTGTTTGACAAATTATCTATGATAATCAACGGATTGGATGGGTTCCTGCAAATTGTGCTAGAGTTCCTTTCTGAACCCTTTTCTCTTTAATAATATTAAATCTTTCATTGAATATATATATATATATAACGCTGAGGACTTTCTCGCATGGAAATTTTTGTCATTTTTGTTAACGGTGTGGACGATGATGGTCATAAGGACGAGCTTTGATAGAAAGGAGGTTTTCACCAAAAATAAAGAGCAAAACTAGGCTCCATGCGTGCTTTTAGACATTATCATATCGGCTTTACAAGAGTCCCTGATCCTGGCTTGCAGTCATGTGAATGCGGTCATCCCACTACTTATAAATAAAAATGGTATTTTCGTTAAACTACTATGTATGCATCAAGAATGTAATTTTTTCTTGCTTAGGTCTGTGTGGATTTTGAAAACTATAGTGCTACTTTTATCAAGCACAAATCTTTGTTGAGAAACCCATTCACATATGAGGATGTCCTGCCAAGTGCCAATGAACTTATGGTTTAAATTAACCAGGAAAAAAGAAACAAAAAATCTTCAGGCTTTAAGTGCAGAGAAAACTGAAAATTGTTGTTGTTAATAAAAATCAAAGAGATCTTTTTCAAGGGAGAAATAAACATTACAAGAGTCTCAAAACAGTGAAACCGTGACATCAATGGTAAAGAAGATATCGAAATGAGAAGGTAAAAACCAACAGAAGCCGGCTCTAGAACCAAGCAACGAATTCCCGTGTTCTTGTTCAGAGAATCTTCTAGAGACTCCACTCTCTGCCAAACTATTTGCCACTTGATTTGCTTCCTTAATAAACGAAGCTAATCTCCTGGAAGAAACATCTAGCTGCGGATAGGATAAGTTCCAGGAAAAAATCTTCGGTACTGCTGTCATATTGGCAGAATAAAGAAAAAGAACTCGCAGGAAGCGACCATTTTATTCATTCGTTCATTAAAGGTGTGTTTGGTATGTTGGATAAAATGAGATAAATAAAATTGAACTAGATTAGATTGGATTAAACAAAATATGATATTGAATTGGGCAAATATATATACGTTCTTGTCTAATGTTTGGCAGAATGAAAAATGAAGTTTTTGTAAAAAATTATTTTGGTGTCTAAATTTTTTCAACAATTTATTTAGTTTCTATATTTTATTTTCATGACATTTTAGTTCTTAAATGAATTTTTTTGGTTCTCTAATTTTTCATTATATGCAAATTAGTCTCTGAATGAGAATTTGTTTTTGCAATTAAGCCCTTACATGTGACAATTCAATTTAACAAAGTATAAGTAAACCTGTTAAACTTTAGTCAATTAAATTAAAAATAAATAAATTATAAAAATAGATAATATAAAAAAGGAAAAATAATGATTTTATTTATAATACTGGACAAGTTTATTCCACTCGTTGGGATAAATTTTTTGCTTTGAATACAACTTTAGATAGGAGATAGCTTCAGTACTGTCTTATCCAGAATGGGTGCAGAATCAAGTATACTTACCCTATTTTATTTATTCTATATGCCAAACACTGTATAACTTGTTCCTATCTTATTCAAAATTTTGCCTCGGATTGGAGCGAGACCTGCAAATTAGTGGTAAGGGATTTAGTCCACGTACCAAAAGCCCAAAGGCCGAAGTCTTGGCTTTCTGGATAAGGCCTTAGCCCATACCAACCAAGAGTTATCATCCTGAGCATCAAGACCTCATTGTACCATATGCACAATCAATCAATGAACATGTATTTCCAAGATCATCTGTCATATCAATAACTCCAAGTCTCCAATACTCCATCCCGACCCAGAGAATATTAACTCTAGCAGAAACAACCATCATCAGCTAACCACAAAATGATAGATTATTAGTAAATAAATATCTGACTTGTTGGTTAAATTTAAAATTTTATTTTTATAATCAGTATAAAAATTTATTCTCGAATTATCCGAAATCGTGTATTAAAAATTACCTTTTAACCATGTTCAAAATCAAATTAATCTTGAAATGCATGAAAATTGATCTACAAACATTTTTATTGTTGAAAAAAAATAAAAACTACCATCAACAGTTTATATTCTTACCCATAATAATTGACCAACAAGAAAATAAGTTCAATTTCGACCTCTGATATCAACAACGTATTTGAAGACAACTAAGTATATAAAAAAAAATGTGGAGATCAACGGTTCATTGTCCGGCTATCTACATGTTTTGATCGAAATTTGATCACGGCAAGGGATGTTTATAACAAGACAATGCAAAATTATGAATCACAAAAATAAGGGAAATAGAATAAAGATATCTTATACAGTTAAATTTTCATTTTCAAATAATAACATGATATCTAGTTCAATTTTCCGGACATGATAAGGGATAGTTCGTGTAAGAAGAAAAAAATAGACCGGTCTGGGGTTATGAGTTCGAATCCAGCCAATATTTGTAGGTAGAACAGCAAGGAGAGAGTAAAAGAAGGATAGGATTATTAAGACTGGTAAAAGAAGATAATAATAAGATTTAAACCTTTTTATTGTTCAGGTATGCAGGGAAATAAGAAGGAAAAGGAAAGGAAGGAAAACAATAGAAAAAAATGTGATTAGTTAAATAAAAATGAAGAAGAAGAGAGGATGAATTTTTAGATTTAAATTAAGGATGCTTGTCTCATTTTGATAATGTCAACCCTTTCAAACACTATAATTTAGACTGTTAAAAAAATTATTTGATTACTTAAGGAGTTTGAATTTAATCCCAACTTTCATTTCAATTCCTTATCTCCTCGTATCACAATAACCACCCCTAGGTTTGTTTCCTTTTTAATGTAAACAATGATGCATGCATTAAGTTGGAATACCTAATAGTAATAACTTTTACTTTGCTACCTTTTATTATTACCATTTTTCGCCGGTATAAATTGAACAATATAAATAAAATATTTTATTTTCATAATTGAGAGGATTTATTTTCATAAATAAAATTCTAACCTATAATGTTTAAGAAATAAGAAAAAATTATTTACCATTAGAACACACACCGAAACAAACATAGACTTGTGTGGATTCTTGCTAGAGTAAATTATAAATAGTTTTTTATGGTTTTGAGAAATAAATTATTAGTTTTTTTTAAAAAAATCAATTATTCAATCTTTATATTTTTAATTTTTTTATAACCTAATACCTTTCATTATTTTTATTTTTTATTTTAAAAAATAGAAAAAGTAAAATATATAAAAAAAAATTGATGAAAATATATGATATTTTTAAAATAAATTAATATTAAACTATGTAGGATCGATACTAGTTAAGAAAATAAATAATTATTTTTTAAGACCAAGAAAGATAATTAATTTGTTTATTGAAAATAAAGGGACAAAGTTATAATTTACTCATTCCATGCTGTGGGCGATGCCACCCTCCCATGTAGACTCACTTTTTGCCCATGAAGATTGACTCTACATGTCAAAGCCGAACTGATTTCAAGAGCCCAAAAGTCCAAAAAGTGGCAGTGATAGTGATAGGCGTGAGATGTTAACTCCCACTCCTATGACACTAAACTAGGAAAAGAGCGAAGTACAACTGGACACCCCACCGCCTCACCTATCCCATGTATAAATTCCTCCACCCCCGCACTTCATCACCCTATACCCACTACATTCAACAAGTCCTTATTAATTATTACTCTAGCCTAACAAACAAACAAACAAACAAATCCTAAATCACCATGAAACCCTCCGTCACCACCACCTCCACCACCACCCCAAACCTCGTCAAAATTACAGGCATTACCATCTTCTCCTTATCTGTTATCACCCTCCTTTACCTCTTCCCTTCCTCCCCCTTCCCTCCTCCATCACTCCACCACAAATTAAAAACACCACAATGTCAGTTTCACCTCGGCCGAAAAAAACTCTGCCGCCACCACCGCCGTCGGTGGGGGAGAGGACGGGGATAGTGGACGAGAACGGTGCAATGACGGAGGATTTTGTAATTGGGGAGTTTGATCCGAGTGCAATGGATGAATTAAGAAATTTGACTGATGGCAGAGAGGAGACATCAATAAAAGAAGATAGTAAACTAACTAGAATTAAGTATAATAGATTTAGTGTGTGCGAGGAGAGTAAGAGAGACTATATACCATGTTTGGATAATGTGGAGGAAATTACGAGGTTGAATTTGAGTGGAAGTTTTGAGAAATATGAGAGGCATTGTCCTAAAGATGGTAAGGGGTTGGATTGCTTGGTGCCTATGCCTAAAGGGTACCAGAGACCTATACCTTGGCCTAGGAGTCGAGACGAGGTAATTTTTTTGAATTTTAGGTTTTTAATTTCTTTTTTAAATTTGTGTTCTTGCTTGATAGATTAAAGTAGCGTTGTGTTTTTTGCTTCTTTTTTGGTTGCTTGAACTTGAATTTGTAATTTTGTGTAATGTAACCAGATTGTTTAGTAGTTCTGGAAATTTATTGGATTTGTGGTTTAGTGCCGAGGGGAATCTTGATTGGATTGGTACTGAGAGTAGTTGATAAAATTGGAGGTTTTTCTGGGATTTTGGTCTTAGATTGGTTTTAATTTGTTAACCACAGTTTAACTAGGTAGAGTAATTAACGCTGCTTGGATAATTGATGGCGTCAAAATTTATGACTCATTCTCCAGCAGCTAAAAGTACAGAAGTTAATTGGTTTCAAATGATGGTTCTGATGCATTCTGCTGATTGTAACTTTACAGTAATTTATACATCTGAATGTCTACAATAGTAATGTTGCATTGGCTAATGTTGGTCAATTTCCTTGTACTTGGCAAATAACTGTTCAATCTTCCAGTGAAGGTTCCTTTGGGCTGATAATGAGATCTAATAACAGGTGTGGTTCAGTAATGTGCCACATACACGTCTGGTTGAAGATAAAGGTGGCCAAAATTGGATAGCAAGAAAAAATGATAAGTTTGTTTTCCCTGGAGGTGGAACTCAATTTATTCATGGGGCAGATCAATATTTAAACCAGATTTCAGAGGTTGGTTAACATTTAATTTAAAAAGTCCCACCTTGTTACTTTTATTCTCATGATATTGAAGCATTGACCATTATATCAAATTCGATTTGCAGATGGTTCCTGAAATTGCATTTGGCCAGCATTCCCACATTGCATTAGACATTGGGTGTGGAGTGGCAAGTTTTGGTTCCTTTTTGTTACAGCGTAATGTGACTACCTTGTCAATAGCGCCAAAAGATGTTCATGAGAACCAGATTCAATTTGCACTGGAGCGTGGTGTTCCTGCAATGGCAGCTGTTTTCGCGACACGACGTTTGCTGTACCCTAGCCAAGCTTTTGATTTGATACATTGTTCAAGATGTAGAATTGATTGGACTCGTGAAGGTACATTTTTCCCTCTTACTAACATGTCTGAGACTCGTTATCTTTATATGTTGGAATCAAAAGTTTTTTATATTCATTATTTCTGTCTTTCTTTGGCTGCATTGAAGAGGGAATTTTACTTCTTGAAGTGAACAGAATGCTAAGGGCAGGAAGCTACTTTGTGTGGGCAGCACAGCCTGTATATAAACATGAAGAAAATCTTCAAGAACAATGGAAAGGTAACCGATCATGTCGATTCCAACAGAAGTTGCATTTTTTTTAATTGCTTTTCAGTAGTTTCATCAATCTGCTTTGCAGTATCTTTAAGATCACAGCCACTGCTTCCTGTTGTCTTACTTTGTAATGAGCTTTTTCACTAACTCCTTGATTTCCATCAGCAAGATAGTGTTAGAGACGAGGAACTCAAACCTCCTGATTGCTTGAATTGATTTTCGTCTTATATATGTTCAGAAATGCTGGACCTAACTAGAAGCATTTGCTGGGAACTTGTAAAGAAGGAAGGATATATTGCCATATGGAGGAAACCTGTAAACAACAGCTGCTATCTTAATCGTGACAGTGGGGCACAACCTCCTCTATGTGATTCCAATGATGATCCAGACAGTGTTTGGTAAGGCGTGGTTCACTCGTCCAAGTTGTCTTTGGTTAAGTAGAATGGTAGATGTTAATAAGACTTGGTTTAATACTTTAATACTCTCTCTCTCTCTCTCTCTCTCTCTCTCTCTCTCTCTCTCTCTCATGAAATTCAAAAAAGAAAATTTATTCCAATCAAAACAACGAATATACTCTGACAACTTGATGTAGTTTCCAATAATGCAGTTGGATCAATGGACCATCTCCTCCTTTTCTTTTTCCTGTACAATCTAATCTGACCCATGTTTTGAGGAATAAGCTGTGTGTAGCTTAAAAGCAGCTTCTATCTGTTCTCATCTATCAGAGTTAAGCATGGGATAACTGTAGTTTACCTCGTTAGAGCAAAATTTTATAGATTCTTTATCATCATTGTTTTGTAAATACGTGCATAATTTTGTAAGATATCTATGTCTTTTGTAGGTATGTCAGTTTGAGTCCATGCATAACTCGATTGCCTGAGAATGGTTATGGAGCTAATGTTACTACATGGCCTGTACGCCTTCATTATCCACCAGATAGACTCCGGAGCATAAGAATGGATGCCACCACTTCCAGAAAAGAACTCTTCAAGGCAGAGTCAAAATATTGGAAAGAGATAGTAGAAAGTTATGTTGGAGCTTTCCACTGGAAACAGATGAATTTTCGAAACGTGATGGACATGAGAGCGGGGTTTGGAGGGTACCTTCTTTTTGCTATCTTGCATGCTATTGCGTATCAATAAGGCATTATAGTGAATTCTCTGATTTTAATGTCAATGTTAGCCGTACAAGGTTTTTGGAGGAATCCACGATATTGTGTAATTTGTACGTCATTTGTAATGGCAGGTTTGCAGCAGCATTGCATGATCTGGAGGTTGATTGCTGGGTTATGAATGTTGTTCCCGTTAGTGAGTTCAATACTTTGCCTGTGATTTATGACCGAGGACTTATTGGAGTAATGCATGACTGGTATGGATACTACCTGTTCTTAAAGTGCCTCTCCTAACCTTTTCTTTTTGGTAGTTTGGTTGGATTTACTCAGTCCTATTTCTTACCCTCGTTTCACGATAATTTGAGGATAGTTGCACTAGTGTTTGAAGCCTATAGGCTGTTAGGAGAGTAAAAAGAACATGACAATAAATTAAAGTTATGTTTTGACAGCTCCTAGTTTTCTTTAGAAAACTAACTTTATTCAAAAGTTGAGATAAAGAGCTAACTGATTTAGAAAAAGTTAAATCGTATATAGAGGCACCATTTGATGGAATTTGTAAAATTGGAATATTTTTGAGATAGGATTTTGCCAAAACATTTCAAATCAACCATCTTAATTTTGCTTCTATATCCAAGCAACTAAAAAGTTGTGGCTAAACAAATATAGTTGCTATGGTCCCTATACCTCATAGCTAGCCAACCTGGATTGCTGGAAAGACCTGTCAAAATTTTATAGAAGCTGAGTTGCATGAGCGCTTTGACCACAGAAAGTTAGCAGTGAAGAACCGTTGGGAACTATAACTGCAGACTTTGTTGATCTAGGACTAGATTTTTTTTTTTCCTTCCAACCCTTACTCTAGACTCTAGAGTCCCCACACCTCACCTGTAATTTTAGAATAGTTTGTTTGCAAAAGATGTCTGTTCTTTGTTATCGATTCTTTGTTACCAAGCTCTTGAGCTTATTAATGAACTCATGATTCTCAAAATCTTGTTTCTCAGGTGTGAGCCATTCGATACTTACCCCAGAACTTATGACCTATTGCATGCAGCAAGCCTGTTCTCAGCTGAGCAGAAAAGGTACGACCCAACGTTCTTGCTTGTCTTATTGTTTATTTCTTCATACTCTTGAGTAAATATAAATTTCTGCAAACTCTTGTTAACTCTAGGCACAAATGCAATATCTCGAGTATCATGCTTGAGATGGATCGAATGCTAAGGCCTGGTGGAGCAGTTTATATACGTGACTCCATATCTGTTATGGGCGAGCTTCAAGAGATAGCAACTGCCGTGAGATGGGTCTGTACACTTCGGGACACGGGTGAAGGTCCCCATGCGAGCTGGAAAATTTTGCTCTGCGATAAAAGGATGCCATGAGTTTGTCATATTGGTTCCCTGAAAAATGGGGATCCTGTCTAATTATACAAATTTTTTTTCTGTGTAATCATTTTTGAACATTAGTAACGGCACCTCACTAAAATAATAGAGTTCACAATTCAACAACTGAACGTTAGTGGCAAAATCCTCACTAATCCGTGCGCATGCCGCGTCAGTTATTTTAACAAATGGTGATTGAAATTTAGGTGTTTCTGAGTTAATATCTTTTCACTTTTTTGGAGACTCATGAAACTACGGGAGTGACATTGACAAACTGAATTGACGAGGAGCTGAACTAACAAAATTGCAGAGTACAGTCAATACACCAATCTATTATCTTGAATGAGATTGCAGGGAGAAAAGGGACGCTTGAGGTCCGTAAAATGGAAACTGATAACATGAGACCATGTTCATGATCAGATCAAACAATATCATTTCGTGACTGACCAAAGCTGCCATTCCACTCACTCATATACATCCCTCCAACATGTCCAACACTGTTTAATTACCCAAGGCAAAACTTCGCCGAGATAAAGAAATAGTACGTACATCTTTACATCAACAATCCATGAGCCAAAAACAAAATTATCCTTGCTTCAGATTTTCCCTAAGGCTTCATGGAAGAAGAATCCTTGTGCGCTGCTGTATTAACCTGTTTGGACAGATATGCTTCATAAATCTCCACGACAAGCCGGGGATCCTTTTCCACAAGCTCGATATACTCCTCCCGTTTGGTAAGTTTGTCCATGTTGTCAGTGATCAATGACAACGCTGCTTCAAGCATCTGCTTTGCATTATGCTGATGGGCAAAGGCATAGCTCACGACTGAGTTGTCCCAGTTCAGTTTTGACACCAAAAACTTCTCACAAAAAGCCTTGAGATGCTTCACCTGATATTTTTCAGCCAATATTAAAAGGTCATAGGCCATTTGCTCATCAAGGCAAGCTTCAGCAGTGTACAAATAGTTGACAAAGGTTCGAAGAGCATCATATGATACATCACAAATCTTGATGGTGCCACTCCTGCTTTCTTCCATCTCGTTCTCAAGCATCGCCTTAAAGACTGGGGAACGGCTCACCTGATCGCATAAAAAAAAATAAAAGTCCATTAGTGATCAACAAACTAAACAGGTGAGCATTTTCCATAATACACCTCCAGATCATCGTGTCCAGTGTGAAGTGGACATGCAGGGATACCTCTTGTTTAGACTGAAACAGGAACAATTTGAAAGCAAAATGTTAAATTGTCTCATGAATCATCAGTTCAAGTTCTCTTTAGTTTGTACAAAAATAGGCTACAATCTCATCAAATTCAAGGGACACCCCCCCCCCCCTCCTCCTCTTCCTAACCTAAGTACATCTCTACAACAATTTTGACAAACACAACCAGCTTGATTTCTAAGCAAAAGATCAGCAATAATAATCAGAAAAATGGGTTTCCTATTTCAGAAAGGTCATTGAAGACAAGTACGTAAATAACACTAGCCAGGTATGCATTTGAAATAAACCCGATTGTCTTTTAGGCGACATAAGTCCATATTTCCTCTTGTTCGTAACCTCATTTATCCACGTTCCCAATACAATTCAAGATCAACAAGTTAGAAAACTAAAAAAAAAAAAACTAGAATAATAGCATACACATTGAATAAAACATCTCCTGTGTCTGAATGTCGCGTGAATGCTTGTTTTCCGCGTCAGTTAACAGTGTCAGCACGACATAGTTGCAAATGAACAAGTAGAATATGCATCTGGGCAGGCATAGATAAATTCTAAACTGATTATCCCGTATCATTACAATAATGGAAAGTGCATGATCATTGATGAAACAAGAGGTAGTGGAACTCACTCGGGACAGATCAATCAATAAATTGCAGTTAATAACATTCACAATTACCATAAAAAGCCATCTGATTGATCAAGAAATTTAACTTGTAAAAATAATAACAATCGAAAATTGAGGAATTGGGTATTTACCAAAACAGCCTTATGAGCAGGAACAGGCACAGATGGACCAGTCCCAGCAAGGCCATCATCGGAGGAAGCAACCAAAACGACATCGGTGAAGCAAGGGCCTGGAGAGGAACGATGAGTGATGTGGTGATCAAGAGGTGACCAGAAACGCAAGAAGGCGACTTTAGCTTTGAGATCTTCGATCTCTCTTTTAAGCTCTTCTTCAGTCTCGCTTGCTTCCTCGTAACACTCTTTGCAAGTTCCAGCATCGCATCTGCCGTAGTACTCCTTACAAGATATGCACCTCATGGTTTCGGAATCGGAGTCAGTATCGCTTTCGGTCTCGACCCGGGACGCTGTACAGCGGTGGCCTCTCATTGCTTTTGTTGGGTTTTGTGGAAAGGTAATGGATTTTTAATGAATTGATGAGTGGAGGCTCTGATTCATGGTGGGGTGCGGTTGGGGAAGTTCAATGTGCAGATTGCAGAATGGTCATTTTGTTGGGACAAATAAAATAAAAACGGTAGATCAACTGTTAATTTTTTATTTTATTTTTTGGTGGCTCCGTCGCTGCTGTGATTGGGCGTTTTTATTTTTTTATTTTTTAGATCTTTTCTTTTCAAGTTTTCAAGGCCTGCTGTTCTTGTCATTTAAAGCACCTATTTAATATTTTTAAAATAATTTATAGGAAATTCGAGCTCCTTCTATTGTTTATTCTTCCTTTAGAGTTTATTAACTTTGTAACAAAAAAAGGTTTACTAACTTTTTCTATTTATTTTTATAATACTAACTTTAAAACTGTGAAAATACTTTATTAACTTGTTTTTGTAGAGTTTTCCCTCTTGCTAATATTTTTTTTTCATTGTTTTATGTATTATAAAATCAAGTGGACATACATTTTCTGCGACACAAAATATTTAGAGTGAAATTAATCGATCAATTCTTGTGGTTTGAAAAAATATATATTAAATTTTTTATGTTCTTAGATCTGTTCATAATTTAATTATCTTAACAATTTTATGTTCCATTTCACTTTATTTTATCCTTTTTTAAAAAAAAAGAGAGAGAGAGAGAGAGAGAGAAGCATGTAATATGAAAAAATATGATTATAAAAGAAGGAATTTTTTGAGAAACAAAAAACACTAAATTGAGGATGGTCAGTACTAATCTGTTGACAATTTATTTATTTTGACAATAAAAAGACTAATTAATTACTTTTGATAACATACAAGGTCTGAATTATATGTAATTTAATGTTTTGAGACCATACAGAGAGTCATGAAATTTTATTATACAATAAGAGAGTAGAAACTGTTATTAATACCGGCAAAAATACTTGATATCTCTATCATAAGGTTTAGAAACTAGAGAATTTTATAGAAATTCTGAAAAACCAATATTGTTGGAATGTTTTTATTAAGAAATGGCTTTTTTTATCGAATTTTAAAAATAACTTTATTGTTTTTATTATTCATTAATAAATAACAATTATTTATTGTGTGCAATGCCAGCATTTATGAACAAATTATTTAAACAAAGGGGTTAACTGTTCGACAGTTTTTCTTGCACCTGTACAAATAAAAGTGCATGTTTCATGGGAAGACGCCAATGGACATGGCAAATGGTATCTGGCGACTTGGTATAAATGGTTTATTGTTAAACTACATTTATCATATTTTACACTACGATCCGTAGGCAAAACAAGGAGTAAATTATAAATTAGTTTCTTTATTTTTTAGAAACAAATTAATTAATTCTTTTTTATTTTAAAAAATAATTATTTAATCAATATATTTATTTAATATTATTTTATTTTATAAAATATCATATTTTCGTATCGATTATTCCGTATTTAAAAGAAATAAAAATAAACAAAAAGATTAAATTATAAAAAAAATTTAAAAATATAGAGATTGCATAATTAGTTAGAAGTTAGATAATTTATTTCTCAAAATTAGAAATATTAATTTATAATTTACTCGTAAAATATGAATAGCTTCTCCGTTTACAAACAATGCATACTTAGAAAATAATTATAAAAATAGTTGATATCATCCAAAAATTTATCAAGAACGGATATTATTTTGGATAATATGGTTTTTAGCTTTTCCAAGTTTCTAAAGTTGTTGAACGCTTATATATATATATAAACTGTTTTTGAAAAACGTAAGGTAGAAGTTGTAAGATAAAGTTATAAATTTCTAAACTGTTTCAAATAATTTTTACAATCAAAGTCCCAATCACAATGATGACTAAGAATCCTTAGTTATATTAAACAAACATTCTTCTTCAACACTATCGATTATGAAAGATAGATCAAAATAATAGATTTCATCTAACAACAATGATCAAATAATTAAAATTATATATAAAAAAAATCACAGCGAGTAAATAAGTATTTTAAAATCAACAGCATTAATTTTGTTAAAAACAGGTGAAATCTTCAAAGATGAATTTTTCTGATGTGTGTTTTAAAGACACAGGTAAATTGATATAAATGGAAAATGTTTTTTTTTCCTCAAACGATAGATGGTTCAATAAAAAGAAAAGAAATAATTGGTGGAAACTTAAAAGGATAGCTGGAGCCATAAAAGAAAAGCCTCGTGGAGGCATTTACATCCACTTCCATCAGGGAGGAGGAGGAGGAGGAGCATTTCACACTTTGAGAAGTTGGCGTTGCCCACTAACTAGCCAAAACCCATCCCGCTAAAAAAACCTCCACATGTCCGTAGAAACCCCCGTGCTAATGCTATCAACGACCAAACCCGACCCAACTTCCTTTCAATTAAAAAAGGGGGTGAAATGTAAAAATAAAAACTTTTGTAAGGACCCAGAATTCTAAAAATTTTAAAAATAGTATACTACAGCAATAGGAACAAGGATAAGACCTGCTTCTTGCAGAGCCAAAGTCCCCTCTCTCTCATTTTCTAAACAAAAACAAAGAAACAAACTCCACTCTTCTTCTTCTTCTTCTTCTTCTTGGTCTCAGATAATTAGGGTTTCAGTTTTCGAAGCCTAAAAAATTCTCTATCTGGTCCGGTACGCTTTCTTTCCACTCCCTCCTTCTCTTTTGATTTTCTATTTATTTTTGTTTATGTTAACTGTTGTTCTCTGTTTGAACTGAGCAATGTGAAAGAAAATGAAAAAAAGAAACTGCAACTTTTACTCTTGAATCTTCAACTCTTTGGATCATTCATGTTAAATTTAGGCTAATTGAAGAATTTACAATTACTTCACTTAGTTTAGCCCGAGTAACCTAAAGCAAAGTTTAATTATCATTTTTTTTCCTTTTTGTGTTTTCCTGGCTACCAGACAGAAGTTTAGGTTTATTTTTAACTTTATTGACTCGATTTTCTTTTATTTTTGTTTAATTTATGCTGCGTTCTTTAATTTATTGAATTATGTATTCAGCAATTTCACTCCATTGTGTTCTTTTCATTGTGGGTGTCACAGTGAAACCCTAATTTGGCACTAAAAATCTCGAAATCAGGGTTTTTATAACTTCTAAAGTATGGTTGGTGAAGCGGGAACACGCAATGGTGAGTGTACAGAAGAAAGGGTTCAGCGTTTAAAGATTGAAGCGATTGTTAATGGGTTTGGAAATGATGGTGGTGAAGCAGGCTCTTGGGGCAGTGAGGGTTTTCAAACTTACAAGAGACGTAGGAACATGAGGTCAGGTTCAGATAGTAAAGGTCAAGAGGATGGGAAATGTTTTATGGAAGCTGCTAGTAGATTGGAAGACCAGGTAGCTCTCAAACATAGGCCATCTGTGCCAATTTTTGCACATGCAAATCTCATTACGTATTAAATTGCTGTAAATTACTCCTATCATGCATGATTCTCTAGAGAAGATACTCGTATTGGAATGTTTGTGCTGTATCTTGTATCCTTGTTCTTTGATCTAGCTAATTTGTGGTTTCTTGCAGACCACAAAGGATGATAATTTGTGGGACCATCATCGTGGGAATCATGCTTCTTTGAATCGTTCAAATGACGTTTCACAGAGGCAGTGGAGAAAGTTTGTTCTTGACCACATGTATCAATCATTAAGTAATGATGAACATGGAATGCAGGGGTTCTTCAGGGATGTGCTTATGATGGCAGTTAAGATTTATGCAGCTATTAAATTGGATGTGCTAAATACATACTGGTTTCATTTGTCATCCATGTTTCTTAACCTTTTACTCCCCCATCCCCCAAATTTTGTTGTTCTGCAGGAATCTGGTAATTACAATGCAGATAGGCATAAGTCAACTTTGATGGGGCGGATGGCTAATGGAACTCATAGTACAGCTAAAGGGCATGTAGGCATTTTGTCAAATGGAGTTTTGGATGAAACACATCATCACAGTGTCACCGAGTTGTGCCAGCATGCTTTCCTTGATATTTTAATGTCAGAAAAGTTCACCTCTCTTTGTAAGCTACTGTTCGAAAATTTCCAAGGAATGAAGACTGACAGTGTTCTTAGTTTGAGTTTCATAGACAGGAGGATGAAAGAGGGAGCTTATGATCATTCGCCTATGCTTTTCTGTGAAGATATTGAGCAGGTAATTAATTACATTCCTCTCTACATAGTTTGACATTGCTATTTTGTCTAGTTTGCTAAAATGCTTTTGCTGAAATCATTGTCGAGTTAGCTTTATGATTGGATGTCTGGTTTTTCTTGGTACTACCTTGCTTACACACCTTTGTGATTTCAAAAGCCAAGTGATATATTCCACTTTAGATGAGGTTCTAGGTCTGAACTGCTTCTAACTATTTTATGTAAGGAGAATCAAGGGAGGGATTGGCCCACGTTGTGTAACCAATCTTTGAATGTAAAAAGGGATGTATGCATGTGTTTTGTGTGAAAGTAGAAAGGAAGGAAACAATGTTTAAGATGTCAAGCACCAACAAAAATCATTTTGTGTTTGATGTTTTGTGGCCCTTTATGTAGAGTTGTACCTTTAAAGTCCCATTTTATCACCACAATGTTTACATGATCTTATCTCTTAGATGCAATTGTTTTAATGAATTCCTGCTACTCTTTTGTAACCCTCAAACTTTTGAGCGATTCACGAAAGCAACTAGATCACACACATTTTTGGGATCTTTTTGGAGTTGAAAACAATCGTGCCTTTATATTTATTGTTTATCTCTTGATTGATCAAATTATTTTCATCTCCCATTGTTGATGTGGAACATGTTAATGACAATCATTTTTTCTCTTCTGTGATTTACTTAGTGGTTGTAGTTTGTTCATCTAATTGGCTATTCATGCTACTAAATGACATTCAAGTTACTGGTCCCGTTCATAATAATGTTTTAACTGTCATTCAGCATGTATGATTTCATTTCCATTTCCTAGTTCTCGGAAGAAAATGCAATTTTTTTTTTGTTGTGCCTTTTATTTAAAACTGAATAATCCTTTCAGTTCTGGAAAAAACTCCAAGGTTTTGGTGCTGAATTAATCTCTCTCGCAAAGAGCCTATCAGACATATCAAAGACTTGCTATAATGAACGGGTAAGACAGGCAACATGTAGATATTCTTCTGGTAGACTAAGAACTTGGGTTGTGTGCTAGATGCAACTGTTGCTTCACATTTCAATTTGCTGTTGTTTCTTAATGCAGTTTTTATGGTTTCCTTTTAACTTAACCCAAAATATTAACTGTGCTTTCCAGGTGGAAGGATCAGTACACTGTACATTTGAAGATGAAAAGCATGAGGTAATTGTTTCAAAATCATAGCAGTATCATTAGTTTCTTGCATTAGAAATATGTACTAATGGATTGTAGTAACAAAACAGGTTCCTGTATACTGTAATACTTTTAAGATTGTCATTCTGGTTAAAGTTGGTTCTGATTCCTATTTAAACTTTTGTGCTGCAATACAGTTCTGTACCCAGGGTTCTGATTCTCATGGTAAGCCGGAGCAAACAGATGCTTGTTGTATCTACAGAGTCTGCAGTTGCAGGCGATGTGGGGACAAGGCAGATGGGAGGGATTGTTTAGTTTGTGATTCATGTGAGGAAATGTACCATGTCTCCTGTATAGAGCCTGCTGTCAAAGAGATCCCCCCAAAGAGCTGGTACTGTGACAACTGCACTGCAAATGGTATGGGATCTCTTCATGAGAATTGTGTAGCGTGTGAGAGGCTGAATTGCTTCAGGACCGAATTTAATCAAGCTGATGATGAAATTGGTTTATCAACTCAAGAAACATTCAATGATTTTGAAGAGGCATCAAATTTCAGCACGAATAATGAGGTCCAACTATCATCAGAAGGGACTGAAAACATATGCATCTGTAAAATTTGTGGAAGCTCAGTGGTTACTGGAGAGAAGATAAAGACATGTGATCACTCTGAATGCCCCGGCAAGTACTACCATGTGAGATGTTTGACAAATAGGCAGTTAAATTTGTATGGCCCACGTTGGTACTGCCCTTCTTGTTTATGCAGAGTTTGCCTCACTGATAGAGATGATGATAAGATTGTTTTATGTGATGGCTGTGATCATGCATACCACCTTTATTGCATGATTCCACCACGCGTCTCTGTACCAAAAGGGAAATGGTTTTGCAGACAATGTGATTCAAAAATTCTGAAATTACGTCGGGTAAGGAGGGCACATGAGAAATCAGAAAATTATCTGAAAAAGAAAGGAGATGGGGTTAAAAAGGAATGTGAAAACCTCAAGAAACTGTACAGGGAGGCTGGAGAAGAATCAGATAAAGGTAGAGAAGGGATGGACATGCTTGTGACTGCAGCACTAAAGTGTGAAGATGGCAGCCAATCGAACGAAGAGTTGAAGAGCACGTGACATTTTCAGGAGATTACAAGATAGCAATTCATGGTTTTAACCATAGATCATATTGATTTTGGTGCAACTGATGCCGAGAATTTTGATTTTGCCGCATTATGGGGATGAATATTTTGTTAGTCTGTAAACTCTTAGGTTTTGCTTTGCTGACTTTTGGATACACGACTCTTGGCAGGGCATGATTCTGAAGGCTTGTACATTTACGGGGTTGGCAAGTGCCAAACACATGACATGAAGTTACAAGGATCAGGAAATCGTTAGACACGTTTGTTGAAACAATGTTTTTAACAGTTAGCGCCCAACATTTTGTACTAAATACGGTTCTTTTTTTTTTTTTTTCAAATTTTTGAAGGGGAAGCTAATGTCTGTCAGTATTGTTGTAAAACTAAACACTGCATCGAAATTTCAAACAACCTGTACCTTATAATGAAAAGGGAGAACATTTTCTTCTGTACTTCAATTTCTCAACCACCACCTATGCAAGTTTTACTTGTTGATGTTTATCTCGTCATGTTTATTTCGTCCCCTGCTGGTGGTGCTTCCTTGCCAAACTCTCTCTGTTACTTCCTAGTGAGCAAAATATCACTCTAAAAACTGTGATGCTATCATTAAATAGCGATGGGATTTTTAACACGCAGTCCCAAGACTCCCAGCTTTAAATGCTGATAGGAATTTTCTCAAGCTCCAATGAAATTAAAGATCAAAATTAAGTTTGCTTTCATTGGTATATGAGACAACTATTCGACTCTTTGTTATTTGAGAACAGAGTCCGTGCGACTTCAGCCACCAGGAGCAGGAGCAACTGAGTGGAGAAAAAACAAGAAACAGAAAAGGAAAATTGCTGAAGTTAATTTATGGCAATGCTCTTTTCTCAAACTCCATAACCCAGCTGTTGTAAGCACAGCACATGACTTCACAACCTGAAAAACCAGATTTCTTTGCTAAGACTTCGAACTCCTTTTGTGTCCTCTCTTTACCTCCAGGATTCTGAGCCAGCATTAAAAGATCTTGCTCAAAGACAATGTGTGAAGAAGCAACATTCTCTGGTGACACAGGAAGAAGCGATTCCACAATGATCACCTTACCATTACTTGGAAGAGCTTCCCAACAGTTCTTGAGAAGTTTCAAGCAATGCTCATCGCTCCAATCATGAAGTATCCACTGCAAGGTTCATTGACAAATCAACAAATAAAAAAACTTCCACAAGTATCTTATGTAAAATAGATATTTTGTGAAACAAAATCTACATGGTTTGCTATAACTTATTTTATATGAAGTTCAGAGTAGTCCCCAGATTTCACTAGATCTTGACAAACTTCAACTTAAGGAAACGTAGATAGGTAAGTGGAGATTTAAAATCAGAGAGGCTTTACCTTCATGAAAACAGCATCTCCCTTTGGCACACTCACAAACATATCTCCCCCAACATGCTCCACCCCTACAACATAACATGTCTTGTAGTAAGTTAAAGCTGTTCTTAGCCACTTTGATGCTCGTGTATGTGTAATCAAACGAGTATGTGTGATCAAAGTGATTAAACGCCGTGCATCATTTCAGAAACAGGAAGGAAAGGAGAAAAACAGACAAAAGAAGGCAATACTACCTGGATAGGAAGGTGCATCTGCTAATACATGGGACAAATCATAATTTATACCCTTAATGTGTGGATACTTAGAAGTGATAATGTTGAGAGTAACTCCAGTTCCACCTCCGACATCAACACACACTTTGAGACCATCGAACCCTTTGTAAATATCAAGGATCTTCTTCATGATCAAGGTAGTGTGGCTTGACATTGCTTGATTGAATACGCTATTGAACCTTTGATCAGTTCCTGGATACTCGAAAGCTGTCATCCCATAAGCTCTGTTGAATGGAATCCCCCTTCAAGTATAGCATCATTAAGGTGATACCTGACAGCCACAGATCATCACATCATTTCAAACGCACAATTATGTTATTTCTTCTGATCTCTCCCTCTCTCAATAACAGATCTAGTTATAGCACAAAAAAGTCAAATTCTTTGAAATGAACGCTTCATTTCTTGTGTCTGATTGAGGTCACATCCAACCCAACAGATCCATATGACTATTTTCCCCAACATAATTTTCTTTATTATATTCATGAATTTGTTAAAGCAGTAGCCTTATTTCACTATTGATCCAAAAGCACTATTTAAAACGTCAATAAAAAAAAAATAGAGGCACAAAAACACAGAGTGACAGGGAATACCAGCTTTTCATGAAGACCTCATCATGATGCAACAAAAACAAAGGAGCAACAGATCCACCACTTCCGCCTTCACTTTTAACAAGAAACTTGCATATAGGTCCTGCACTATAGGCTCTCTCAATTTCCCCGTTCTCTTTAGTGCACGTTAAGCACTTGAGTATATCATAGCTCGCCAAAAGACGCAGCATGCGGTCTAACAAGACTGATGCATCAGGGTTCTTTGTGGGGATTCTAGCTGCAATCTCGGAAGATGAGAGGACCGCGCCACCACCGTCACTGGTAGCTGTGAAGATTATATCTATGATGTTGAGCTCAACAGCTGATTTTAGTACCATTGGAAGAACTGCAGCATTTGCTAGTCTGATGGCTAGCTTGCCTGTTTCTTCTTCTTGATCTTGTTGAGACATGCCTTTCAAGAGTGAGTTGTGCCCTTCAGAACTGAACTGTTTTTGTAGGTTAGGATTTTGGATAGCTGTGCAGATCGACCGTTTGACATGGTTATTTATCGCGTTACTGTGGGTCCGTCCCCGTAAGGGTGAACTTACAAGGTTTCACTGCAAGTAATATAATTCACCCAGAAATATACACCCAGAATTTCATTCTTTTCGTATTTTCTTTTCTTTAATAAAAAAATCATTGACGGAAAACTTAACAGAAGTTCACGTATAACACCAACTATCAAGCCAATGTTACTTTTATGGAAAACCCATTCGGTATAAGATACTTCTGAATCAATGTCATTACTCTTTCAATATTGTTAAAAGATCTCAACGAGGCAAATGTAAAATTTGCTTGGAAGCAGAGCGATAACGTGGCATGACTGGTTAAAAGTTAAAAACTTGAGAAGTTACACTATACAGGCACATAGAGTATTCATTTTTCTCCACGTTCAAAATCAGCAGTAGCAGAAGTTAGAAGAAAATCATGCCGCTTGAAAAATGACATAGGCAGCTTCTGATGTTTGTCTTCATAAACATAGACTGTTGAACCCAAGACTTCTGAATCTACTCATTTTCTTCTTTCTTATTGGTAGAAACCTCGCATGGCTGACTCACGCAAACAGATTTCTCATCCTGACTTCCCAATAGCATACAAGGTAAGAACTTTGTGTAACAATTCTATACAGCACAAAATGCTTAATTCAGCTGTCGTCAACATATGGATTATCTAAAATCCCATTCCTCGTATGCATTTAAAAAAAAAAAAATCATTACAGAATATATGAGTGCGAAACTCTTGCTTTGATAGAACTTTCTTATCCCTTCAGGAGCTCTCAGTCTTGTCACCCACAACATAACGGTTCTCTTTACTGCTCAAACCTGATGAATGAAGCTGCTTTCGCTTTTTTACAAGCTGTAATGCACTGTGCCTGTCATCTTGAGCCTCCTTGGAATCAGGCTGCAGATTAAGCATTTTGGGAACTTGAGCACCAAATATTTTATACAAACACAAAAGTGTTTAAGGCTAACCACTAGAAGCTAAACACATAAACAGGAATACCGCCTGTCATGATAGTACTAGACTAGGACCTTATAATGAATCACTCTCCAAGTTGCCCAAGTTAAAGAAGCAAAAGATGACCAAATACATATCCGAGATGCTAGAACAACATTACGTTAAGTTTTCTTAGAAAGCCTGAGAAGCCAAATTTGCCATACAATCCTACAAGATTGTTGGACTCAATCAAGGGGGTGGGAGGAAAAATACAAACTCGCTCAAGCTCCTACAATTGAGTTTCAATTTTTTTTTTTTTCCTTTCGACCTAAGCAAATTGACCAGAAGATATAAGCAAAGTTGAATTACAGTAAACTTAATCAAAGTCCATATATGACTTACAATAATCTTTAGACAACTTTCTTGTTTTCACCATTTGATGACAGGCAGTAGCCCGTCAATCTATTTTATGTTGAAAGCTCACAAACAAAATGGTCCTACAACAGAAAAGTTAAGCCTCCAAAATACAACAATGTACCTTTATGGCTAATGCTCTATCGAAGCTCTCAATTGCACTGTCAGGCTCCCCAAAGTTCAACTGTGCTCTGCCAAGGGTGATCCGTGCCTAAGAAGATCACAAGCAACAGAAACAAGAGAATAAATTTAACTTACTTCAAAGGAAATAGTTTCTTAGAGTCCACTAGAATTGAGCCATTAATTAGCTAGAGTAATCTATGCAGTACGTAGCTCTTATGAACACTGTCTTACACCACTATCTGTGGCTGCAATTTAACAAAATCAGCCACATCTGCCCATTGGTTGACATTATAAGTGAGACAAGCTCCACTACTATCCGGCTTAAATGTAGCAAAGGATGCACTAGATTTACGAGGAAAAGGAATATAAAAGTTACTTGTAAAATAAAAGCAGAGAGAACTGGGGGTGTCAACTGTCAACAGTGCAAGTTAAGTCTCAAACATAAAAATTCCCATGTAAGCAAACCAGGGGAAAATATACGGGAGCACTAAAATATTCAACAAACAAATTCATTGGAAGGGCTACTGAAGGCAAATTAGATGCACTATAAAAGCATCCCTTTAACAAAACAATGAAACCAGAACAACAACCACATCTAGAGTATAGCATTGTCATACCTCAGCCCATGAAGGTTCCAACTCAGTTGCTCCTATCAATTAAAGTCCAAAGTAAATTAAAGCTCTTAACAATATATATACATTCAAAACATTGCAAATAAACAATGCCTCTTTGTTGAAAAACCAAGGCACTGAACAAAGGTTGAAAAACGTGAATAAGAGACGAAGATGCGATGAGGCTTACGAGTTGCTGCCTTCAATGCATTCCATGCATCTCCAATTTCAAGCAAAACTTGTGCCTTTTGTTCATGTAAGACTGCATTTTCGGGCATCAAATTAAGAGCAGCCTCCCACTTCCCAAGTGCTTCACGGTATTTTCCATCCTTCAAAGAGATAGCACATAAAAAAAGATATTCCAGCAGAAACATAAAATGCCACCACCATCATGTACTTATTCAAAGCATAGAAAGACTCGAGCCTGTGCATTCAACAAGAAAATTTTCTTCAATTTGCCAAAGCAATCCACTGAAACAGACGCAAGAAAATACGTACACATACAGAAACACGAAATAAACATGAGAAAATACATTTACTTGGCATTATCGGCCTTAATCACTGCAATGCAACAGCAAGAGTTGGACAAAACTGGCAATTAGCATAAAGTAACACAGCTAAATCTTCCTACCATGAGCAAGCAAATCATAGAGACTCCTCATTGCCATTTCAAATACGTAAAGTAAGCAACTATATCAAAATGTATCAGAATTCACACAATCCACATATGCTGCTCGCCCAATGCGTCCAAAAAACCACAAATTTCAAATCTTTAGATACAGAAACACTGAAATGAAAAAAAAAAGAAGAAGCATAAATTCCGCACTAATTATGGTGTTTCGCTACTGGAATAAATTTGCTTTTCAAAAAAGAAAAAAACAAAAGGAAGAAGATTGAGGGACGGAAATACCTCAGCTAGCTTGTTTCCTTGGGCTTGAAACGAGTCGGCGAGTTGTCTATCGGATTTTTCTGAATCCAAGGACTTGTGAGAAGCACCCACTTGCTTGCTATCGCTGTTATTGTCATCGTGGTCGTTGTTGTGTGATTCTTGTTGATCAAAAGGGAGGTTTGGGTATTTTGATATGGCTGCTAAAGGCCGCTTCTTGCCCTCCTTCTTCCATGTTACTTTCATCTCTCTCGCCCCCGCTCTGATAATTATAAAGTAACAATTTCTTTAAGCTTTTTTCTTTTTCTTTCGATTGTCCAAGAAGAACATATGTAAGCTTTGCCGGGGTTCTTGTCGGTACCAGCAGTCAAAAGCTAAAGCCCATTACTTGTTGCCAGAATTTGGCCCAAATGTAGACCTGCTTGAAACTATGTCCATCAAAGCCCATTACATGTTACCTGAAAGTTTCACGAAGTTACACTGCTACATTATCTTTCCTTCGAGAAGCAATTATAAATTTTCAAATAGTAGCTAAAGAACATATGCTTTTTTTCTTGGACCAAACCATACAAATCTCTCCTCGTTTGAAAATCAGTTATTTAACTTTCAATTTCAGATTGAACTGTTTTTCAATTATTCCTTATTTATGATTGATTTATTTATTAGATTTTCATCAACTTTGGCATACAAATGCAGTTTTCTAACATCTAAAATATGCTAAATTTTATGGATGTTTTCTTTCTCTCAAAAGCTTTTCTTTCCTTCTTAAATGCTAAGAAGTTAGCAATTAAAGAAAATTTTAGAAGAAAAGAAAAGGTTTTAAAAGAAAAACAAAGCATTCGTAAGTTATGGCATATTTTTAATTGTTTAGGAAATTAGAAAGTCAACAACATACAGTCATGTAGACATGTATTTTTAGAATGGACTAAAATTTAACAAAATAACATAATTTGAAATAAAAAACAGTTAAAAAAATAACTTAAAATTAAAAAAAAAAAAAAATTGAACGATTGTGGCATGAGACATTGATTTAATTGTTTATTTGTTTTAAATTAAGTTGTGCTTTTATTTTGAAGAAATATTTATTTTGATATTTATAGTTAAAATATTTCCTTTCAAGTTTTATTTACTGGCACAACGTAGCTTATTTGATGGCTAGCCATCATGTACCAAATTCATACTGTATATCAATTTTCACGCTCCCTTATTCCCCAAGCTATTGTTCAACAAGTCAAATTTCTCTTATTTATACTCAATTGTATTTATCAGGAGATATACAAGGACTAAAAACTTCAAATTAAGGATCAAGGTGTAAATAAAAATAAAATATAAAGACTAAAATGAACTTTTTTAAAATTACGAGAACTACATAACCTTACTGAAAATTTTTACAACCGAACAAAAGAATAAAAAAATGCAATGAATTATTATATTATGTTACATATTTCATCACATTACATGATTACATGTTGACAAATAAGGCCGAACTCTTAAAAATAATGCCTTGTTTATTTTGTTTTATTTTATTTTTTTCGGAAGGCATTTCAGTGAATCACTCGGGAATTTTGGGAGGATAAAAACTCTTGCCACTAGTTGATTAATTTAACTCCATTTCTTCTAACAACTGCCAATTTTCAAGAAACACGACAGAAAACAATCGGGAGTTGGGTTGCCTTTGCGGAAAAAAAAGGCTTTGGGAAGTGGCGCTCAAATTTAGAAACACAATCAGAAGCACGATTCTCCAGAAATTGGACAAATCTTCATCTTCGTCCGTCTCCGACGGCAAGAGGAAAACTTCGCACATGCACGTTTGCTTCGCACGACGACGCGCGTGTCCGTTTTGGCAGATTTGCCTGGTTACCAAGTAAAGTTAGAACTCCAGCTCTTGGAAAATGGAAAAAATTGGTTAACAACATATTGTCCGTGAATAAGGTTTGACAATATGACCTGGGAGGCTGTTTCTTAAACCGTGGACAATTTATCATCCTCGTCCTTGCAGTTTATTCGGGCCTTTTTTCTTTTCCTTCAACTATTTTTCGCTTTCGCAATGTGTATCAACCATCGTCGTCATAACGTGTTCAGACGGAACACACTAGATTTTGATCGATATAACTTAAGATTTCTTATCGTTTTCTGGCTACTGAATGGATAATCAAGATCAAAATTGTATCATTATATTTCTATACTAAATGCTCATTTTCTAGTGAAATGATAAATGTAGATAATTAATAACATTTTAAGTTTTTTTTTTCCTATTTGAAATGTGGTTTTCTTTTGTTTTATTATTTGAGTGTTTCAACTTTTAAAACTTGTACATTCATGTAGCCCTTAAATTGACATATAGACACGTTAGTTAGTACTAATCAAGTATTTGTCTTTTTTTCACTCTTTTTTTCAACCTATTTTTTTTTCTTAGTATAAACACACCGACTGATTTCATATGTTCCATAATGTTGTACTTTTAAAGTAGATTTGATTTTAGTTGTTTTTTTTTTTCTGTAAACTCAATACTTGGTTAATACAAACTTTATGTGAAATAAAAGCAGATGTCATTTTAAAAATAAACTATTTTATTTTTTTAAAACAAAAATGGATAATTTCTTCTTCTTTTTTAAGACAAAAGCATAAATGTTTTCGAGGGATCTATTTTTTTAATTAAAATGACAGCTTTATCTATTTTTTTAAGTACACATTAAAAAAATGCTAGTGTTTACACAATTTTACTTCAAAATTATATTTTGTCATATGTATAATTGATTTAAGTTTATCCCATAATTGACTTTTATACGAGTTTTAATTTTTTTGATTGAGATCCTCTATTATTTTTCGGTTTGATTGAAACTCTCTACTCTTACAAATTTGTTGATTGAGACTCTCCATTGTAACATTGTTAACTATTCATCATACCCGGCTAGTTAAAACTAATGGTAGCAAACGAGACAATAACACGTGGTTAAATTTTTTTGATCCATATTTTCACGTATCGGTTTCGATTAACGGATGAGATGAATAGTTAATAACATTGTAATTGAGGGTCTCAATCAATAAATTTATAAGAGATAAAAAAATTTTGATCCATATTTTCAAGTATCAGTTCTTGATTGACGAGTGAAATGAATAGTGAATAAAGTTGTAATGAAGGGTCTCGATCGATAAATTTATAAGAGCAGAATGTTTCAATCAAGTTAAAAAATAATAGAAGTGTTAATAAAAAAATTAAAATTATACGGAGACCAATTATGGGATAAACCCTAATTGATTTTATTAAAATAATGTGTCTATATATATCACCATCCTATTTAACCTTCTTTTTTTTTAACTTACTAATTATTCTTGTAAATATGGACACATGTCATGTAAGTTTAAAAAGTTATAAATCACTTGCTATAAATGAAATATTTTTAGCATGTTACATTTTTTATTGGTCATTTTAAATTTCAAAAATACAACAATAAAGTTTAAACAAATACTATTTAGTTGTTTTTATTATTTACAAACACAACACATTAAGCTATTATCAAACACTTTTTTTATACTATAACATAACACAGAACAGTACAACACAATATAATCCAACACAAAACACTTGAGCAATGTTTTCTTTCTATACTCGCTCTCATTTCTTCGTTTTAATTGGTTTGCAATCTTCCGCTATTGGATGTCTTTGACTTTATATTAAAATGTCAAATTAAAATAAATAAATAAATCATAGAAGTAGACTGATCGAGAGTTCGAGACTTCTTTTCCTGTGGAAGCAGCAATGTTGAAAATGCACGCTAATTTAAGCTTCTGTCTAGACAGAAGAGGAAAGTGTTTAATATATTCACGATCTTGAAACGAAAAAATTAATGTGTGAATGTAAAGCAAAAAAAAAAAAAAAGAATATTGAAGTTGAGTATTATAAATCATGTTTGTTGGGCTATTGAGAAAGGCGATTGTGGCTTTTAATTGAGAGAAAGGAGAAAACTTTGGAAGCTCTTTTTTTTTTTTTTCTTCCCTTTTTTTTGTGGTCTGACCATCTATATATGTTAGCTATATAATGTGCTTTAACTTTGTCTGCCTTTTAATCTAATGTGTCATGTAGGCGAGTATCAAGAGACAGAGAACATGTGAAGTTTTAGAATATGCTTGGTATATTTGTATGGAACGAGAAAAATAGAATTGGATTAAACAAGATTGGACTGGATTATATATATGTCTTGGTATAAGTTTATAATGTTATTTTATGTTGGTCCTTGTATGTTATTTTCATGATATTGTAGTCCTTAATAAAAAAAATTGCAATCAAACCCCTATATTTAATAATTCATTTTAGATAAACTTAGTCAAACTTTAATCAATCAAATTGAAAATATAAATGAGTGACAAATAGATAATAGACAATATGAAATATTGAGAAAAAAGGATTTTTTCTATGGCATTGAGCAAAATTTGTTTCATTCTATGGTGGGACAAGAATTTTGTCAGACAGAATAAGAATTAATTATTGTTCTTTTTTAAATATATATTAAATACAGCATAATTTGTTATATCATGTCTAATGTGTATACTAAATGCTTTATAGCATGTTCAGTCTAGTCATATCCAGCATACCAAACATATCTTTAAAGTTTTTTACGCAACAAAAAAAAAATTATTAAGCGAAAAAACATATATTATAAAAAAACACACACACACAACACTATAAAAAATAATATATGTATAAAGAAAAAAGCAATAGGTTCCTGGATTTTCTTACTATGATCAAGTGGCAGGTTCATAGGCTAGGCATTTTCAATCAAAAACTACTTTCAATCTATGGAAGAATTGGACCTGCTCTAATAAACACTCCCATGACAATGATTTTGTATCTCATTTTCATCAATAAGAGTAAATGAAGGTGTAAAAAAATGGTAAAAAAATACACATAGGTACAGTAATTGAAGGCGGCGTGGCTTGAGTCAAACTGATAAGAGAGCATGGCCCCCGAATGAGGAGAATCTTCAGCGAAAAAGAATTGCTTATGCCACTATTGTGTATGGACTGAATTGGGTCCATTCAGAAAGGTTAGAGAAAAGAAAGACAGATTTTCTGTCAATTTGTCTTTGGCATGCGTTGTGATTTTCCATTGCTGTTAGTGATGACTTAAAAAGAGTAATATATAGAATTGGTCACCATGTCAAATACCAAATAGTTTCATAATCTAAAATTCACTAGATTTTCCTTCAAATATATCTCGCAGCTTGCAGCTAGCAGCTGAGGCCTGAGAATAGAAAAGAAATGCCATGCCAGCTACACGGGCCCCGCTGGGCTCGATCCCACGGTCGGCACGCAAATAAAACCAAACTGCAAATTCTACCAAAGGACTCGGTTATAACCAAATTTTAAAATGTAGGGATTAGATAAATAGTTTCTGAAACACAAGAACTAATTAATTACTTTTTTCATTAAAATAAAACAACTAAAGTTATAACTTCTCCATCATCCGTACAAGTGCTACAGATATAGGGAGAGAAAAAGGAAAACAAAACAGCACATATATGCTACAGGGGACCCTTTACACAGAAAAGTAGTCCTTATTTCCAAATGGAATTAAGGAAAACTTTCTTGCTTTGTCTTATGTTTCTTTCCTTGGCGAGGAAGTGACGCAGAAGCTTCATTTATAGTAGTAATATTTATATACATGTAAATACAGAAATCTTTTAATGGTAGTAATTAGGTGGTCTCCTAGTGTTTATTACTAATAGTTAATGCCCCAGTGCCCTGCCAACTATAAAGTGATTGATACACCACGAATTGCCGGACAATGATGCAATAGAAGGAAAAAAAAAAACTTGAAATGCACTCTCTGTTGAAAACCGCTTAATTTTAACAAATAAAGTCATTATTATTATAAAATAACAAATATCTATATGAATGTTCATGAGTTTTTTATATTCTCATTACTCATAATTTTTAATGTTATTTAATTCATCATTCAATATACGAAATTGATTGAATGATGCAATTGATTCAACAATTTATGTAATTTAATAGTTCATAGTCCTTTCTAATTGTCTTCTTAATCTTAAAACCTATAAATAAACTTGATTATTCATTAATTTATATACAAGTATTTTCTAGAGATTGAAAGAATTATTTAGAGTTGTTATCTCTTGTATTTTTCTTTATTTCATAGTGAAATCATTCTCCATCATTTTTTTCTCCGATTCCATTATTATTACTATTTTTTTATAATACGTTATTAGCACGAAGCTCTAACCAACCGAAGTGATAGAATATAAGATATGTATCTATCAAAAAACTTAATTATTTGTTTCAATCATTGGATTATTTTCTACACGAGTACTCTATCAAAAGATCCAAGTTATCTAGATCATTAAGAGGTATGTATCTAATTTATCGTGTACTTTAAATCTAATAATATATAAAATATATTTTTTAAAAACTTAAAATAATTTAATATACGGAATCCAATAATCTAATATATATTGTTTGAAAAGTTTAAATTTTATTATTATTTTTGTTTTCATTTAAATTTTATTATTATATTTTGTTCTTATTTTCTAATATTATTATTATTCCACTTTACATTATAAAAATTTTATTATATCAAACCTCACAAAATTTTATTTTATGACCCTTGACATTTCGGACGAGAATTATTAACCATGGATGCTTAATGTTGAATACATATTCTCTCTCGAATATGCTCATACGGTAGCAATATCAAGAAAAAATTTTAAGAAATATTCTAAATTAATTTCATACTTACTCGTGGCTAAATAAAATAATGAGCTATTAATGAAAAATAATAAATTTCGTTCAGTTGGATCTACTTCATTTCCGAAATGAATGTGACAACTTATAATAATTTTAGACATGGACAAAAACATGGTCATAGCTATGGACGTAGTCGGAATAATTATCGTTATAATCATGATGATCATAACATTACACCTCACCACTAGAAGTGGATATATATATATATCTATATATATTCTCAAAATGAATGTTATAGATATGATATGAATAAACATTGGTCGCGTACATCGAAACATCTCATCGAACCTTATCAACTCTCATTGAAAAAAAAGAGTAAAATATGAAAGCCACTTTTTGATATTAAAATAATAGTAATTGAAATAAATTACTTGTTAGTTTTTCTATTTATAAATAAAATATTTATATTTTTTTATAATTGTTATCATATAGTAATAGTTACAAATTTATTTTGCTATATCTTTATTTATTGATGAAAGAATATATTTATTTATTTATTTTATGTTTATTTAATTATTTATTTTATGTTAATATTATATATGATTGTATCAATCTAACATAAGGCTTCGGAAGAACGAATATATTATTACTTGAGAGATAACTTTTAAAGGTTTTGGAAGAACGAATATATTATAAATTGAAATGACATTATTTAAAGGCTTTAGAAGGAAAAATATGTTATTATCTTAAAAGATAAATTTTATTATAAATGATGTATTATTCTGTCCAAAGTCTCATGAAAATTTGTTGAATTTTAAAGATATTAATCTAAATTGATATCATATCAAGACAACGTATGTAAAAAATATTGACTACTTAGATATTAAAATTATTATATCGGGTAGAAAATATTTATTAAAAATTTATCTGCGTTCTCTTTTGGTCTTTATTACAAACATTTGAATGATTGAAACAAATGGTATAGTAAACTAGAAATTTACTAATTTAAATACTTTTATTATGTGACATAATCGGTTAGGTTATCTTGGATCTTTCATGATGCAAAAAATTATCAAAATTCACATAGACATCTATTAAAGAGCTAGAGATTCTTCAATTTAATAAATTTTCATATTCTGTTTATTCTCAAAACAAATTTATCATCAAGTCATTACTAGGTAAAATTGAGAATAAACCTCTAATATTTTTAGGATGTATTCAAAGTGATATATGTGGATCAATTCATGCATCGCTTTGATCATTTAAATATCTTATGATTTTAATAGATGTATCTATACGATGTTCATATGTATGTTTATTATCTATTCAAAATCCGACATGTTTGAAGTTGTTAGCTCAAATAATTCGATTACGAGAGCATAATTTTCAAATTATACCATTAAAATAATTAACCTTAATAATGTCTGGTGAATTTATCCTCTAGGTATTAAATGATTATTGATTAGCTATTAGAATAAAAGTTGAACGACCTGATACTCATGTTCATACTCAAAAAAATTTAGGAAATTCGTTTATCAAAATGCTCCGATTGATAACTAAACCATTATTTAGAAACAAAACTCTCTGTTTATATTTTGGGATGTGCAATCTTACATGCGGCAACATTTATTCGTATCGGACTCATAAGTTATCGAAATTATTTCTCATTCAATCAGTTTATGATCATGAGCCAAATATTTATCATTTAATAATTTTTAGCTATACAATATATATCTACGGTGCTCTTTCAAAATGAACTAAAATGGATACTTAAAAAAGATTGAAAATATATGTTGTATTTAAATACTCTTTGAGTAATTAAATATCTTGAACAATGAAAAAAAGATATTTTTACAACTTGATTTACCAACTATCACTTTGATGAAATAGTTTTTCCAATATTAAAGACGAGATAATAAGCAAAATAAATCATCTTGATCCTCATACAAAATAATATGAACTAGAAGGTCAAAAGATAATTCTTTTGTTATGAAATAATGAATGTCTATATAAATATTTATATCTTTTTCATATTCTTACTACTTATAATTTTTAATGTGATTTAATTCACCCTTCAATATGAGAAATTGAAATGATGAAGCAATCGATTCAACAATTTATGTACTTTTAATGGTTCATAGTCCCTTCTAATTTTTTTCATATTCTCGAAGCCTATAAATATGATTCATTGTTCATTAGTTTATATACAAGTATTTTGTAGAGAATGAGAGAATTATTTGAAATTATTATTTCTTGTATTCTCTTTATTTCATAATGAAATAATTTATTCACCATTTTTTTCTCTAATTCCACTTGTTGATATATATTTTTTTATAACAACTATTTTATTTTTTTATTTTTTTCCACATTTCCATAAATCACTATAAGATACATATATCTTTTTTCATGCTACATATAGTATAACATATATCATGCTCCATAGTACTATGGTCTGGAGCCCTTTTCGCTGTATCCATTACCAAAAACCATAACTATCAAGCATTGAGCATTGAGAAATCCATACGAAAAGTATGGTATATTAATCCTTGCGATGTAATTAAATTTCAGAACAAATATATTCCTTCCAACTATTCTTATACCATGGCTGATAAAGTTAAAGCTCAAGACGACGAGAGGTCAAATAAGTTTGTTCCAGACTGTAAAAAGGGCCGGAATGCTTTCATGCCATTCAAAGGACCCCTACTGAATCTAATTTACCATCCTCTTGCTGCCACTGTAATTAGGAAAAAGGATCAGCTGCTTAGAAAATTCCACTTCGTGTAAATAAACAAGCGCGACTGCAGGTGTGCCAGCTGGCAAGGATCCGTGGCAGCCTACCAGTATTTAGACCCCCAAATTCCTTTCATTTGGTTACCAACTTACTCCATTCCATTCACCTGCCGATGGGGTTACACGTGACAGAATCGCCCGACTCTCAATACTGGCGGCTATGTCATTCTTTCGATTCTTTTTATAATAATTTCCCAAATTTAAATGACTGACGTGTCGATTAATTTCTATCTTCATTAAGATATTAATGTATATATATCTTGGCTAACAAAACCGACGGAAAAAAAAAGTACGCTAGCATTTGGTAGTTAGTCCATCATTACTCATTAGTTATTTAGTTTCCAGTCTTGCACATGAAATTAAAAAAAAAAAAAATATTTAGTAAGTTTGTCTAATAATGCGTGATTTTAGAGCACAAGTTAAGAAATAAAATTTGCGGCTTACATTCGGGATAGCTAATGACGTAAGAAAAATTCAAGTTTTAAAATTTGATTTTTTTTTAATAAATGAGATCTATTTTATTAAAAAAAATTAAAAAAATTGAGTACAAGAAAGGGTAGCCAAAAAGAGAATGGCTACTACTACATAAACACTTTAGCACCTCATAAGTCACAATACACAAGAATAATCACAGAACACTGGCATTAAAATTTTGATGTTGCCATAAAGTTAAAAAACAAATAGATTAACTAAAGTGTGAACCCACGGAATGTCAGTTCAAATAGTGTAAAAAACAAAACGCCGAGGACTGTGGAAGTGGAGTGTAATCAATCATTTTAAAAACACATGAGGGGCATCTACGTGTATGCTTTTTCTATCAAGATTGTCCAAATGGATTCTGGCTAACAAGGTGCTTGTCTCTTTTAGTAGCTATGGGTAAAACAGGAAAGTAAAGTTTGCCTGTGTCTCCACTTCTATAAACATTCATTTATTACTTTCCCTATCGGACTATCTCTTGGACAATCTCGTTAGAGGTAGCAGTATTTACTTGCAAAAATTAAAACGAATAAAAAAAAAGTGAATTTATTTTGATTTTACATTTTAAAATTTTTTTGATTTGGTTAAAACCAAAAGGTGATTTTTTTTTTCAAAATTTTTTTTTGTTAAATAATACAAACAAACCAAAAACTTAATATTTTAACACTGTTATAGATATATGGTGTTTTGGATTACATGATAAGTTTTTAATTTTATTTGCTTGATATATGAGTTTTTTAAACTTAAATATTTTGATAGATTATTTGGTTTAATGGGTGTTTTTTTCATATAGAAAATGTAAAAACTCGGAAGTTAATGGATCATTGAACGGTATATCTATTATGGTTGGAATATCTTAATAATTAATATCATATATTTTCTATACTTAGTACCATCAAATATGTTATTTTTATTTGGTAAAAAAATTATATTTCCATTATGAATTATGAAAATTAATGGTTTATTTAAATAAATATTTAATTATATTTTTCTCAAGTCAATTTAGACCATTTTGTGGTCTATGACATGATTTTTTTTTTTTTATCTATCTACATCATTTTAAAAAAAAATTCAGTTTTCACCGAAGAAACAAATCCAAAATTCGAAAAAAAAAATTCAATTCAGATTTTTTTTTTCCATTTTGATTAACTGGATCGAAATATTAAACACTATGGCCAAAAACCAATTGCTCACACATACCCTCTGTATCCAAAAAGAAGCAATCGCCTCCAGGTCCTTTTCTGTCCCCTTTTCTTTTGTGTACCACTTGCCCATTTTGATTTAATTGCATTACGATAATAATAATAATAAAAAAGAAGGCAAAATGGTGATTTCATGTTGGATCCCTGTGATTGACTAACTATTGTTTCAAACTTAACTTTACCCATAGTTCATGATAAATAAAACAAACGCACCAATTGCTATTAAGATATAATAAGTAGATAATTGGTAGAGAGTTACTCATACAGTCACACCAATTGTCATTGCGGATGTTCCTGAAATTTCATATTGAAAAATTTGTGGTTTGCAGCATTTCTATTAAAAAAGAACTCAAGGCATCGCTCTAATTTGAAATTTCTCAAGTTTAAGCTCTAAAATGCAATCAAAGAATTGGGAAAGAGTTACTCCTATTATAAAATTCAATTCAAGATTCATTCGAAATAAAAGAAGTACGGGTCCAAAGATCTGTATATAAATGGGAAATTTTCTGAATCAAAATCCAATTTACCCACTAAAATTGGACCACTAATGCCAAGTACCCACTATAGAGTGGCTACGTGTCAAAACGTCATGTATTTTTCATTCACAGAATTTTGCCGATGTCGGATGCTTGGCTCCCAAGCAGCTCTTCTGATTGGTGGTTTTTTTTTTAATCATTTTTTAAAACTATTCTAAAAATTCTAAATTCCCTATCAGTTACTTATAAAATCCCCATATTGTACAATACAAGGCCAAAAAAAAAGAAGAAGAAGAAGAAAACAGAGGAAAGAAAAGAGGAGGCAGAGATGGAAGTGAAGCACAGCCTAGCTGGTGAGCAAGTGATGAAATCCAAGCAAGAACCTTGTTTTAGACACAAGAATGATAGTTTGTTTCCAAAAAGGAGGAGGTTAGTGAAAAGCATGATGTTTGATTGTATTGCCTCTGCAATTTTTAGGTCTTCTAGTCCTCCTCCTCCTCAACCCCAAGAATACAACAGGGGTTGTAATTGTTGTATCCCAAGAGTCACACCCGCCTAAAATATTAGATGTAGAGTCAGTTAATCTTCTTGTTGTTGTTATTGTTACTTTTGTTGTAATTTTGGTTTATTTTGAACATTTGTGCTGTAATTAGTGATTTTATCGTGGGTCAAGAAGAAGTGGGTTTGGACGGAGGAAGTAAAAAGGACAGGGAGAGAACAGAATGGTTTATCTTTGTTGGAGACTTGTAATTAAGTAATGCGATTTAAAAGTAATTTTGATGATTGGTCGTTAACTTTACTTCGTTGCCTTTTGAGGTATGGTGGGTGTCCTTTTTAATGATTGGTGATGAGCTTCTCTGCTTTATCAGAGCCGGAGGCTTAACGCAGGTGACCAATTTCTCAACTGGGTAGATCCGGCCCGTTTCACAGCAATTCACAACTTTTAAAATCTGTAGATTCTTAGCTCATCATGGAAAAGGCGAAGGTAGATTAGTCGAAATGAAAAATGGAGAAGCGATGTCCAAAAAAGGTATTTACCAATTTTGAATGCGTTTCTTGGAAAAGACAGTGAATGTTAAAAAAGCTGCAGTCGAATTCCATAATTGTTGCACAGCATTTGACTGACCAGTGAATTGAGCCATCCAAACTTGGAAAAACCCTTGAAAGTGAAACGGAAAACAAAAGGTGAAAAGAAGTCTTGTTTGATTAAAATATGGTGGCAATAAAGTAGATTTAGCAGCGACCCCCACCATTTCACCAACACGGAACAATTCAATAACGTCCCTTCAAAAGGAAGGAAAGAATAATGACGTAAAGCTCTCGAAAGATGACGACGTAATGGTCATTACGCGTCGTCGAGTCATTAATTTTGCGTGTATTTTTTGGAATCTTTGATCAGGTATTCTCGTAATTTCAAACTAACAGGCTATCTGCAGATAGGGACACAATATTAATGGCATTGGCGGCTTTTTCAGATATGGAAAGTTCTAAGTAACAACAAATTCCGGTCATGTGACAGAATCTCAATGCTTTGCCGGAATTTAAGGGTAACAACATTCTACTGCCACACATTTTTCCCCGTGACAGTAAAAGTGAAATAATAAATAAATAAAATTACATATTGAGAAAATAAGTCAATTAGACATTGGAAAGTGTTGGTTCCCCTAAGCCTAAGGGCCAGTTGAAGGACTCATTGCCCCTTTTCGTTTCCTTCTTAAGTGTGAATGATGAAAGTGGTAGCCGTTCACTTTGTCGGCCAGTGTTAAGTTCCTTCGTGGTCAAAAAGATTTGACATCACGGTCGTAAAGATTTAAATCACTAAATCTTGATATATGAAAAAGAGAGACACACTTCCAGTCAATGGCGTCACATGTAACTCCCTTTTGACGAATTCTTTGCTTGAACGGACGATTCATCGTCTGGGTTAGTAGTTAGATTCTGCGGCTCGATGCATCAATTTATGATAGTTCCTTAAATAGAAATTAATTACTATGAGAAATATCGTTTGGGATATAAATGATCCCACTGTAAATGACTTCAGTTATTAATCATGACGTTTATCGAGGACAATGAGGGTTGTGACACTTTTTGAACCTTTTCGTTTTCACTCAAACTTTAACCCCTTGTTTGGATAGGGATAAAAGCAGGAGAGATAAAAGAAAATAGGATGGAAATGAAAATTTTTCCCTCGTTTGGATTGTAGAGGAAAGCACTGGAAAGAAAAAAAATATTAAATAAACCTATAAATGGTAGGATTCATTTTTCTCTCAAAATTAAAAGGAAAACGAGAGAAAAGCTGGAGAAGAAACCTAAGAAATCATCAAAAATTTTCTCATTCTCATTTTTGCCCTCCATCTACCCCATCGTCCCTCTCCTTTTCTCACTCTCTGCTTCCATTGATTTTGAGTTTTGAGGCTGAAATCATCAAATTCTCATCTTCACTTCTAAACAACAAACACCCAATTGCCAATCCTAAAACAACCGCCAAGAACACCCTTGCATTAAACGACATGACGGCCAACATCAACAAATACCCAATCCCCGAATTTATCCCAAAAAGTACAGCTCCTCCCACTCTCACCGTCGACCACCTCCCTTTCCCCCCACCACCCATCTTCCGAAGCGGCGGCTTTTCAATCGCAGCCGAAGGTGATGAGTTCGATTTCGCGAGGCGTTGGATATGAGTTTGAGTCGCAGGCGGCGGCTCTCCAAGTACTCGGTAGAAGATGGAAGTGATGAGACAAGCGAATAAGGAGAGTGAGTAACCGAGCCATGTCTTTGTGTGCCATGAGTTGATCAAAATCGTCACCTCGCGACCTCGGTAGAAAGTCATATGCATCATGATTGCCGACTTAGTGAGTTGTAGATAGAGAGAAAAGGGTCGAGTTTAGTGAGAGAGGAAACCGAGGAGAATCGGATAATTATCATTTGCGAGTGGGCTAGGTCGGAGGGAAGGGGAGGAGCATAAAAGGAGGAAAACCGTAGTAATTTATGTACCCCTTGTTTGCAAAGGAGCCGGTATGCTTTATTGATTCGTACGGTAATTTTGGATTACGAGTTTGCCCAATTATTACACGAAAACATCGATTGCTTAACATTCTAATAACACTATAACTTAAATCAAGTAAATAGTTGTGTTTATGAAATTACTAAGTACCGACTATCTTTTTTCATGTGATACAATTATCCATCTTGTATAGATTTTAGATTTCTTTTGTATTGTAAATGTAATTAGTAATTATTAATCATAATGATAGACACTTATTCTAATAAATTTATTAACTACAATTGAAATGAATATAAAAATATTGTTTATTTTAACATTACTATTAAGTATTGAGAAGTACTATCTTTTTTCATGTGATAAAATATCCCTCAAAACAGTCTCTTCGAATACTTTTTGGAGTTATTGCAAAAGAAGAAATAAAAATTATTTGTGATTTATCTCATTTTTTGTGATTCAATTGACTTTCCATGATTATTCGCAATGTTACAATATACTCTTTTGTTTTTAATTGTTAAATAGTAATTTTTTATTCTAAAAAAAAAAGCAGAGAAAATGATGGGAATCAACTAACTTATTATATGCATAGATAAGAATACATGTTATACATATTTAAATTAATTTTATGTTGATAATTAATCTAAATTGGCTATTGAATGAATTAATTAATAAACAATTATCGATTATTCTATGTAGACGATTCATTATCTATCTTATCATTTCGGATAAATGCTATATGTTATATTTTTATTTTATTATTATTTGTGTTATTTTCATGAAAAAAATATTCATACAAATTTATTATAAGTATTTAAATATAAAAATATAAGCATAGGGGTATTATAGTAAATATACAATAATATATTTTCTTTTCTCCATCTTTTTATAACTATCCAAACAAGAAAAATGTATTTTCTTTCATTTCCTTTCCACTCTTATCCAAACAAGAAATGAAAAATGATTTTCTTTCCTTCTTTTTTCTTTTCTCTCACTTTTTTCTTTTCTTTTCTTTCCTCCCAAGAGGAATTATCCAAACAAGGGGTAAGACAAAGAACCCAGATTTTTTAGCGAAAATCTTGACTGAACTGTCTGCATACAAACATAATGTGTCCTACATTTGAATGCCTTGGGAAAAAACAAAAACAAAAACAAAAGGGGGAGTGGTAAAGATGGTGGGTTCATGAAAAGGTTGTAAATTAAATCCCTTTCTTTTCAGCATTTAAATTGAAAAATGAAAATAAATAGGATAAGGATATATCACCAATCACATCTGCCCTTTGTCCTTATTCAGTTTGGCCCACCCCTAAAGGTCTAATATATCTATCTTTGATTCTAAGATTCTTTGACTGCAAAAATTGGGTCCAAGATATGGTTAGTTTCTCAGTTCATGTTTATAGGATCACGCATACAGAGTGATAGACGCTTAATTGAGAAGGAATGATCATGCGGATGTATGTTTCACCTTAATTATCTTACAATGATGTGCGTAATGGATTAGATTGTGAGTGCTCATCAGTGCCAAATTTTTTTGAGATTAAAATAACAAGGCCAGCATTATTGCACTTTTTAAAAATCCATTTATAGTTGAATTGAGGAAAAAAATATTTCAATAAAAATCAATGATATGATTTACATGAAATAAATGCTACTTTATATAGCCATATTTGAGAGTGCTAAGAAAAATATTTAACAATAAATTAATTCTATTAAAAAAAAACAGAGATTCATTAGCCGTAATAAAAACACCTTTTTAGTTGGATCGATCCTTAAGAGAGATGGAGAATTACTATCATTATTCGTTGCCTATTTAAACAATAAACCATTAAAAAAAAAAACCGAGAGAGAAAGCTAAGCTATTAAGGTTCAGATGTTAAATACTAATCGAATTTTCAACTGATTTATTACAGTCCCGAAATCAAGGCAGCACACAAGCAAACACCTGCAGCATAATTATTATAAGCATCATGACAATGGATTAGTCATTGATACCATAATAAATTCCCCCGAATTGTAATCAATTCCAGAGTGCCTTTCGACCCATCATCATCATCTTTTCCACTAGATAGTGTCCTGTGATTGGAATTTACTTAGCAGTTCGCCCATTAATATTTTCCAATTCGCTTTTAAGATTTGAATTCTGAACAAAATCTGGTGGTCAAATTTCATAAATATTCGTTCATACCATATGATTCAGTCATGGTCAAAAGTCTGTTTCACAACAAACGAAAGTGACAATAGGAGAACAAATCAAGAAACACAAGGCATTACAGAGAATTTCTCCTTTTCTTTCTTTCCATTTTTTCACATTAAATTTTGATAATCTACAAATACAAGCAAATAACACTCTTAGTAAATAAACAGCAAAAAACACCAGCAAATAGACTTAAAATATGCTTCAAATTGGGGAAATAAGAAATCAAAGCTGTTGGGTTCTTTCTATTCTACATTTATCTACGTCATAAATCTATCCAATACTTCACTTGCAAGCAACTCTCCCATTGGTGGATTTTCTTCTATGAAAGAAAATTGAATAACACCCCCTCATTTACAGCTTAGCATATAAGCCCAACACACCTTACAGGCTTATGTAGTTAACAAAACACTGACATCTACTAACACAAACACAGTTTCGCTACGAAGCAGACGAGAGTGTGTGGTGAGGAAACAAAGCAGAGAGACAGAAAATGGAGCCTGTTGGTGCGGAAGTGGACAGAGGCGAAAGGGACCAGAGTGAGGAAATGGTCAGAGCCGAGACAGAAATATGGTCCAAGCCCAAGAATGGAAGTGTATTTCCCAAAAAGAAGAGGCTGGTGAAGAGTATGATGCTTTATTCTTTTACCTCTGCTTTCAGCTCTCCCAACGGTACTTCTCCTTCCTGTAATGCCCAAGAACATAACAATGCTAGTGGTCGTTACACAAACATGGGTAAGTCATCAAAAGTATCAGATGCAGATTGAATCTTGTCGCTGTTAATTAATTAATTACTTGTACTTGGTTGTGATGTGAGGACGGATGTTTGGGTTTAAAATGTGTTAATTTGGAAGGAGTTTGATTGCTAGTTGTAACACCTGGATGTATATTTGGTGACCTTTATTACAGTGTTTGTCCACCTTTTTTTTTTTTTTTTTAATGGGATTTTAGTTACGGGAGGTGTAGTTCCTTGCCTTTTTATAACATCGTTGCTGTTCTGACTTTTTAATGACTAATGGTGCTTCTGTGGTTCAATATTATTGCGCCACAATTAACCGGTTTATCAATCCGTAAAGTTCACAGAAATTGACAGTTACGGAAATCCTAGGGAAATGGTTTAATGATTCGATAAAACAAGCTTCTTTTTAGTGACATGAAAAACTGAAGTTTAATGTAAAAGGTGAAAGAAACGTAGAAAATGATATCCATGGGCTGTCCAGAAGGGTACTCATTGGTAAAGAGGTGATAAAAACTTATGTAATCATAGCTTAAATCCTATCTCTTGCAAAGGTGCAAGAGTCTCCTTCTCCATCATTGCAAACCATTCCGTTTCAATTGGTAATGAAAAGAAAGAGAAAATCAGAAAGTTTAGTTCTCATTTTGGCTTTTTGCCTTGAAGTAGCTAAGGAATTGAATCGGAACGTGGCTTCGCATATTGCTTTTCTTAACTCGACGCCGTGTTTAGTTTTTATGGAAGGGACTGGTCGCTAGAGTGTGTACTGTGTAGTATTATTTTTTTATAAAATATACTTATTATTATTAAAATAAAAATAAAAATTATAAAATATTCAATGCACCGTTAGCGAGGTACATCTGGTTATAAAACTATATTTATTTTAATAAATTAATAAACAGTTGCATTACGTACAAAAACATTTCTTATCATTTTTACAACAATTAATTGCACTTAATGATTGCAATTATTTCTTCTCAAACAGATTTAGAAAATCTCTATAGAGGCTTTTGTTTCCTTGGTTAAAAAGCGCAACAACACTAATATTTTATGCACTTGCTTATTAGAAGGGAAAATATAGCAATATTTTCTATTGAAGAAAAATAATCTTTATTTTTGTGTTCTTTAATCTTCTACTATAAAGTCATATAATTTTTATTTATATTATCTTTAGGTAAAAGTGATGCTAATATGTTTAAAGTTTCAAGTTTTAATTTGGTTGTATTTCGAGTTGGTCACTTAAAAATTGTGATAAAATTATTTTGATAGTTCGGTCATCTTTATACTATGAAACATAATAATATGATTTTAATCCATAATTTTTTTTTAATGATCAAGATAAAAGGTTTTAATTCTTTATTTATTTTAATTTATAATAAATTTATTTATTCATAGTATGAATTTTTATGATTTAATTTTATTATTATTTTTTTTTGGTGTTAGGAATAACGGAGTATAGTATGTAGGAATTAAAAAGAGGATGATAAAAGTAAGTAAGAAAGAGAACCATATAGATGGATAAGATTTTGAAATACTCTGGCTAGTGCCTTTCCTGTTAACTACTGGGTCATGGTTTTGATGCCCCTAAAGCATCACCTTTAGATCGACATTGATAAAGAATTGATTCATAAAAACTATGAAGTAAAAATAATTCCCCAAGATACTCTAGTTGGAATTTTGTGGACACCTAACTCAAAATTGATTTGAACTGATCTATAAAGATGAACACACTTTAAAATCTACCAATTATCTGGTTTGACCTTTTTTTTTTTTTGCAAAAAAAAAAAAAAGTATAGATGATAATCACCCTCACTGTAAAGAATCTCATCAATCCTTCTATTGTAGAATATTTTGACCAAATTAAGTGATTAGTTAGTAGATGCTCCAGCTTTAGATACGATCAAGATAACTCATTAGTAGCAAAATTAACTGTAAATTAAGAAAAAAGAATAGGATTGAATGAATCGGAGAATAACTCCTCTTTTGAAATGGCTTACGGATTTTGAGTGTATGTTTTGTTGGCATATCCTACTATGCCTTCGTACTGCTTTTTCAAAACAAATTCTGTCATTTTCCAAACTGATTTAATTTTTTTGTACCGAACAAATATGTTATTTTTAAAACAACATAATAAAAGGCTACACATCTTCTAAATGGATCTGTGCCCCTTCTTTCATCATGAAATGTGCCCTAATCCATTAATTAATAGAGCCAAAAAACAATATAATTTTTTATCATCGTCGTAACTTTATTTTTAAAAAAATCTAGTATTAATTTAAAATCATGGTGTGGTTTAAGGGGCACTTCAAAAGATATTTTCAACATTTGAATGTCTAATAAAGGTGGAAAAGCTCTCCGGCTAGTTTTATTAGTAAACAACGCTATTATGAGGCAGTATTAAAAACCTATTTTACATCAAATGAATAAAAGTAGATGAGTAAATATATAAAATAAAGTATGAGTTATTCATCACAAGATTTTAGTTTTTTTTAATAGCATTATATATACTTCAATTATTAAGTTTAAGATATAAAGTTGAGTATGTGCCACTTATCACAAGATTTAAAAACATGCTGATGTTATTTTGTATTTGAAAAGCAGAAAAATTAGTACAAATAAACAATAAATTACTATTCATTTATTGTTTATTTGCGTCAATTCATTATTCATTAGTGGCAAATTTGTAATTCTTTACAATGATATTTTCTTAATTTTCATAATTTTTTTATATTAATTTTTAAATTTTATACTTTATTCTTTTTTGGTCTCTTGCGTTTTCAAAATATATTTTTAAATCTTCAGTTTTTTTAACTAAAAAACTAAAAGAACGAGGACAAATGAATATTAAATTACTGCTCATTTGCCTCAATTCATTATTTATTGACGGCGATTTTGTAATTTTTTATAATCATATTTTCGTAATTTTTATAGTTTTTTAGATATTCATTTTCAAATTTTACACTTCATTTCATTTTGATCCCTTATATTTTCAAAATATATTTTTAAATCCTCATATTTTTAAAAATATTTTGACATCTCATATTTTTAACTTAGTCCATTTTTGTCTCATATTTTTTCAAAATATATTTTTTGTTCCTCATATTTTTAAAGATATTTTTGGCCTCTTATATATTTAAATTTTAGACCAAACACACATATCGGATTATATTTTTTTATTGATTAAAATTAATCTCTTAAATTTTTTATTTATTATAAAAATTTTCATCAAATTAAATTTTTGGTTCCTTCTTTTGGTTTAAAAAATAAATTATTTAATTTTTTTTAATCAGCGTTAACCATTGATAATTTATTTTTTTCTATAAAATATTTTTTTCATATTTTTTATTTTCTTATTCTTTTTCTATTTCTGAAAAAAAAATAAAAAATAAAAACATTGAAATAGCAAAAATGCCAAAAACATATTTTAAAAATTAACTAATTTATTTTTTAAACCAAAAGAATTAATTCATTCTTTTATCAAAATGAGAAGAACTAATTTATAATTTAATTTGCAATTCAACAATCTCTTTTATCATAAATTAAGAAGTTAAATTTATGAGAACCAATTTTAATATTTTTTATTTAAATTTATTGACTTTAATATATTCCATATAACTTATATGATTTTTTTTATAAAAAAAATTGTTTATGCTATATACTCTGAATCTATTAAGTATAATTATATATATATAACATTTATTATTATTATTATTTTATGTTCTAAAATCAATATTTTTAAATAAAATAATAGAAATAATGTTTCGAAATAACCTTTCAACTATTCAAATACAACCTTTTATGCTAATATTATTGATTATTTTGTTAAGATATATATATATATATATATATCAAACAATTTTACTTAACAACTAAATTTGATTTACATTAATTAAGAGAAATAAGATTTTTACATGTACTAGACTATACAAATCATTGACCTTATATATATAACGATTGTCCTACTGCGATATAGCAAGGATATCTAACTAGTTCTATATAACTAAAAGAACTTAACTTTTCACTATTCATTTAATGTAGCTTTATACTTAGTGCACCGTGGACGATTTTTTTAGATATTGATGGGTGAAAATTATATAATTTTTTACACTTTGGTCTCTGAAATTTTCAATTGAATATTTCACTCCGCATCTTTATTTGCTAATCCATTTTAGTCCTTAGGTTTAGAGAGAAGAGAGGGAGGAAGAGAGAGATGAGAGGAGAGAGGAATCGCCGACCAAGCTTATTTAGGCTACTTTGGCCTACAAAAATCCAACAGATTTTTGTATCGTTGAGAGATGAGTTTGTTCTTGCCAGTTTTAAGCCATTAAATAATTAAAGAAGATAGATCGGAGCCAAAAAAAGAAAAAAAATCCAATTTGATTATGTATTTTTTTTCGTTTATATTAAAATGATTTTTAAGGTTTTAAATATATTTATTGACTTTATTTTGATCATTTAGGAGTGCTTGGGAAAAGAAATAATGCCGAAATTGAATTTATAGAGAGCTGAAACTTAATCTCGATTTTCTAACAACCTTAAGTTTATCGAAAGTTACAGATTATTTTATTTATTTATTTATTTTACTTTTCGGCCAACAGCTCAAGCCTGGAGAAGCAAGCCCGAGCTGCCCTGACAAATTGGCCTGGCGGTTAGGCCTGCACGCGCAGGCCTCAACTTGCTGGGCTGGCTTGTCCTGACAATCCCAATTGTGCTCCACCACCGCCCAACAACATGTGAGCTATGGGAGTCAAGTCTTCAATATAAAGGGTACAGACAATAATATAAAACAAAGAGCATGGTCTTAATAAACTTCCATTCTTCTTCTTTTTACCCTTTGAAATGATTTCCAAATCTTTCATTTTTGATCGTGACAAATATTAAAAGGTACGTTATTCTTTATTCAATTTCATTATCAATTGGACTGGCCAAACTTCACCAACTATCTTCACAAAAAAAGAAAAAATCTTTTTTAGTGTTTTGAACAAAAAATAAATAAAAAATTACATGCACTAATAAAAGTAATATACTTCAAAGAATAATTCAAAATTTTGTCAACATTAGGAACTTTTTTAAAATAAATAAATATTTAAAAAAATTGTGAAAGATGGTTGGAATGTTCCCAAATTCTTGTTGGGGGCTGTAAAAAATGATTCAAATTCAATAGGTTTTTGTAAGAGAATTCAGAAAAGAAATTAATTATCAATTCATCTTTTTTTTTCAATACAAATTTATATATACATGAGTATATATTTTGTGATTCATAATGTTTAAATATAATATAAAAATAAAAAATTTCAATTATAAACAAATAAAAATGGAAAAGGAACGAGTAAATGTAATTTATTTTGTCAATTATCAAACAAAAAAAAAATTACAGATTAAAGGTTAATTCAATAAGTCTTTTGTATTGATTTTTCTTTTAGTTTTCTATATAGTTTGAAAGTGATACGATATATATGATTTTTTTATATATTTTTGTTTAAACATATATATCTAATTATATTACTCTTATTGTTTAAAATTTATTCATTCAATTATTTGTTTCTTATTAAACTTCTAGTCAAATTAATTTTTTTAATTTTTTGATATAATTTTATTTGTTAATAAATTTAATTTTTTTATATATGTATTTTGGAATAAAATTTTAGAATGTGAGTATTTTATTTTTTTAATATATTATTATGATTTATATGATGGATTATTTTTATGATTTTTAAATGAAAGTAGTATAGTTGCACATATATATAATTAGAATTTCTTGGAACCATTTTTGTAGTAGTTTTGAGAGAGAGAGAGAGCTAAAAGTGTGTTTTAGATAATTTGAATAATTTTTTAAAAAAATTAATAATCAGTTAAAAAAACTCATAAGTTATATTTGCTTTTTTATAATCATGTTTTTTATATTAAATACTTAATAAAAAATGAGCTATGTAATATCTATATATATGATTTGAATTACAATTGAAGCACCATATTAAATAAGGCTATTTTTGTCACTACAGAAAATATTGAAATGGGCCGGAATAAAACTATCATACCGCAGATGATATATTTAGGGCAATATGGCGGATGTTTATTTCTTAATATTTTTAATCAATTTTTGATGATATTTTTATATTCTATGACTAAAAATGTACAACCTGCGTTTTATTCATAAAAGATAAAAAAAATAATAATAATGGAATGTAACTTAAATACCATACAGTTTAGTCGAGAAAAAATAAATAAAATAATTTAAGGGATTTCAATAGCCATGCCTGTGATTCAGGATTTCAATCGCGCAGTGTACTTTATATGTATGATAGGGCTTCCAGAAAAGAAAACAAAAGCTCTTTCCTTCAAGAGTTAAAAGAATAGAGTTTGCCACTTATTATCCTAGAACGTAGAATCTTCTAGAATAAAAACTAATAAATGACATTTTTTTTAAAAAAAGAAGTAATATGATGTTATTCGCCAAGGTTAAAAATTAATTCAATATTCATTGGGTTAGAAAAAATAAGGGTTCTCAAAGGATACATGGAGGAATAGAAGAGAGAGCTGAGTCTTGGAGCCCAAGAGTTACACAGTATCAAAGGGTGTTAAACGTATACATATACGGACTTTGGCGGGAAATTTGAGGGACAAACGGGAATTGTGTCTTCAACTGCCACGCCACGTGTCGCCAATCGGTACAATCCTTTTCCAGGAAGTTTTCTTGGGACTGGCTAGTTTTCCCAAATTAAAAGAAATTGAAAAGGGGAAAAATTAATTCCTCTCAATTTGCAGCTGCTTAGCTCAGCCTATAAATTTAGGCCTTAGACAGGTATAGAAGAACAGAAAAAAAAAATCAAAAAAACGCCTCAGCTTTTGGGCAGTGAAACAGAGTAGAGGCAGAGTGAGAAAGGAATCTACTCAAGGACGCTCTACGGATGGAGATGAAGCTGAATTCAGGCGAGATCGGAACCAAAACAGAAGCATGGTTCAAACCCAAGAAAGGGAGTGTTTTTCCCAAGAAGAAGAGGTTAGTAAAGAGAATGATGTTTGATTATTTGGTTCAATCTGCTGGTTCTCTTTGCTCTTCCTGTTTCTTTTCGCTCCGGCATGGAGCCAGCTCCCATCAAGCAAACAAGGATTCTTGCTGCAAAAAGATCATTTCGTCCTCAAAAGTATCAAATGTAGACTGGATTTGATGACTTGTTGGTTGATTTGTTGTAGTTTTGTTACTTTTGAATCCATTGTTTTAGTAGAGTTAGGAGCTTCTTTCTTATGGATATTTGTGTTTTAGTTTTAGATAGGCTATTAATTAAAGATCGGTGATGTACTTTTCTCTTGTATAAACACATGTTTCTTCATTTCTTTTATTCTTGTGGGTTTATTATGATTTGTGGTATGTTTTAATGGCTGGCTACCGTCAGTGACCAATTCATCAAGAGAGAGGAAAACTAATTCCACTGTAATTCTCAGACAAAGCCCAATTTGAAGTAGCAGTGCTGTTTTGTTAACCTTATATCCGACCAGCACCACACAAGTCACAACAAGAGGGAAAAAAGCAAAGAATTACACAAAAGTTGAAAAATTTTAAAAAACCCAGAAACCCATGTTTAAGAAACCTCATGAAATTCTGATAGCATCTACGAGGAATGCTGAGGAATAGAAGAGAAAAGCCTCCAGTTAAGTTCCAACAATAAAAACATGAACCATGACTCTTTAAGTTGTCACTTATTTCATCGAGTGGCTCAATTAATTATGGATAAAATCCATTAAAAAAAAAATCTCAGATTGAGAAATAAAAGGGGGTAATTGTTGAGTTTGGTACACGTTCAAAGTAAGTTGGTAATTGGAAAAAGTTTCTTTTGGAGGGCCCCCAAGGATGTTCCTAACTGACTAATAAAATAATTTGCAGCAGACCGTGGCATGGATCTTTCATAAATAAATTATAATATCCCCTTGCTTTACTTAATTGTGCTTGTGTGCGTGGAAAAGTAATGCTCCTCGAGCGCTCGGTTCGATACATTTCATCCATGTCGCCGACGATCACTCTCAATCCTCAGGGCCTCACCTGTGTGTGTGTGTGTGAGAGAGAGAGAGAGAGTGTGTGTTTCTGTGTGTGTGTGTGTGTTTTGGAGAGAGAGAGCGAGAGGGGGGGGGGGGGGGGGGGGGGTGGGTGTGCGGGGCGGATTATAATCCTCAGTGCCACTAGACAGGCGACCCAGAACCTAGCTCGAAAGGGGTGTGTGTACAGCTTTGTTTCCTTGACTATCACTCTCTATTCTCAGTGCCTCACCTTCGAGCTAGGTTCTGGGTCTCCTGTCTAGCGGCAGCCACCAATAACAGCATGATTTCTTCCTCCTCCAAAACCGGTGAGCAACGTTAATTAGAGTAAAAGCTGGGAGCTACTGCTACTGCTATTGTTGGTTAATCATTTGGAAATCATATTATTGTTTAATCACACTAAGATATTAGTATGTTACTTCTTACATAATTCATATTTTATAATGAAAAAGAAATCTTCCATCCTAAAATTTAAACGCCGTCATGGATTACTAGGTCAGCATCTGCACGTGTGTCACCAGACCAACAAGCGCGTGAAACACACAGCAACAGTTTATTCAATATGACGCCCTGCTTAAATGGTCATGGAGATGCCCCTGTTGGCTGTTCTTATCATCAAGAGCAAGTCTTTTGAACTTGAGTGGGAGCTACGAAAGTATCAAAACGATTGCTTTCTTATTGGATGTGGTGGAGATGGTTACTAAAATGTTAGTCCAAGACATTAATGATGTTGAATCTAGATTTTGTGCTTATCCTGGAAGGAATACAAAGGAATGGCTGTTATCTAGAATCACAAATTATGAGGTTGGCAACGGGGTAATATTAATTCGAGGGAGTAGGATTGTTGAGAAAATGATTAACTAGTTAAGCAATTAGAATTAGTAATTGGTTACAAACTGCTTGAAGATTCTAATTTCAACATAATACCATTTCGGCAGTACTTTGTGCCTTAAAATCAACCAACATCAATTTCAATGAATTTAAGGACAAGGAACCCAACGGCATGCACGCAAAGAAAAATAACGATACCGTTATAAAATAAAGAGTTTTTCACTTGGTGTTTGCTACTGTGGCTCTCCCTCTCTCCCGCCCTCTGGAGATGGTCATTTACCATATTATTTATTCTTTCTTTTTCAAAAACATTGTAATTTTTTATTTTTCACACGGTTCAAAAAAATTATTAATTGTTATGTTATTTTAATATTTTTTATTTATATTTATCTAAAATATTATTTTATTAAAATTGTTAATTATTAAATATAATCTTGCATCGCATTGAAGCAATATTGATTTAGGGCAAAATCTATCCAAAATTAAACTGGAATGAAAGAAAAAAACATAAAATTATTTAACAATCAAGTTTAAAATATTAATAAAATTATCTCATTTTCAAAACTTTGACAAGCAGTGAAATTGTTACAAGCATGAATATTTTTTATGTAACAAAAATATTTTCTTTGAAATTTTTACGTGTATTTATATGTATAAGGAAAAAAAATATAAAAAATATGATTTTTTGTTAATAAAAAATAAAAAATGGAAAATTTTTTATTTTTTATTAATTAAAAGTATTTTTTTAAAAAAATATGTTATTTAAAGTTTTAAACGGATAGGAATTTTTGAACATAAAGAATATATATTAGAAGATGTGCTGAAAAAATATATAGAAAATAACTACTCTATAATACCAAAAATAAAAATAAAAATTAACATTGATTAAAAACTATGGAAATTGAATATCTCAATTCTCATGAATATTTTAAATGCTAACCCTATTAACCTTATTAATTGATAAATGTAATTTAAAAGGTACTATATATTGAACACTCACTAGCAAAATCCAAGTCCGGCTCTCCTCCATTCTTAAGACCCTCACAGTTTCTCAAATCACTCTATTGATTTATGACATCTCATACAAATTTTAATCTAAATCACATAGCCATTCAAGTCATCTGAGAGGTGAAAATTAAGAACATTATGTGAATGGAAAGGTTAACCATGATGAATATTGATGAAAATCTGACATGTACAGATTATAATGTTTGGGCACCAACAAACGAATAATTAGTGAATTTTTTTCATAAAAGGGAAAATAAGACACATGGAATTTTCATTTGCTCTTTGAGAGAGAACCACGCGAGGATCTCTTACGAAAGCGAGACAATTCAATCTTTATCCTCACTATATATCGTGGATAAATTATCAGGTATGTCATATATATATATATATATATGTATGTATGTGAATTAAATTTCTTACTCTTATAAAAATTTTGGATCTATAAATTAATTTATACATTCAATATTTTTATAAGAGTAAGAAATTTAGTTCATAGTAAAAGAGTTTATTTTAGGATATTATTTTAAAAATATCTTGATTGTAATCCTTCTATTTATTACGTAGAAATGTAGAATCTCTTTCTTATTAAGTTATGTACGGATAGAAGTTAACTCAATAGTAGGGATAATTGACCTTAAACTTTAGCTACCATTCTTAGAGATCTTTATTCTCTCTATAATCTTTTAAATCATATACCTATGTAATATCTAGAATACATAGAAGATTTATCTCACTTTGAATTTTTTTCATAGTATCGAGCAAGGTTTCTAAACTGATTCTTATTTTTACGAGTCATGTCAATTGATTTCATAAGTCATGATAAGAATTACGTTTGAAGTCCGTTAAAAATATGTCGGATATCACAATTGATATTAAATCTCCGTTTAGATCACCCGGGCTTGATTTTTGTCACACAACCTTTAAATGAAGATGGAGAAAATTACTTCACATGGAAGAATAATTTGCTCAATGCTCTCCAATCTAAGAATAAGGCAAGGTTCGTGGATGGATCGAGACACAAACTCAATGTTAATTTCGATGATTTTCACTCTTGGGTTCAATGCAATACGGTAATAAAATCATGACTTATTAATTCTATTTCTAAGGATTTGCATATTGAAGTAGCATGTGCGGACATTGCTAGAGAACTCTAAAGTGATTTTAGAGAAAGGTTTACCTAGATAATTACACCTAAGGTATATGATTTGAAATGCCAAATTGTAATTTTACAACAAGAAAAATATGTCATCTCTATGTATTATGGCAAATCAAAGAATATATGGAATGAGATGCAAAATCTCAAATCCATACCTATTTGCACTTGTTGAGTCTGTAAAGAAGATGGAGGAGATGCACGAGGAGTAAAAGGTATTCAATTTTTCAATGGGTTTAGATTATGCCCATAAAGCTGTCAAGTCTCAAATTTTGAGTGTGGAGTTGTTACCAAAGCTTGGAAGGGCTTATGCCTTGATTGCTCAAGAAAAATGACAAGCATTATATTATTGTTTCACATACACTAGTTCTTGAGGCAACCACTCCTCCGGAAAAATATCCCTTGGCACATGAACACATATATGGTGAGCAAGGGAAATCACGGCTCCATTATAGCCACTTTAACCATAGCAACCATACAAGGGAGACTTGTTATGCCTTGATTGGTTATCCACTAGGATGGAGAAAACCAAAGTCAAGGCTTGACGGGCAACGATAAAGACAAACGGCATCACCGAGAACTTCGTAAGGACTATCATTGTAGTGGTGTCGGATAAGGTTGTTAACCAATTCTACCAATTTTGATTTTAAAGAGCAAGCCCAATCGATAGCAACAACGACCAATCATTTAAGCTCTCATTCAAACCGGACTCATTATGCACACTCATTCAACCCAACAATAGTAGCAACCCATCGCTCGAGCTTTCATTCGGTGGCTCGAGGATCGGTGAGCCTCACTTCAAGCTAGCTATAACGGTTAGTTAGTTTCTTGGGTCAATAGTTTAACCCTTCAACAGACGGGGCCATCGGCCAATATGGCCACATAAAATTACTCCGGTAAGCTAGACTTATGGGTTATTAATATTGAGGTCATGGACTATATTACTTGAAATATTAATTCTATGATTGATGTCTATAAAAATTATGATTATTCCTTCGAGTTTAAATTCCTAATAGAAACCGTAATTCAATACGGGCTTTAGGTCGAATCAAACTTTGCCATGATTTGACTTTTGAAAAGGCTTTAGGAGTTCTTAATTTTTGTTTTAATTTATTATCAATTAGTAAATTAACTCGAGATCTTAATTGTGTTTTAATTTTTAGATCTAAATTTAGTATGATACAAGACTTACACTCGAGGAAGCCGATAAGAGTGGGTAAAATGTGTAATGTTTCATATCATTTAGAACCAATGAAGGTCGATAAGGCTCTTATGGAAAAGGGTTATAATGCAACAAACTTAAAGCATTGTCGTACTGGGGCATATGCCAATGAACCGAGTATCATTGATTCCATAATTATCTATTATATTTGATTCCTCTAAGAGTTATTTTTGTGATGCTTATTGTAAGGCAAAGCAGGCTAGATTGCCTTTTCCTACATACATAAATAAATCCAAAAACAATTTTGATTTAGTGCACCTTGACATTTGCAAGCCATATCGCACTCTTTCGGATTCTAGTTTGCTTATTTTTTAATAATTATAGTCATGCCACTTGGATGTTTTTTATGAAGCACAAATCGAAACTAGGTGCTATATTTCATTATTTTTTTAATTAGGTTCGTAACGAGTTTAATGTCCAAATCAAAGTTTTTTGAACTAATAATGGGCTTGAATTTGATCACTTAGATTTGATGGATTATTATTTTGAAAATGGTATTGTTAGGCATACTAGTTATACATATACTCCACAACGGAATGGAGTAGTGGAATGCAAACATTGACATCTCTTAGAAGTGGCTAGAGCATCGCGCTTCCAAGCTAATTTGAAAATTAAATTTTGAGGAGAATGCTTTATGATAGCATCCTACCTCATTAATCATATGTCACTCTCTATTTTACAAGATAAGAATCCTTATGAGGGCTTGTTTGGTCAATCGATCATGCAAAGCTTCGGGTGTTTATCGTTGTGGAGATGTTCACAATAAATCTTGTGACAAATTTTCTTCTTGTGGAAAACTCGAGCATTTTAATGGGCTATCTTCATGGTCAAAAGGAGTATAAAATTTATGATTGGGAGAGCAAAGTGATATACTCCTCTCAAGATGTCTAATTTTTTTAAGACATCTTTTCCTATGTTCGGTCCAAAAAACACGTTGAATTCTCTCGGCCATGTTACAACGGCCCACTCACGGATAGTGGCTCCAAATCGCTTAGCACAACCTAATCCGATTCTACATGGATCGTTCATAATTGGTCAGCACCATTTAATCCACCATCGTCTCATCATCCCACGTTATCTTCTTTCACTCGATGGGCCTTTATAAGCTAGACGACTCTATATAACATGATATGTCCCCCCTAATCTAATCTCCTTCAAATAGTCCAATAACATCATCAGCACTAGCCCAACCCGCTAGCAATCACGAGTACACTTTCTTCTTCTTAACCCGTAATTTAGAATCAAATTAATAAATCAATGTCATCCTCTAATAGAGAAAACACTAATGTTGTATCTTCTTCAATAAGAACTTTAGCTCGGGTTCATCACTTGTCCAATCACTTATCTAGTTTTGATTATACTTTGTCGTCTTCCCCACTCCATCCACTATACACTCCTTTCACCATTCGGTTTACTCGATGGTACACCCTTTATCCTATAATATTTTTTATTTTAAATTTTCTAACACTCGTAATGCCTTCTTAGTGGTCATCTCTTCTATGGATAAGCCCATATCCTTTTCATCTGGTTGTATGACATGAGTATTGGCAAGCTGCTATGGCAAAAGAGATTTCTACTTTAAAGGTCAACACATTTGCACACTTGTATCTCTACCTTTTAAAAAACGTGCCATTGATTTCAAATGGGTCTATAAAATTAATTTCTCTCAAATGGTTCCGTAGAGCAATACAAAGCTTTTCTTGTTGCAAAAGGATACACTCGGATTAAAGGTATTGATTTTCATAAGACATTTGCATCCGTTGCCAAACCGATAATGGTTCATTGTCTTCTTGCCATTGCCTTAATGAGTAATTAGGAATTGCATCGGTTGGATGCTATTAATGTATTTTTATATGGTAATCTTGAGAAAGAAGTTTACATAAAAAAATCCTCACGGCTTTGCTAAATAGGAGGAGCATCATGTTTGTCGCCTTTAAAAGTCTTTTTATGATTTTCATTAGGCTTCTCGCAATCTGGTATGAAAAATTTACTCAATCTTTGACTACGGTTGGTTTCCTTCGATCATTTGTTGATCTCTTCTTGGTTACCTCTTTTCGACTCGGCTCTTTTGTTATCGTTCACATTTATATCGATGACGTAATTATCATGGGCACCGATACTACTAAAATCTTATGGCTTAAAAAATATTTTGATACCAAGTTTCATATCAAAGATCTTGGTAAACTCAAGTGTTTTTTGGATCTTAAGGTTGCTCGTTCTCTAATCGAGAATGTCCTCGATCAGCACAATTATGATCTCGATATACTTAACGAGTGTGGTCTTACTTGGTCGTGAGCCTACGTCATTTCCTATGGATTAACAACACAAATTTGATGTGGACTCGAATGATATTTATGATGATCCTGGCTAATATCGTTGTTTGGTTAGGTGTCTACTTTATCTTACCATTACTCGTCCGGACATCAATTATGTAGTTCACATTATGAGTTAATTTATGCATCGGTTGAGGTAGCACCACTTTGATACCACTATCTAGGTACTCCATTATCTTAAAAATGCTCCTAGACATGACATTTTATTTCCTTTCAATAGTTCTTTATCATTACGAGGATATTATGATGCTGATTGAGTAGGGTGTCCCACTACTTGTCGCTCTACATTATCTTTCTTGGATCTTCTTTCATCTCTTGGTGTTCTAAGAAATAATATGTTGTCTCCCGTTCTTCTGCTGAAGCTTAATATAAGGCCATGACGACCATTGCTAATGAGATCGTCCGACTCTATCATCTCCTATCTAATTTAGGCATCCCTCATCTTGATCCTACTTTCTTATTTTGTGAGAATCAAACAACACTCCATATAGTCATTAATCCTATTTTTCACAAACGAACTAAGAACATTGAGATCAATTGTTGCTTTATTCTCCAACACATCCAATCAAAGCTTTTATTACCACAACTAATTTCTTCTCGGTATTAGTCGGCTCACATCTTCACCAAAGTTGAAGACCGAGATCGATTTCGATTTTTGT